GAAGAATTCTTTTTTTCTGATTTCTTACTTTCAAAACATTTTCTTAATTATAATCTTTATGATTCCTATTCTTTCTCCAAGTTAGATATGTTTTCAATACATTCCAAGGTCTATTTTACTCAATATTTTCATTTAACAAACTTTATATAAGATTATTTAAAAAGATTTCTGCGATTTATTAATTAATTTTACTGAATATTTCAGTATAATGTTAGTTTGAATTTTTAGTGCCTGATTTGAAATTAAGAGCATAATTAATTCACTCTTGCTTGCCTTCCATATTAGTCACCTTGGCATTTGTGATATTTTATAGTAGTCACGAACCTTTTAAGAAGGGACTCGACATTCGCTGCTCAGAATAAATAACGAGGATTGGAGTTTAACAGACCCTCAAAAAAAATTGCAGATTCCTTACCATGGGAGCCTCAGAATGGATGTGATTCCTTTACCTTGGCTGGGAGAATGCTAAAGTTGGTGGAGTTCATGGTGTGGTCTACAAATTCAACTTCCTAGCATGTAAGGCACACACTTTGTCAGCTTCACAATGTCATAAAAAAGAAGTTGGTTGAGTAACATTAGATTATTAATGCAGTTGAGTGATCTACAACTTATTGTATAGTACTGATTAGTCTAGGTACAATCATTTTTGCTAAGCTCCCCTGTTTTGTAGGCCCTTTCTTCTCGTCAATTTTGGTGTTTGTGAGTTCTTCTTATAAGCTCACTTCTTGTCAACGCATAAATAAAAGTATAAAGCAAGATAACATCATACTAATTGGGTTGTAATTTAGGTCTTAGTAGTCTCAATTAGTAAAACAATTTATTATAAAATTATTTTATTAATTGAGACTACTAAGGCCTAAATTATGACCTATAGTTTTTTAAGTCTCTTTTCCATTATCCTGATTAACAAATGTTATACTTATTACAACATCATACTGACCTGCACAGAAGAGGTTATATGTTACATTTATTTGATAACCTGTTTCAAATAAATAGTTTTAATTTAGAATTAATTTCAATTGATTTAAATAATTTTACTATTTTTTGATCAATAAATTAATTTTTCATTTGTACTTGACTGCAAGAACTTGTTTTCAGAAATATAATTTCATGAACAAAATTTACTTACCTGATTATATATATATATATATATATATATATGTATATATATATATATATATATATATATATATATATATATATATATATATATATATATGTATATATATATATATATATATATATATATATATATACACACACAGATATAAATACACACACACATAGAGACTGGGCGTATGACAGATGACCCTACCCCGTGTACTTAAATCAGGAATCGGGATGTGGTTAACCAGGATGTTAGTAGCCCCCTTAGGTTCGGTCCATGGACGGTCTGTTTTGGAAAAGAAATATAGGTCCTCGTGCGCCTGCTGACTCCGAGCAGCCATAATCCATGGATCTAGACCGATTTGTCACTGTCCTGGAACCCGAGTGAGTCGGTGGAAAGGACACTGCCAGATTGGCACCAAAGGGATCGGCTATGGAGCTACGGGTGGCCTGCCGCTGCACCATGGATGGTTCATAGCAATGTGAGGTTGGGTGACCCCCTCCAGGCTATCTGAGCTCCCGCAAGCAACACACATCTGTAAGGAGACCACATCTCGTGGCCAAAGATCTTCATGGTCTGTAATGCCAACCGAAAAAAACACACATAAGAGAGCAGTGTGTCGAAGATAAATAAAAAATAAAATATATTTCAAAGAAATGTAATCTTATGAATAGGAAAAGTGAAGTTAGAATAGAAAAACAAATTATAGCTACTCACAAAGCTTTGTGAAAGGTGATGGAAATTATTTTTAATATTCAAAGCAGAATAAAAAAAAAAAAATAATGTATGAAGAAAATTAAAACCTTTTTACATAATAAATACTTAGCCAGTGTCTGATTAAATTGTGTAGAGGAATAGGAATAAGAGGGATTTAAATGTTGATAAGGATGGGGCATAGCGGATTTTTAGTGGGATGGAATTCCAAAATGCAGTGGATCGTACAACAAAGGAATGTTTGAATGAGGCAGATCTCTGGAAAGATGTGTAAAGGTCAGAAGGACGAGATCTTGTGGAGAGGGAGTGGATAGATGACTTGAATTGTAGGAGATTGTATGTGTAGGACGGATGATGATAATTGATTATATGGTAAAGGAATGTGCCTAGGAAATATTGTCTTCGGAAGGAGGGGAAGGTCTCCTCTAACTCAGCATATTGGTGAGAAACACGGGAACGTCTTGTGGTCCCAGTGATAAATCTTAGGTAGGCATTCATAATTCTTTTCAGTCTGTCTTTGAGTTCTACCGAGAGGCCACCATACATCACGCAGCCTTAATGAAGGTGAGGAAAGATACTAAGAGTCTACATGTGGGAATGGGTAGGAGATGGCGGAAGCGATGGAATAGTTTCAAGGTACCAATTGACCGGCGGGAGGTGTGAGCAGTTTTTTGGTATGAAGAGAGGTTTAGTCTATGAAAATACCTAGGTTTTTTACTGAAGAGTAACATTATTGGAGTAACATGATCTAAAACCAGATTGGAGAGGGTCAAGTTGATTGGACTGTTCGAGGAAATAGAAAACTTGGGATTACACTATTCTTTCCAGGGGTTTGAAAGGTTAGAGAGGATTGAAATTTGATAGAAATCTTAAGAGAAAGTAGGGTTAGAATTTTTATTTAAAGGACGGATGAAGGCTTTCTTCCAAGGAGTAGGAAATACGGAGTTTTAAAGGGAGAAATTATAAATGAAAAGGAGAACGGGAATAATTTCAGGGAAGCATAATTTGATTAATTTGGTAGGAACGCCATCTGGACCAATGGAATTAGAATGTGATTTCATCACAGCGGATATGAGGTCTGTGGGTGAAATATCCGAAAAATTAAAGTCGTCTTCGTTAAACGATGTTCCAGGAGAAAAAGAGGATGTTAATGGTTTAGTGATAGTGGAAGCAGATATAAAATATGAATTTAGATTATCAGGTGAAACTGGGAAGATGGCTAAGGGAAGTGATCTGGAAGAGTTCACAGAGGGAGAGTTTATGAAGAAGTAGCCATTTGGATTTGGAATCAGGAGCTGATAAGAGTGCTTTATGAAAATAGGTGGATTTGGCTTGTCGGATTCTGGTTTGTATCAGGTTACGGAGAATCCTAAATGCTTGGTAGTCGTCAGCAAGCCTGGTATGTATAAAGCGTCTACTGGCAGCATCACGTCTCTTCTGAAGATCATTGATTTGCTGACACATCCAGGGTGCCAGACGTTGATGGAAGGTAGAGGTTTTGAGGGGGACATGGGCATCAAGGATATTAAGAAGATTGAAGGTGAGGATGTCAACCATGGAATCAATAGAGGAACTGGAATATATTCCATTCCAATCCTGGGATTCCAGGTTGGGTAAGATTTTTTCTCAAGTAAGAGCATCAAGATGACGGAAAGTTACAGTTCTAGATAGGATCGGTGGAGTTTGGATATTATATGAAATTTGGATTAGGTTATGAGAGGATAAAAAAGAAACTAGTTTAAGTTATGAACAAAGTTGCTTCCAGAACGTATAGGCAGCCAGGAAAACATCTAATTTCCTTTAGGTTGTAATTCTTGCTTACTTATAAGTATTTTCTCATTATTAAGTATACTCTCATTACAAAATCTTTTAAAACAAATTATGAATAAGATTCAACCAATCATTTCATCAATTACGGAATACCAGTACTTTAATTTGAGGCTATTTTAATGCACTGTAGCAAGTTCACAACCCTTTGCCAGGCTCGAAGGTTCTTATAACATCACTGGACATTCAAAATTTGTGCTGTTTTACATCTCCAATGATGTCAAATGATGATTTTATTTGACATAATTATAGGATTGTTCATTTGTAAGTTAAAAAAAAAAGTTTATGTATGAATTAAAAACAATATAAAAGAAATGATTTCACTAACAAAATATCATTATTTCTTAAACTAATTAAATTAATTGTACAGAATAAAATGATTTATACAATGTCTAATAATAAATTTTAAAGTCATTTAATAAGTTGCAGTTTACAATTAAACATTGAATAATTAAGATAAGGAGCTATAATCCTATCTCCTACTGTACCAGGTGAGTTTTAAGTAAGTATCATTAAGGGAATTATGATAAATCAAGAATAAGTTAACTCCAAAAAGTCAATATTTTATGCCTTATCTTTATAATAATGAAAATGTGTAATTTCTGTCCGTTGATCGTCATAGTACCTGGCAGAGGGTTAAATTAAAAAAAAGATTTTTAAATTGAATTACTTCTGGGTGTCTTTATCAGGAAAGTATAGATATAAATCACAATCTTTAAACACTCAGCAGCACTAATGCCAGATCTTGAGACATCCCTACCTAGTGTCCAAGTAACAACAAGTTACATTACTGTATTTATAGCTTGCAATTTGGTATCATGATCTAAATTAACTATTGACAAATACTTGTTCTAATTAATATTTATTTGAAAATCTTTATGATTTAATTGAAATCTAATGTACTTGTAACAAACATTGAATTATAAGATTTATTAATACGTATCCATCTTAATGTTTCTATATTAAGTAATTAATCTAAAATTCATTATATTTATTTTGAAATTTCTCGGATTTTTTTCTCATCCACCTCTTTTCTTTTTATGTAAAAATATAAATTAACAAGATAGAGCATATGTTATCAAGACAATCCATTGGAAAAGTTACCTCTAATGATAAAAACTTACTGGTAAGATTGAAAAAATTAAATCTACTGGGTTAATATAGTAATAGCCAATAACATTACATTTTTGTCCATTGTAGTTACAAGGTACAGGGATTTTTATTGAGTTCTTTTCGTTAATGATAATGATGCCATTGCTTCAAAAATCCATTTATTCCTCAGAACTTGTTCATTTTTAAAATATATGATTATTTGTACCTCAAAATATTTTATCTTTATGTTTTCATGCAGGCAAAACAGTATGAAGTCTTTGAGGAATGGATGGAACAGCTCAAAAACCATCGTCTTTACAGGCAGCATTTGTTGACTTTTGGTTCACGTATTACATCCACTGATGATGATGAAATTCCATTAAAACAGCCCTTAACTAGGAGTAAGTTATTCATGACAGTAATAAAGGATTAATATCCTTAAAAATTGTATCTTCCACATTGAAGAGAGAGAAAATGTTAATGGAAATATTAATATAGTACAAAGTGAGGAATAATGCAAGCCAATAAGTACTGTTAATAATTAATAATATTGTTTAAACAATATAATTAAGTATATTGTTTACGAAAATTTGTAAATTATAACAAAATTTCCAACTTATATAATAATCATAATTTTGTAATACAATACAATTTTGTATTTTTTTTTTACATGAATACTTCTGAATTTGTTACCGCACTGAGAAGCAACTCAGAAAACATAATAATAACAAAATCGAGGGATAAATTTTAGCGTGGCACTCCAAATATCTATATTTGTCACAGTCACAACACCTAACAGCCCAAGGATGAAGGCATTTATTTTGGGACTGTATTGAATTGGGGTATCACCATTTTGAATTTGTTTTCTAACTTTTATAATTTTTGGGTTGTAAAATTTTTGACTTGGTGTAGATACAACATTCATTAAACTTTTGATTGACAGCTCTCATTAAGATAAACCGACTGCTTGTTTAAAAACTTAAATGAGAAGTGGTTATATTTACTTTTAATAGGATATAACTCAAAATTACAATAATTGTACACAAAGCCTAAGCTTTATGAAACATGAATAAAATCACTGGACTCAAGCAAAGTGTCCCTCTTTATAAAAATTATAGTTTATACACTTTAAAAAAAAACCCAATAGTTATGACTAAAAATAAAATCTCTCTCTCTGTCTCTCTCTATCTATCTCTTTCTTTCCCTCTCTCTCTATCTCTATCTATCTATCTATCTGTTTCTTTCCCTCTCTATCTCTCTCTCTCTCTCTCTCCTATCTATCTTTTTCTTTTTTTTTTTACTTTTTTTTCATGCTCTTATGACAGCCATATTGTATACCTTGTCAGAATACTGTATACTTGTTTTTTTCTGCATGTTATATATCTATATTAAATTCAGTATGATGAGGGAGTATCGGGTGGTTTAGTAAGAAATTTCTTGCAAATTTCATAGAAATCTAAAGGTAAGATTTTATTTTTAAATATAAAACTGAAAAGCTTTTTTCCTCCTGAACTTGTTTCTCTCCAGACCAAACCAGGGTTATATATGTAATGATTGATAAAATCTCTATTTCTACTAATTCCAAAGTTGATAATAATGGAGAATAGTAATGCTAAGGATTATCGAACACCTAGATTCAATGCTGACGCCACGTACTTTTATTTTGATTCTTCCTTTCCATTTAGGCAATATGGGTCCACAGAACAGCAGGGATACAGGGATACATACCTCTGTTGAGAATTCAACACAGGTCATTTATCTTGTATTTTTTTTTCTTCTTTGTGTTCAGGATCACTACTATCCTCTTATGCTTTTTCTCTGTTCAGTGACGCTCTCTCCCTCCCCCATCCACATTGAAACAGCTCATTCTCTCTTCAAACAAAAGGACTTATAGTAGTACTGGTTGTTCTCCATCATCATTACCTGGAGAAACTCGCTGTTTCTCTGACTCCAAAGGCTTCTCTCTCTGAGTAGCTTGGTCTGTATTAGTTCTTCATAGGCAATGCAGGCTACTATTCTGTTCTCTAATACTGGGCTATCGAGGATTGATGTTCTTACCATGTTTAACAAATTTTACTGAGAAACTCAGACTCTGTGACAATCTGTGAGGGTCAGTATTCCAGTAGCAATATTGATATAATGCTAGTATTTTCATTACAATTATTATTCCTGGGTTTAGATCTATACTCGCCAAAAAGTGTTGTATGTTCATCGTTGCAACTATAGACTGCTTGGTCTTGTAGATTGCTCCCTGAAGGGTAGTTGAAGACAAAAGCAATCATGAGGCAGATCTAGCTCTTGCCTTCTAGTGCTGGATATACTACTAGTATATTACCATATTACCGTTGAAATTTTTCATTCCTTTGACTGAGCCTATGTTCATATTATCATTGTAAATTGAAGTATTAACACAAAATCCTTATGATTTAAGAAAGGGCGAGCTATAGCCACATGTTTAATTCTCTTTGTAGGTTTGATTGTGACTCCACCACAGTGTATATATATGTAGTTTTAATGAAACAAATCAAACCATATATGTCCTCAGTTTATCCTTTTTATTTTAAGGACAAAATGCATATATATATATATATATATAATAAAAATTGCAACTAGTATTAAGAGATTAAATCTTCTTTGTATATGAGAGATTCTCTTAATATTATTTGCAATATTAATATTATTCGATTTTTTTTTTTAAGTTCAATGACATTCCAAAAAATTAAGATTATTCTTGTCTATATTTCAGTTTACATTCTTAGAAGAGTAAATTCAGTTATGATCATAATTTCAGGAATCAAATCTGGAGCTATTCTTACGTTATTATTAATATTTTTTATCACATTTATGACTAAAGATTAACAAAGATTTTGCCTCATAAAAAAATGAAAGGCATTTTAATCTGTCTATAATTAACATAATTTTTTTATCAACTCTGTTTATAACTTGAACTGTGAAAACATGACAGTAAGCAGTATAAAGAAACTTTGGACTTTGAAGGACTGGTATTCGATTTGTGCCATCCATATTTTCAAACCCTCTTCTCATTTTGAGAGATTATTATATTAGTCAATATTCCTCAGATTGAAGAAATAGAAATAAATAATAAAATGATCATTATAAATTTAAGTCACTTGACAAAAATAATATAGACAGACTTTATCTCAGTTAAGATAGTGCTGAAGTTAACAGTCATGTTTACGTGCATAAGGATCACAATATGTACTATGATGGTGGATACTTCACTGAGTTGTGTTTTTAACAATCTTGTTCTATCAATAATCATAAATTAGAAAAAAAATTAAAATACCTTTTTTTTATATAATCATTAATTTATTATGAAAAATGGTTTTATTCTTAATAACGCTGACAGAGTTTAATTTGGAGAAAGAATGAAGAAAATAAAAAAAAAGGAAAGATACTTTAATTTCTGAAATCATCTTGTTATTTGAAATTATGTGTGGAAAAATTGTAGTCAATTCATTTTTTAGAGATTCAAATTGTTCTATGTATAAAAATTATATTATACATTTCTAACGCTTCATTTTTTTTTCTTTTCTGATTTTTGTTAAGCAGATATGCATGCAAAGTGATACAGTAATGCTAAATATTAATGCTTGGTGATATATTGACTGATTACAGAATTGGCTAATGAAGGCTCTCCTGCTCAAAGGCTACAATGGGTTCTTGATGGACCATTACAGGTACCTATCAATTAAAATTATTATAATTTGATGGTTATTTGAAGTATATTTATTTCTACTAATTGTATATCTTTACCTAAACCTATGAGCCAATATCATCCATGTTTTGATAATTTTTTATTTTTTACAAAATAATGATAACTCTCTCCTTACTTCTTTCTTATAGTTATAATTTAATAACTAATCACTCTCAATTTATAGCATCATTCTTTATTAGTTTTATTTGTATGTTTCAGGGATACTTTGTACCCCTCTTCATCATCTAATATTATATAAATAATACATTCTATTCTGAGTTAGTCATTTTTTTTTTCTGTTGGCATATAAAGACCTTTTAGATGTTTCGCCACCTTAACCAGCCTTCTTCATATCTGTCTATCTTAGACTATTTCTTTCCAGTTATCTACATGCAATATATTTCATCTATGTTGATTTCATCTATCCATCTGATTTTTAGCGTTCCACATGGCCTTTTATGTATTATTGAGGCATTCATTGTTGTATAGAGGTTTCCAGATGGATTGCTCTGAACTACATGTCACCCTTCTTAACCTTCTTGCCTTCATATTAAGCCTATAACTCATCAGAGATATTGATTGACCAGTTTCTATAAGCAGTTCTTTATCATTCTTTCTCCTCCTTGTGTTAATATTCCGATCCCAGATTGCTCCGGTTATCGTGCAGAGGCTTTTTCTATAAAATATTTCAATACTTCTTTCTAGGGTGCTAGTTAGTATCCAGGTCTCTTAGCCGTGTATCATAATTGGCTTTCTCTTAAAATTTTAACACTAACTATATGTTGTATAATAATACACCCTTGTAAATATACATATAAATGGGCATAACGAACACTACATTGGAGTTAAAATCGTCTACATATATATTTTACACAGATACATGTTGTTTGTACCTACATATAAAGCCAATAGACTGTTAATTAAATACATATCAAGTTAGTACATGCATATGTGCATCTCACTGTTCAGCAATTGTAAAATAATTTCCAATCTTTTTTTTAAAAATTATTTTTGTAATCATTTTTGAAATGTTATGTGGATGAGTAAACATGTAATAATCGACGTCACAGTTTTCCAACAGCTCCAAAGTGTGTTAACCACGTTTGTGGCTTCTATAATTGTTGGAGGAGCTTTTGTGAGCACAACATTGTACTTATGTATTTAATTAATTATTTCTTGTCAGAAAAACGTTAGCCTTCTTGTTTTGCCTCTTTTTATTTATTTTTAATATGTTTAATGGATCTGTTTTCATTGACTTTGATTCGCAATACCTTATCAAATTGGGGCATGTGAATAGCTTTATCATTACTGAGGCTAAACTCCAGTGATGACAACCTGTGTCTATTAGATTTTGAAGTGTAATAGGCATTGATAGTTAAGCAGGATATCACATCACTCTGAAGAGATGATCTTGCAATCAATTAGTTATGAAGATTTATTCTTGAAGGAAGTTAGTCGACTGTTCTACATATCATGGTTGATAAATATTCTGGACGCAGTCTTTTTAAAAAAAAAAATTTAAAAATACTGCATCTTGAATATTTATCAACCATGATATGAAGATGTATAATTAGTAATGTTCCATGTTTCATTTTTTGCTGTTATCTATTATCAGATGTTTCTCTACATTTTGTTCTTATTCATGGGTGCTATTGCAGTATATCTCTCATAATTTAGTATGGTGTTTTTTTTTTTTAATATTTGCATATCATATTTAACTTACCAAATTAGTAAGTAGTTAACTGTTTTTAATTTTCTTTTTATTAACTTGCTTATGATCGTTTGTAATGAATTAATTCAATGCTTTTATAAGGTTGCAATGACTGAGCTGAACCATACTCAACAAGCACTGAACCAACTGTCAAAGATTCTGGACAATATGGAGCATGGAAACCCTGATTCAGAGGTAATACTTCTGTTTGTTTACATACTAGATCAACAAAGATGCCCACCATAATCTCGTTTTAAGCTAAAGTTTTCTCAGTTCTAAAGAACAGATTGTGCAATGTAGTGATTTTCTGTCAATGTTAAATTTCTGATATGTCTGCACATTATTTTTCCAGTACTTGCATAAAAAATTGCATTAAATTTCATATCAGTATGTTTCTTTAAAGGCATGGTCTATTTCCCTTGTTTTGTTTAATGGCTAGTTTTTTGTTTTTGATAAATGCTCAGGTTTACAGAACGCATTATGTTTTGGCAATCCGAAAATCTAATTGTAATGCTAGATTTAAATTATATAGAACAGAATTATAGAATTCCTGTAGTTCTATTGACCCTATGGTGTCCACTCTTACCTCTAATTTACTATCAATATTAGATTCTCATGCTCTTTCAAACACCTCCACAAGATTACCTTCTCTATCGGACTTTCTCAAAAATATTTTCATGAAAATCTTCTCCCCACTTCTTTACAGACTTTTCTATTGGTCGATTTTGTATCTATGTTAATGGTTATGTATGCTTACATTAGTAACATGCTATTTATCTGACTTTTTTTCAAAGAAATTGATAACCAATTGTGACCTAAGTTTTGAAATTATCTATATACAATAATTTTATGTATAAACAATTTTATTTATAAAAAAATTAATTTGAAAAATACACAATTTTCAAATATTTTTCTGGTAAATTGATTATAAACCGTGTTTTTCATCAATATCTCTATTATAGTACCTTAGCTGTATTTATAAGTGACAAACTAAATGTTCCTGATTCTAATATTAACATTTTCATTAAAATAATTGAAGCAATCAGCAGGTTTTTTTATTATTATTTTAGACTAGAATTCTATTTTATCACTTACAAATGCAGACCAATTCCTATAATCGAGATCTCAGTAAAAAAAACTCAGTTTATAACCAATTTATCCGAAAAAATCAGTATTTTTCTCATTAATTTTTTTAATAAATGAAATGTGTGTTTAGTCAACTGGGTTTATTATAATACATCCCAGATCATGGAAAAATATAAACTAAAAGATTTAAAACAATTAATTTTAGTCATTTTTTCTGAAAACAGGGGTACTTTTACTTGATAGGATTAAAAATATTCTTTTTTTTTTACACAATTTGAGCTTAATCTCAAGTTTTTCTCTAATAAACCTTAACTTAATTAATACAAACTTAAAGATTATTAAACGACGCAGTTTTTGTAAAAGTGTGGTAACAGTAGTAAAGTTTGATGGTGATAAAAAAAAATTATGATTTTTTTTAAAAAACAGAACTTAGCTTAGTTTAGCCGCTCAAAAGTCCTCTGTAAATGATTTTAACAATGATAAAATGTATCTTCAATTAAAGTAAATTTCATCTTGTTTATAATGAAGCAATTATTAATGACTTAAATCAAATATTTCTTTAGTCATTGCTTTTGATTCAATAAAAAACATGACTTACTTAAAAAACCACAAAACTAGGATTTCCTACTTTTGTTCTGAAAATTGACCCATTGTTTATATGAAATGTTTTGTAGCTCTTGAGGTCTGCTATCGCTCCTATAAAAATTTCCTTTTACTTACAGGACACCCTGTATATATAGTTAATAATTATTTTTTTAAGGTCATAATAGTATTATTTTGTGATCTTATAACCAATAAATAGAATAATTATTTACTATGAGAGTGAATTTTGACTAAATTATTTGTGTATTTATGTATATATAATTTTTTTTCAATTTAATCTTCAGAGCATAATTGAGGGGTTTTCTCCCAATGTCAAGAAAGATAGGAAACGATTTGGATTAAGGAAGAAGAAAAGTAACAAAGGAAGCTCAGTTGACCTAACTTCTTTCAATAGAGATGAGCACAATCCTCAGGTTGGTGCAATATTCTCATATTAATTATTTATTATATTCGTGGGTTGATGGTTGACTATAGTGAATAATGAAGAGAAGAATAGTTGGGGTGATCAGTCAAAATAAAAATGGCAAAAATAAATAATAATATTTATTTTTTCCATTTTTATTTTGACTGATCACCCCAACTATCCTTCTCTTCATTTATTATATTCGTTAATTTCATTTTTTGTATTATTTTTTTTCAGTGATAAATACTAAACATAATATTGGGTTGATGAAATAGTAATGAAATGAAAAAAATAATTTTATTCTGGGACTAAAGTCCCTTAAGAATAATAATAACATGGTACAAAAAATTGGTACATTAGTTTGGCTTTACAAAATACAAAGAGGTTCTTGTCATTTGAATGTTAATTTCAATTGCTATTGCTATCATATTTTAACAATACAGTAAACAAAGTAACACTAGTACATTTTATATGGTTTACAAGTACACAAAGAAAAAATAAATAAAATCAAGTGGAACTTTCCAATTAATTGCTAGTGAACATTTGTTGTTACAGAATCCAATAAGTATTACATAGATACAGAAGTTTTAAAATGAACTAGTGGTGAAATAAGAGTTATTTGTAGGAATTTAAGCATGAGGATTGCCATAGGGTGTTAGGTTAAGAATTCCAGAACGAGGTAGCACGAATGATGAAGGATTTGCCAAAGGGTGTAGTTTAGGATTTAGCTAATGTAGGATGTAGGATGGAGTTTAGTGTAGGATGTAGGATGGAGTTTAGTCTAGTATGTAGCTAAATGAGATTTGGTATTAAGAGAGTGGATAGAGGAACTTAGAATGAGGAGTTTCATCACGTAGGGAGGATTTTTGGTTCTTAGGATCTATAAAAGGAAAACACCAAGAAAGAATTGTCATTGGGAGGTAGGATAGAGCCACTTCAATTGGGTTTGCTTGTAGGAAACATGAGAACCCCTGGAAATTCCAAAGATGAATCGAACCCCTGGAAATTCCAAAGTTGAATCGAACCCCTGGAAATTCCAAAGATGAATGTTTTATATCTAAAACAGTTCCTAATTCTCTTCAATTTCACCTCCAGTCTTTCAGACAGCCCTCCATACACTAAGCAACCTAGTCAAAGTGGGGGATAACGAGGGAGGTTACAAGGGACTGTCTGTTTTTTTGAGGAATAGATTAGGAGTTGTTTAAGGATAGTTATGGATTTTCTCGTTATCTGGGAAATATGGTTATTCCAGGAAAGGTTCTGATCAAAAATTACTCCTAGATTTTTTACTGTTGGGAAAAATGGATGGGGCGGTTATTGAGGTAGAGTAGAGGAGATTAAGGAAGGGAACTAATATAATGCCTGGAACTCATGAGAACAGCCTCAGTTTTATCTGCATTCAGCTTTAACTCATTTATTTCTCCCCATCTGTTGATGCAGTCAATATCCTCTTGTAGCTTTTGGGTAGCCTCAGGCATCTCAGAAGGTTGGAAAGATTGGTGAATTCGGAAATCACCAACACATAAATGCTAACAGGAGTGATTAATGTCAGGAAGATCGCTAATATAAATAGAGAAAAGGGTCAGAGAGTGAGGAGCCCTGAGGAACACCTTGTGTTGATTGGAGGGGTGACAATGGAGATTTATTAGGAATGACAGCTGTCTGTCAGAGGTGGAATAAGAAGGAGTGGAACCATTTTAGAACACTATTTGATATGGGCAGGCTTTGGAGTTTGGAAAGGAGGATCTTATGGTTGGCGGAATCAAAGGCTCTTGAAAAGTCGAAAAGGATTAGGATAGAAATTTTTTGTTTATCTATGGAGGATTGTAGGTCTTGGGTAATCTTTAACAAGGCAGATTGGGTAGGATAATGGGAGCGAAAACCGGATTGTAATGGATTGAGAAGACGGTTTTGCTCAAGAAAGTTGTTAACAGGGAGTGAATTATTCTTTCCAGTGGCTTTCATAGGTTGGATAAAATGGAGATGGGTCTGAAATCGGAAGCTGAGGAAGGAACAGGTACTTTGTTCAACGGGTGGACAATGGCTCTTTCCCAGATTTTGGGGAAGATGAAATTTTGGAGAGGAAAATTGTATATGTGCAACTGTGCGGGAAATAAGGCTGGAAGGCAGTTTTAAATTATTTTAACGGGTATTTGGTCAGATCTATAATTGTTGGTTAGTTAACTAGTTAATTCACTCACTGTGTAATCATTTTATGAAAGTTATATAAATAATTTGAATAAGAGCTAAATAAAAGAAGGCCAAAAACAAAGGTTGCAGCAAGAGGATCAATAACAACTTGTTAGAAAATGGGCAGCAATTGAGAGGGACACAAAAAATTACCGTCTTTGAAATATTTGAGAAATAAGAAATAAAATACCATTTACCGGCCCTTACCACTCCCTCTCCCCAAATCCAACACTCAAGTATCTGAAACTTAGTGTAATAAGGGAAAGGTAACAGACATTGTGGAACCATCAGACCTTTGTATTTTGGAATGTCTAGGTTTGGTAATTTTTTTGTCGAATGTTTCAAAATTATAAATAATACTTCTAGGTTGTTAATATCATCATTAGTGATTGTATTTTTATTGATATAATAAAACTATCAATTATTGTTTGTTGAAAATAATAGCCTTTATTTCTTACACACTGTTATGGATTAATATCAATTAAATATTTGTATGTAGATTGTTTGATTTTGATTTGTGATTAAATATTTCAGACACTTAGTCCTGGAGGTTCAATCTCTAACAGACCTTTATCAGGTGAGCAGAACCCAGGTGCTGCTTTACCTATTGTGGATTTATCCAGTGCTTCTGATTTCTACATATTGGCCAAAGATAGTCAGTTTGTATTCATGTATTTTATTATTTGTTTTACATTAATATTAATTATGTTTTCATTCTTAAATTTATCTCAAAGGCTTTCTTGTTTTAATGCATTTTTTATTTAATTTTTTTCTTTTTGTTTTAATGCTGTAGTGTAGAAAATCTTATCCTACAGAAAAAAACATTGAAAAAATCTAGGAATTAGTTCTGAGATAAATATGAAGAGATGGTAGATACTGTTTCCACTTTCATTTAAATTTTATGTTAGGGTGACAGTTTATAGCTAAAATCACTTCTGCACCCAGTTGGATTTGGATTTTATTCGGGTTTTTGTTTAAAGGTGTCTAATATAACTGTGTTCACCATGGGTAAACAAAATCCTATTTAAATTGCTGATTTAAATTTTGCACATCTGTTTGATTCTTTTGTATATAATTTGGACACAAATTCAAGTTTTTCACTATTCTTAGTTTTAACATTTGGCATACCTGTGGTGCACTTTGTTCTTACAGTTAATCTACATGTAATTCTAAGTCCTATAAACCATTATAGATATGAAATTATTATGTATAGCTTTATCACCATTACTGTATGGTATTAAACTAATTAGTTGAGTGTGGAACAGTTTTGGGTATTTACAGTAGGACTTTGATGACCAGTAGAAGTTTTTGACAGGATATTGCCCAGACTTAAGTTATTTAATATTGTCATATAGGATGTTTATGTTAACTATAGCTACTGGAGAAATGGCTATAGCTCTTTATTTTGTGAAGTTTTTAAAATTCCTGATACTATCATTTTAGTAATCCATTCTTGTAATTTTTTTTTATCCTTGAGTTACACTGTACTGAAGGATCTGTTAAATGTAGTCTACATGAAAAATGCAAATTAAGAAAGAAAAAAAAATCAAGTTGTTTTGAAATAGTTCAGATAATTTTGGGGGTGAATGCCATGGACAAATAATGAAATAGTCTGGGGATAGACCGGTATAGGAGGTGGAAAAGACAAAAAAAAAAGAGGAGGAATATAGCAGTAAAGTGCTTTAGAACCAAGCTAATACAGCTCCTTGCCTGAAATATTGTGAACTATGTCTACATTTTCATAACAAGAGACCTAAATATTTATTTTATTTAAATTATTAACAGATAATTTATTTGAATCTAGTATTGCACGAAAAATCAGAATATCACAAAACGCAACTGATATTTCTATACCTGGCATTGATTTTTTAATTATTATGATAACTAATTATAATTATTATATTAATCATGATAGTTAACCTCCAATGCATGAAGTTTGGGTTTAAGCCCCAGATTACTGTTATTTAAAGCTCTTCTAATTTGTTAAGGGATTCACCAATAAGCACATTTTAATGTGTAAAGAAAGCCTGGATATCATAAGCACTTCCATGGGCTCTTCAAAAGTAGTTTTAGTGAACTCATGAAAAACCCTCAAATCTTTTGAGAATGTTCATTACTAAGCATAAGAACAGCAACGGACAGCAGGTTCCTTGGGTTAATAATAATAATAACAGTCTTTATTTATATACATATACACATTTATAATAGCAGTATTTCCATTTCCATTTACATCTACTTTTTCTTTATATACATGTATATAATAAACCTTCTTTTAAAGTCTTATATAGAGTATTAAAATCTTTGACGGGGACTATCCGTAATTTGGTTCGCTGAAAGTTCACTTATCTTCATCTTCCAGTATTTTCTGCCCTTTGCTTTTTGTGACCACGGCGTTTCTTCTACCTTCTTTATCTTGTCTATCCATCTTCTTTGTCTGCCTCGGTTCTTTTCATATCCAAGGGGATCCACTCTGTTAGTTTCTTGGCCCAGTTTGCGTCATTCTTCCTCATTAGATGTCCAGCCCATTGCCATTTCATCTTCTTGACACATCTGATTACATCTATGACCCTGGTATCTTTCCTTATTGATGGGCTACTGAGTTTTTGGCTTCTTCTTATGCCTTGTATGCTCCTTTCCATTGCTCTTTGCCATGTTTGAATTTTTTTTCTCATGGTGCTTGGTGACCATGTTTGGCACCCATAAGACATGACAGGTAGTATACAGCTATTGAAATCTAATGTTTTTAGAGGCTGGCTGATATTGTTGTTCTTTATTATCATTCTTAAGCTCCAATATTTCTGCCAAGCCATAGCTGTCCTTGTTTGAATCTCTGTTGATTGCCTATCTTTAAAAAAAATCCTTTGCCCTAGATATGTTATTTATTCTACTATGTTTATTTCTGGAAGATCTGTTTTTACTTTGTTGACATGTGAGTTTGTAATTATTTTTGTCTTCGTGAGGTTCAACGATGATCCGTGTTAACCACTTCTGTACATAAGCTGTTTTACCATGGTCACTATTTCTTCTTCTTTTCTTGAAATCAATAGCACATCATCTGTGTATTTAAGTGTGTTTAGTTTTACACCGTTGATATTAATTCCATATTGATCCCAATCCATCTCCTTTAGAATAAGTTCCAATATTACATTGAAGATCTGTGGTGATAGTGTATCCTCTTGCCTGACTCCTCTCCTGATTGGAATCTCCTTGCCTTTCCTGTCACAAGATATAAATGCTTTATTATCGATATATAATTCTGTTATAAAAATGTATTTTTCCTCGATACCTATCGACTTGAGAGCTGTTGTGATGCTTCTATGATATATGCTATCGAAGGCTTTGGAGAAGTCAACAAATGCAAGGTAGACGTTTAAATTATATTCTTTACTTTTTTTTATGAGTTGGTTTACAGCATGTAAATGTTCAATTGCAGACATGCCCTTCTTAAAGCCAGCTTGGTCCAGAGGTAAATTTGTGTCTATTGTTTTTGCTAATCTAGTTTGGATGATTTTTGTAAAAACTTTCCCTATTGTGGCACCCAATGATATTGGTCTGTATTTTGTTAATTTAGTTCTGTCCCCTTTCTTGTGAAGCAAAACAATTTTTGATGTTTTCCAGTCTATGGGGATTTCGTCTTTTTCTATAACTTTATTGAAAAAATTGGATAGCACTGCTAATAATTCTTCTGCTCCAGCTTTCAGAATTTCATTTGTAATGCCATTGTGTCCAGGGCTTTTTGAGCATTTCAGTGATTTAATTATAGTGTCTACTTTTGATTGCAATATTGTAGGAACAGTATTTTCACTCCTCCTTGTGTCTTTTTTTTCTTTTGAATACTTTTTCTTCTTCAGCATTATATAATTCTTTGTTGTATTCTCTTGCCAAGTCAATCATGTTGTCTCTATTGCTCACTTCCTTTTCTTGATTAGTTTTATAATTCATTGGCCAGTGTTGGCCTTCATTTAGTTCACATTTTAATTTTTTGAAGGATTTGTTCATTTCGAGAATTTTGATTATTTTATCTTCTTTATATTTTTTGAGATTCTTTTTTATATTTTCCCTGAGGTCTTTGTTTATAAGTGTAAGCTGGGGATTATGTGTTTCTTTATTATTTCTTTTCTTTTTTCTAAAATTCCCAAGGTACTTCTGGATAGTTTTGCATGATATCCACTCCTTTGTTCTCGCACTTCTGCTATTTTGAAGCTTAGCACAATGTTCTCTTTAATAGTATTATACTGTATTTCAATATTGTAATTTTCATCATTATCCAATAGGTTATGCAATTTCTTTATTTCCCTTGAAAAATTTCTTCATTTATTTACTTAGGTATCTGATGCTTCTGAGGTATTCCTCTTCTTTTTAAATATTCATAGCATAAGATGGCTCTGATTAGTCGGTGGTCAGAATCAAAATGAACCCTGTGATTACTTCACAATTCTTGATATTCTTTATGTTGTCTACCAGTATGTGGTCTATTTAACATGTTTTCCTATCAAGGGCTCACCACGTCCACTTCTTTTCACTTTTTTTCTTAAAGTAGGTATTCGCTATTAGCAGTCTGTTGGCCATGGTAAAATCTACAAGTAACTCCCCTCCCATGTTTCTCGTTCCATACCAGGAGCTTCCCATGATAGATTCTTCTCCACTAACACGTTTTCCAGCCCTTCCATTCCATTCTCCCATTACTATGATGGAGTATTTAAATTTTCTTGAACTCTCTAGAATATGTTGTACATCATTGTAAAAATTTTCTTTTTCTCCCTCTGCAGCAGAAGCTGTGGACGCATAAACCTGTATCAGAACTATTTTCTTATTTGTGCCTATATTAATAGTCATCGTTGCTACTCTTGTGCTTATTTCCTTAAAATCAGTTACTTTATTTTTCTATTTGTTGCTTACTATGAACCCTACTCCTCCTAGGCCTTTATCTGAGCTTGTGTGGGCGAATAGCGTGCCTTCCTTACTTTCTATGATTTTTTTAAATTTCCTTCTTACCTCACACAATTCTATTATGTTCCATTTCAAGTATTTTAGAGCCTGGTCTAATTCTAGTTTTCTATTATCCCTTGAATTGAATTTTTCTTTAATTGTTGACATGCTGATATAGAGGTTATAATATACAAATTATATTGTACAAAGAGGTTATATTGTACAAATGTCGATCAAGCACGTAAGGTGAAGTGAGGAGATGGCCGGAGCCAGAGACTGGTGGGGCAGTTTCCTTAATCCCACTCGAGATATTAAAGATGAGATGTATCTGATTTACCTGAATATAATGAAAATATATTTCTCTATAAAACTCCTTTTCCTCGTTCGATTTCTTCCAAACTTCGTAGTTTATTTCTCTTGTCACTAAACCACACTCAGGTCAAAAACTGTTTCAATTGGACCTCTATTATCGATTTTATGGACCTTTATCCAGGAGATGATGTGATACACTTTAACTACATCTTTGGTCTCCTTAGGTTTACCTTAATATAATTGTGACTGCTGTCTGATGTCCTCTGAAACAACAATTAATCTATTTATTATTTTTTTTTTAATTTTTAATAAGTTCAGTGATTAAAGCGGTCTCTCAATCTTTAAAACTCTTTAAAGGATTGGTTCTTAGTCTCAATACTTGATTAATGCTGATTTCCCGAAAATGGCATCCTTCATCTATTTCAATTCATCCCATTTGGGAATGGCCATGTCTCTGAGCCTTATGTTAACATTAATGATTTTATTGATCTGTTTATCAATCCCGAAGAAGAATTCTGATGCCGAAGAAGTAGAGGTTGGATTTCATGATCCTCATTTCAATATCAGCTACTATATTAATTTCAGTGTTTGCATTACAATCAAGATACTGAAGATTTCTTCTTCTCTCACTATCTCCTGTGTGCTGCTAAGCGTGGAGTAGCTGCCTCTGACCATCTTATCCAATGGTCCCTGTCCTGTGTAAGCCTTCTCATCTCTGGCATGGTGCTTCCTCTCGCTGCGCCAATTCTCTCTATCAAGTCTACATACATAAACCTTGGCCTGCCTTGAGGTCGCCTTCCTCCCGGTCTTGCTTCTAGAAGCCACCTGGCCTTACGGTCATCTCCCATTCTATTGACATGACCATACCACTTCAACTGCCTTTCTTCAATCGTCTCTAGGACGGATCTAACTCCTAGTTCATCTCGCACCCTTTCATTCCTTATTCGATCTCGCCTGGTTTTTCCCAATATTTTCCGTAGGAATCTCATTTCTGCAGAGACAATCTTGCTGGCATGGCGGTCCAAGAGTGTCCAGCTCTCCGATCCGTATAGCAGCACTGGGAGAAAAACTGATTTGATATAGCAGAATCTTCGCTTTTCTGCTCAACTCCTGCTTTCCAATGAGTGTCATAGATATTTGGTAGTATATTCCATTGGCCTTTTCATGACCTCCTGGTCTATTCTTCTATCCCTGCCAATCATTGTTCCCAGGTAGCAGTAGGTATCGGATTGCTCAAGGGTCTCTCCATTGCAAGTGATTCTAAGATCCTCGTTTCTTCGTCCAACACATATAACCTTCATTTTGGCGGGATTGATCTGCATACTTCTGAGTTGCAGTTCTTCTTGCCACTCATCCACAGCGACCTGGAGCGATTCAGTAATATCCACAACCAGTACCACATCATCTGCATACAACAATGCCTGTGTCAACACTGGGGTCATATTCCAGTATCCACTGTTGCTCTGGGTGTCCTCCTTTTACAAAATTTCCAAATGGCATCCATGAAAATTATGAAAAATAGGGGGTTCAGGCTATCGCCCTGTTTAACTCCTCTAAAGAAATGTAATGACCTAGACTCAGTACCGGCTAGCCTTATTACTCCCTTAGGGTCTTGGTACATTGAATGATATAAAACCTTTTAATTTTTTTTTTTTAAATGAATGTTATCTTTTTTTCATAGTTAAAGAAATGAATAAATAAACAGTTAACTTTGACTTTTTAGAAATTATTTTATCCTGTTTTTATGATGTACAAGTTCTTAGTATCTGTATTACATTATTCAAGTTAAATTTATTAAATTAAAAATAGGGGTTTTCATTTATAATTATGCATTTGAATATCAATTAAAGTTACATTTTGTAACACATGAATACATTTTTTCAGTATGTACATCCCTTAAATCAGTGATCTATACTCTCCAGACTGAGAAAGAGAAATTAAAAGGTTCATCTGATGAGAAACTAAGAAACTTGCTGTCCACTATGGTCCAACAAAATACAGAACTTAGGACAAGGCTGAGTCAAGTTCATAAGCAATCAGACACATCTGACATCCCTGACGGAATTGTAAGTTTTAAGTAAGGTGCTTAAGGTAACTGCATGGTAATTTTATTGATAAAAGATACAAGAGAAGTTCTTTACCACAAATTTTGCTAGAAAAACATTTTCCTTTTTTTTATTATTAATATTTTTTAATTACAGAAATTGCTGATTTTAGGATCTGTGCCAAACTCTGTATTTAATTAATTTATTTATTTTTTTAAATATTCAGCTTACTGTGAAAGGATGGGTTTGTCTGATGTTTGGAAAAGTATGTTTTTGGACATAACTGATTTGAACTGTTCTATATCTTCAAATCTTTTAAGTTTGGAATCAATGAAATAACTGTGGAAATTATGAATTGTAAATAGTAATATTCAATTCATATTTTTTTACCCAACTCAGTTTTATTAACAATTTTTAAACTATCACTAAACGTTTTATGATGCTAAGTTAACTGTATATTGATAAAAAAGTAAAATACATTTTTTTTACCACACATATTATTTGACTATTTGTTTTTAATTTGTAATTGATCATGGTGTAATGAAGATGCCTTGAGGAAATATTGATATTTTATTGGATATTAATAGTATGATTCTAGAATATCAATGTGAAGTAGGGTAGGGGGATAAAATAGAGCACTGGGGGACAAAACAAAAAAGGATAAAGAGAAGGGGCAGAATTTAAATGAGTGCATAGTTCTATTAAATAAAGGAGGGTTTCTTAATTTGGTGAGGAGGATGTTATGGTGAACTGTATCAAATGTTTTAGAAAAGTTCATAAGGATGAGAATAAATAATTTTGTTTGTATTCAATAGAGGCTTAAATTCAAGTCAAGTATTTAATTTTAAAGCCAGATTTGATGGAGTTGATGAGGATGAGTTCTTAGATATTTGAAAGCTTAGTTCATGCGAGAAGTTCCATTAGTTTAGAAAATTTTGAGAAGAGGAGAACAGGATAGAAGTCTTGCTATGAGGAAGGGATCAATTTTTAAAAAAATAATTATGATCAAATTTAGATGTTATTCTGAGGGAACCTTTAGTTTTGCTAGGAAAATTTGTAAATATGGCAGATAACTGGCAACAGAACATTTAGTTTTGCTGGAAAAAGTTGTAAATATGACAGAGAACTAGCATGACTACTATAAGATATGGTGTTATTAGTTTTACTAGAATATTGCTAGACTAAACTGTGCTGTATTTTAGTGAAATGCTTTTCTGTTCTTTTCTTTTTCGGTTAATAATTTTAATTATTTATATAGGCCTTAATTTTATTTCATTTTTATTGAAAATACGGAATAAAATATTAACCTTTTTTATAAGACCTATATTTTTATTGAAAAGATGCAATTATTAACCAGTATCTTTTTTTTAAAATCTTATTTTATTGAGAAAAAAAAAAAACATTTTGTCTCAATTAAGGGAATTGAACATTTGAGATGTATGAGACTCATTCATATCATATATACAATAACAACAATAGAGAAATTAGAACAAAAGAAAACTTAGTAAAACAGGAGAAATGAAACATGAGACAACATTAAATACAGATATAAAAACACGTTTATACTTATTTACAGTCAGCCGAGGGAGCTCTAAGTCAGGCCCTTTTCCCCACGTGTGGTGCTTCTCTCTAGATCCTAGTGTTTCTCTCTCAACCATGTCACTGAGATGGGTATGCAGAGGAGACTGAGAGCGGGCACTAAAGCCACATACGCTCATGACTTGAGTGGAGAAGCTGGACATAGCCATGACTCCAGTGACGTGTTTACAAAGCTCTCAAGGCCACTGCTGTTTTAACCTTCGAGGAAGATTGTAGGGATGACTGGAACTGGATAAGGATTGTGCTAAGGGAGTAGGATGATGAATTAGGTTCTGATGAAAAATTGAGAATCGGGATGGAATAACATGAAGAACAAAAGGGGTTTAAGGTTATAATGTAGAGTTTTGTTTGTAACATAATAAGAAGCATTGACTATTGTACGAAGGACTTTGGATTGGGAGGATTGGATGCATTTGGTGTTCGAAAATTTAGCTGTCCCCCATAGTTAAAGACCTTTTGTCCGTATGGGTTTTAGTATGGTCTTATATATTAATAATTGGTAATTGGTTGACTGTCGTGGATAATGAAGAGAAGAATAGTTGGGGTGGTCAGTCAAAAAGGAAGGCAAAAAATGAATGTTAATATTTATTTTTTACATATGCCGACGTTTCGACCTGAAGTTCAGACCTTCATCAGGGCTAAGAAAATAACCAGATAACAAGGTATGAGAAACATAAGTAATGATGGTAAAAAAGATAATAAAAAATAAAAAAATTTTCCTAGCCCTGATGAAGGCCTGAACTTCAGGTCGAAACGTCGGCATATGTAAAAAATAAATATTATAATTTATTTTTTGCCTTCCTTTTTGACTGACCACCCCAAATATTCTTCTCTTCATTGTATATTAATAATTTGTTTTTTATTGAGAGTTTCTGTTGAGTAGTCTTTATAATTAGCCCAATCGTCGGTTAAGTTCTTGTATTTTAAGTCTAGTATGGGGGTTCCATGTTAGTCTTTTGTTTAAAAGGAATCCGAGATACAGAACTGCGTTTAAATGGGAAGATTTACAGAGTTGAAAAGGATAGGTGGACACAATCCGCATCGGAGGGTAAAGGTGACATAACTTGCAGATAGGAAGTTATGTCTTTTAGCTCAGTCAAATTTGCACAAAAAAGGGGAGGGGTCTGCCTTGCAAAAGGTCGGGTAATTACATTTATATATATATATATATATATATATGTAGGTTCGCTGGAGTGCTCCAAAAACCACTGGAATTTTGGATTTTTTTTTTTTTTTTTCACTAAATATCTCATTTTTAAAGCATTATAGCTAAAAAATGATTATTTTCAATTTTAAACTGCTTGAAATTTTGCTAACATTTATGTAAGAAACATTTTTTTTAAACCCAAAGGAAACAAGCTACCGATCTTTCAAAACGGTCAAAATAGTCAATTCATATGTATTTCCATCTGCTGAATGCTGGGGAGTTGGTTCACCTGTCAAATAACAAAACAAAAATGCTCTTCAGCTGTTTGTAAGTCATTAAAATAGTTACTGTTGCTATAACTGTGAGTTTTGTATAGTTTCAGCTGTAATTAATACAGAATTTCTGGTTTGAGAGTGCTTTTTTAATGTAAAATTCGTAAAAATGTGTAAATATGGTGAATAACTTTTGCTATATTTGTGGGAAAATACCATTTTCCTCTCAGAAACACAATCTGACGCCTCTTGTAAAGACTGCCTATTATCTTTATTTCGTTGTGAAAGTAGGGGACCAGAATAAGTCTTGGGCTCCACATATATGTTGCAATGCCTATTCAGTTACACTGCGAGAATGGATGAGAAAGAAGAAACAATTATGGCTTTCGCTGTCTCTATGGTTTGGCAGGAATCTACAAATCGTACAGATGACTGCTATTTCTGCTTGACTCCACCTATAAAGGCAGTATTGTCTATGAAGTAAAGAAGAACAGTTCAGTACTCGAATCTTCGAGCTTCAATTGAGTGATCTCATTAGAGACCTTAGCCTGTCAAATGAGAAGGCAGAAATTCTTGGTTCTCAATTAAAGCAATGGAATCTTCTTGATAGTGATGTCAGAATCTCACAGTACAGAAAACGTCACAGGAAACTGCTTCCCTTTTTTTAGAAGAAAAATAATCTTGTTGTTTGCTGTGAAATTAATGGCTTGATGAAATCTTTGAATTTGAACCATGATCCAACTGAATGGGGGCTATTTATGGACTCCTCCAAGCTTAGTTTGAAAGCTGTGTTACTTCACAATGACAACCTTCTTTCTTCTATTCCTGTTTGTCATGCAGTTCACATAAGAAGACATGCAAATATGACAGCCCTCTTGGACTCACTCAAGTATTATGAACACAATGGAAAACCTGTGGTGAACTAAAAGTCATACTCTTAGGAATGCAACTGGGGTACTCAAAACATTGGTTCTTATGTATGTGGAACAATAGAGATGGAAAATTGCATTATATTAAAGGAGACTGGCCTGGTAGAAATCTTAACCCGAGAAAAATGTCGTTGCCAAGCCTCTCATGGACCCAAAAGATATTCTACTTCCACCCCTGCATATCAAGCTGAGTTTGATGAAAAATTGTGTCAAAAGTATGAACCAAGAAGGAGAGGCTCTAAGTACATAAGAGAGAAATTTCCGATTTTTTTTTTTTTTTTAACTTTCTTTATTGAATATTAATACATTCTGCCACATTGAAGGGCATTAATATTAAGGCTACATGATTCATTCACACAATATGTACATACAATTAATATCAATAATAAAAAAAAAGAAATATAAAAAAAATAAAATAAGTAAATTGGTATGCCTGTGTACAAAAAAAATAATGAAATAATAGATAAAAGCTAGATGAAATTAAAGTAAATAAATCACATTCACACCTATGTACAATATTTACATTCACCCAGGGGACTCTGAGTCATGCCTTATTCCCCGACGTGGAAGCCAAGGCAGGACTCCAGGAGATCCCAGTGCTTCTCTCTCAGCCGCGTCACTGTTATTTGAAACCAGTGGAAACTGATGGAGGGCACTATAGCAACAGACGCTCATGCCTTGAGTGGAGAATCTGGCCATTGCCAGTACTCCAATATATACATATTTACAAAAGGTCGCGGGGCCACTGCCGTTTTAACCTCCGGGGAGGATTGTAGGGATGGCTGGAGCTAGATAGGGATTGTGCTACAGGATTTGGATGATGAGTGAGTTTCTGGTGAAATTTGGAAAAATTTTCTGGGATTAGGTCAATAACAAATGGGATATGAAGGTCATTATGGAGGGTTTTGTTGGATACATAGAAGGGAGCATCGACTATTGTTCGGAGGATTTTAGACTGGAAGGATTGAATGCGTTTGATGTTAGAAGTTTTGCTGTCCCCCACAGTTCTATTCCGTAGGTCCAAATAGGTTTCAGGATTGTCTTGTAGATTAATAGTTTGTTGTCGACTGAAAGTTGAGATTTTCTATTCAATAGTCTATATAGTTGTCCGTATCGTCTGTTAAGTTGTTGTCTTTTAAGTCTGGTGTGTGGGTTCCATGTTAGTCTTTTGTCTAGAATAAAGCCAAGATACCGGACTGTGTCGGACAGAGGAAGTGGTATGAAGTTGAAGTAGACTGGTGGACAGGAATTGCGTCGAATGGTAAAAGTAATATGTTTGGATTTGGATTCATTTACTTGGATTCGCCACTTATTACAATAAGAGAGAGGTGACTTTGTAGGTTTAAGGATGCTATTTCAGGATCTGGATTGGAAGATAAGATGGCTGTGTCATCAGCGAATCGAGTTGCCAGGAGTGTTTCAGGATGAGTATGAATATCAGCGGTAAACAGAATGTAGAGGACGGGACCCAAGACGCTGCCTTGAGGAACTCCCGCCTTGATTGAATGACAGTTGGAGGATTCTGTACCATAGCGAACTTGAAAGGAGCGGTCAGAGAGGTAGGATCGGAGGATAAGATATAAGGAATGGGGTAGATGGGATTTGAGCTTGAAGAGCAGTCCGCCGTGCCATACCCGATTCCGAAATTAAGTGATGCAAAAGTTAAGGAAAGCATTTTTGTCGGGCCATAAATTCGAATACTTGTGAATGATCCTGTATTTGACCAAGTTTTGAAAGAGAAAGAAAAGGAATCTTGGTAAGCCTTCAAGGAAGTTGCTCGTGAATTTTTAGGCAACAAAAGAGGTAACAACTACACGCATTTGGTGACAAGTGTTTTCCACTCCCACCTAGACTTTTTCCCTCCTATTTGTGAAGCTGTTAGCGATGAACATGGAGAAAAATTCCATCAGGACATTTCTGTTATGGAATAAAAATATCAGGGTCATTGGAATGAAGCAATGCTTGCGGATTATTGTTGGTCTTTGTGTAGGGATGCTCCAGAACTCCCTTACAAGTGGCAAGCTAAAAGACAACAATCTTATGAAGCCACCACATAATCTGTTCAGATATGACCATCTGCGAGGTATTCTTCCAGCAATTTAGAACTCTTAGAATGTAACTACCATTTTGAAAAATCAAATGCACTTTCAATGTTGTTATCATATATAATTAAAATGTATCTTTTCTCTTAACCCGTTAATATGAAATACTTCCACCTAGTGTATATCACAGAAACTAGAGCTAAGAAAAATTTTTCATTGTCATATTCGTTTTTCTCAACCCAAATTTAGTAAGAATGGACTCACGAAGTACTGGAAACAATAAAAAATTTGTTTTTTTGTTGCCCAGTGTTATCTGACACATATTTACTTGCACTTCTGCCCTTAGCATGTTATTGTCTAAAATTGTTGGTACTCCTGGTTGTCTCAATGAAAAAGATTTCGTGGATTTGAACTTTTCATAACCATCATGGATCATTGTGGATCATTGGATCAAAGTGGAAAATCACTTTCAGAATGTAGAAATGTCTAATCATCCACTTGGATACACTTCACAATTGTTTTTAGTGGAACTGTTGCGTTAATATCCTTGTGAAGCTCAAAAACAATACAATACCGGATATGTAACTATTCTATTTAGCTGGACATTTCTCCGAAACCTATTAAAAATAATTCAAGATTTAATAATTTCAAATTAAATAACTCATTTTCACCTTAATATTTCTTTAGCACTAGTTTAAAGTACACAATGAGCTGATAAATGAGGACTCTAGAGGCAAAGGGGTATTTTTTTTAAGTGTACTTTTTGAAAAAATAGTTAAGTGCATGATTGATCTTGAAATCTGTCAATATACTTTGTTTTTAATATATATATATATATATATATATATATATATATATATATATATCTTTTCCTCTGCCCAGTGCTGTCATTCACTTAGCCTCCAAACAAATGTTAACTGGACTTTGGACGTAAAGCGATACAAGCCACAATTATGCTAATTGTACTTAAACTACAAATACATACAACTGTGTTATATTTTAAATTATGATTGATTTATTAATATTCGTTTAACAATAATCTGATTAGATTTACTTTATGCATTATTATATAAGAAATATTTATTTAATACAAATAATTAATAACTCCATAACTATATTTCATGTTTTCTTTGTGGCTATAAATTTTTATCGAGACTTCTGAAAATATTAAAAATTTTGAGATAGGATGGTCACATTTCCATTTATTTTAACATATTGGTATTCTTTGATACTTACATTCACCAATGGGTTATTGAAAGCATAGGTTTTAAAATACTGTTCTTAAAATGATAGGGGGTGAACGTGTACTCTTAAAATTGTTGGTATATTCATAAAAAGTGCCTATGATAACATAATAATGGACCCTTCTATCAAAAAAATCTAAAAGTTACAATAAATCAATAGGGGATGGTGAAATCTAAAAATTGGTAGTATTTTCATAAAAAGCTCCTGCAATAACCCAATAACGAACCTCAATACTGAAGAAATCCAATGAGCTAGTTGTTACTTTTCTCTATTATGAATATATTAGTTGGTTTTGAAAATGTTTAAGTGCAACTCATAATTTTCAAACATGATAAAAATCCATTTCAACTGTCAAAGTGGCTTTAGAAAAATGGTAACCATTACCAATTATCGCAATCACATAAGTAGTTTAACTTAAACCACCGTTTACCCAAAACATAGATAGTTTTATCACTTATACCCCTTTGCTGCTAAAGAATTCAAATGATAAATAAATATTTATGTGTCCAGAAATAACATTAATTTATAGTCCCCTCTGTATTTTAAAACATAATTACTTAAGCATAGCTAAATTGGTGTAATAAAAATATGAATATATCTTATAGTTATTACAATTTCTTGTTCTTTCCAGCAAACCAGGTCATTGAAGTCCTCCCTTAGCTATAGTTCTTGTGCTTCAGAATACCTTGATGCAAAAGAATCCCTTGAACAAAGTGAAACATCTTCTCCAGCGGTCTCGTCAGAGGATCTATCTGATTCATCAGCTATATCTGACTTAGCTGACTCAGAATACAATGCAACTATTGATTGTAATTATTATTTAATTATTTTTTTTTATTTACTTTTTTTTTTTTTTTTTTTTAAACACTTTGCGTACGGGTGATGAGATATCTCGTCTATATCAAACCAAAGGTTGAGGCCGGGTGATGAGATATCTTGCCTATAGCAAACCAAATGTTGTGGCCAGGAGACAAGATTTCTCATTTTAAGTTTTTTCAACTCGATCAACGACTTAAAGGATTGAAAATAGATTTTCTTGTTTATATTACTAGGGTAATGAAGTATCGTGTATTCTCATAGCAAAATTAATGAATGTTGACATTCAGAGAGCATAAAAGTCAGTTGATCATTAATAGCCATTATATCGGTAGATCTGTCATGATCGTGTATTGTATTTTCTGAAGTACTGGAATATTATGAGGACCATAATCATTAGTGTAGGATTTTAGGATAGTGGAAAGTAATTCATCGTAGGACACATGGTAGAAAAAAAAGTTCAATTTAGGATTGAAATAGTGATGTTTAATATCGGAATTAGGAGAGAAATTGTGAGTGAAGGATAAGAAATGGTCATTGAGATCATCTGGAGTAACAGGGATAGAACTGGAATTGGATTCTAGTAGGGATAGGTTACGAAGTATTTTCCATTTGGATTTGGAATCGGGAGCATTGGAAAGGGCATTATGGAAGTAGGTGGCTTTGACAAGTCGAACTGTGGATTGGATTGCATTGCGAATTTCCTTGAAGGATACATAATCCGTAGCCAAACGGGTTCGATGGTATTTGCGCCTTGCTGCATCCCTTCTTTTCATCATTTCCTTTATTTCAGGAGTCGACCAAGGTGCAGTGGGAAGATTTAAGGTTCTAGTTTTCAGAGGAGCATGGATATCTAATAAATAATGTAGATTTGAGGTTAGTGTAGATACCATAGGATCAATGGAATTATAGGAAGATCTGATGTCCCATTAGAAAGAATCAAGGTCAGGTTGAAGGGATCCATAGGAGAGAAGGTTTAAATTGCGGTGCGAAACCACTTTGGGACTAAAGGATTTCACCGGTAGGTCGTATGTAATTTGGATCAGGTCCTGTGATGAAAGAAATGGGACAGGATGTTGAGAAGAGGAGAGGATTTTGATGTGAGAGTCAGAGATGTAAGGGTCAAACCAAGTGTCGGAAAATTGAGTGTGATGGGTAGGATAATAAGGAACAAGATAAAGATTAAGGGAAAACAGTGGTCAGTTAGAAAGTATTTTTCAGGAGATTGTGAAAGCATATTCACATTAAAATCGCTAGTGATAATAATATTGTTATATTGGGAAACCAGATTGACAAGGAAGGATTCAAAGAAGTTGTCGAATGGAACTCGAGGAGGACTGTAAACTACGGCAAATAACAGAGGAGAGGTAATAGAGAAAATTTCAGCAAACATGTATTCCATGTGAGGAAAGTCTTGAGAAGGAGACTGTAGGAAGATTTTGGCACAACGAAGACACCACCTCCCTTGCGATCAGATCTGTCGTGGCGTAGGAAGGAATAATTGGGTATGAAAATCTGGGAGGAAGGGATAAAAGGTTATAGCAAGGTTTCGGATACTGCTATTATTTGGTAAAATTGTCAAGGAAATGTTTCTGAAATTCATCGTAGTGTGCAGTAAGGGATTGTGCATTGATGTGACAGGAATTCAAGATATTAGTCATGACTGGAGAGTTGAGAAATAGAATTTTGGAAAAATAATCGAGGATGAAGGAAAGGATATAACAATTCTTAAACATAATATTAAGTTTAAAAAAAACAAAAAAAAAACATAACATAAAATAAACTTTGAAATGAACAAAATAAATTTCCAGTATTACAAAATAAATATTCATTTAAGATTAATTTATAACATAAGAAAATATAAATATCCCCTTGTTTTAGGTGAATAGATAAAGATTGGCAATCAAACAAACTTCTAAATAATTTATACAAGAATAAAAAAAGCTGAAAATAAAAATAAAAATATTTCCAATGAGAAAAAATCATCATCTTAATCATTCCCTCTTCTACTGCCGTTTGGTGTGACGGCATTCCATGATTCGGCCATTTACGAACTTCCATGTCTTTATTACTGAAGTCAGGTCATTATGGAACAAGAACCTGACTCCTCCAGCTGCTCTTCCATTCCTGTTAACCCCTAAATATAATAATGTGTAATCCTGGATTTTAAATTCTCCCTTTCCTTTCTTCTTAGTCTCGGTAATTCCAAGCAGATCCACTTTGGCCCTCTTAACTTCCCCTACAAGCTCATTCTCCTTTCCGGTTAGACCTCGAATGTTCCAGGTAGCAATTCGAAAAATACGTTTTCCACGCCTTGTCTCATTTCGCAAAGTCAGTCCAGCTCTATTCGTTCTGTTTTCTGTAATATTTTAGACTTAAAGGAGAAGCAGGGTATCAGCCCACTTCTCCCGAGTCAGGTAGAGAGGCTGCTTCTTCGGAGCACCCTGACTTACTCCCCCATCCGGGGTGGCTACCTAGGGAAGATGATCCTAGGGTGTGTACTGACTGTGACCTTATGTTAGTATAAGTGATTAGTGTACTGTTGTGAGTGTGTTAGTGTTGTATACTGAACTCGGGAACCTGGGGAACGTTAATCCCCACTAGCTTTGCACTAAGCTAGCCCCTGGGATGAGAAAAAATGTATATAAAAATAAAAAAAACAGAAAATAAAAAAAATAAAATAAAGGTATTTCTGGTGAGAAAAAATAAATTGAATACAAATTCAAGGTAACTTATATACAGCGTTCAGCTGAAAACGTTCAGATCACTTGGTTTTTCTATAATTACTACTGGGTATCCATCCGATATTCTGCAACAGATTTTACCCCCTCTAAACCAGACTTATTTTATTTGTGCAGTCACCCTCTTCTGCCTGGCTAACCACTAAAGGTGTTTATTGGCAGTTGCCATGGCTTCACTCACATAGACGTGGTGCGAGTCTTTCTCTCCCCAGCCTAGCTGGCATGTAGAGAAATCTCTCTTTGCTCTTCGCTGCCGCACCAGCTATTCTCTCAACACTTGTCTGACTATAATTGGGCCAGGGGTCCCTTCTTGCTTGGGTTTTAGTCTCATGGTGTGATCAAGTTCGTCCGAACTCAACTTGAAGCCCTGACCCGCTCCGATGCTAAGAATCGTACCAGTTACAGTTTCATCAGGCTTCTCCGGAATTTCTCTAATTTCAATTGTATTTTTCAGTAGAAACTGTTCTGTGGAATTCAGACGACTTTCCAGCTAGGATATTTTTGTTTTCAACATGTTATTTTCCATAGTTAATTTTTCAGCATAGGTTTTTTGCTTTTCTAGGAGTGTTTCAATTTTTAATAACTGGTCCATATTCTAGAAAGACAGTTCCTATTGCTTCTGGAGGGTTTCTTTTATCTCCTTTAGTTCGTCTAAACCCTGAAGTTCGGACTTCAATTCCTTAACTTCATCAGCCAGTGCTCTCTTTAGGTCTATCATAGTACTAGGCTCAGAGGCTGGCAATGTATGCGCCCCTGTTTCGCAATTGGTGCATTTCCATTTTTTACTGGTTTCTTTTAGGCCTTCTGAGTCTGTAAAATCTATTTTCATGCATTTAGCATGAAAGATGTTTTGGCATGTGACACAAGCCAATTTAGTCTTGTCTTCTCGACCTACCATTTTTCCACATAGTTTGCAATTAACCATTTTGATAAAAATAAAATAAATAAATGTCACAATTGCTTTAAAATGATGAGAGAAAACGAAAGTAATAACTACAGCAAAGGCTACCTGTTTGTTTGGGTGGAGGCTGATAGGATTAGGCTGCTCCTGGCTATCTCCACTACTCCAACTCAGCTGCTTCTATCACGTCATTTTTTTTTTTCATTATACAACTAATACCACAACAAATTACTGTAGTGTAATATTAATTTGATATTATGAAAAGAGGTAATTGTGAAAAAAAAATAGCAGAAAAGTCTTCAAGTGATGTAATATAGTGAGAAGCACTTGTTAAGTTCTTAACGGTTAGAGAGATACTCTAAGACTGAGTGTATTTTTTCCTATAAAAATGCAAACAAGTAGTTTCTCTGAAAGCCTTTTTTTTCCACAATTTTATTAATTTAACGGTACAAACTTTTCTCACATTTCACTTATGTGAAAATCTTCTAAAGTTTTCCAATTCTTTTTATTGTCCAGTTTTTCTCTATATTAATTGTTGGCATTTAGACTTTTCAGAAAGAAATACATAAAAATTATGTATCATGTCTTTAAGATTTTAGTTTATTAGATGCCTGAAAAAAACATAATGATATTGAAAATACAAGATTCTAAATCTTTCAAATTTGATATTGAAATGCTTTTTTAAGTTCTTTCACAACATTTTAATGATTATAAATAATAGTATTGAAAAGTAGTTGTTATCTGAAAATCTTGAGATCTTGTCATGCAAGTATTGTCAAAATTAGAAGGCAACAGGTTTTGTTGAAAAGATGGACTTACAACTTTTTCTTCTGTAATTTTTTATTAGATTATCTATTTAGTTGTGAGAAGTATTTGGGCTGGGGGTTAAAGTTGGTTTTAAAATGAAAATTTTGGACAAGCAACGTAAATAAATATATATAAAAAAATAGTAAATGAATTACCTTATTGCATCAAATTCAAGACTTGTTTTTTCATCAGAACTGAATTTTGAAAATAGGTATTGTCTTACATTTAATGGCATTTAAAATTTTAACTCTAATATTTAATTTACACAACTTTTTTATTTAAAAGATAGCATTGAAATCTTATGTAACAATGTATGATAATGCAGAAGTTTTTTGTTATATTTGAATGTCCCACGGTTACTGCAACTTTGTTACATTGTGCTGTCAGAATATGACACTGAAGCATTTCATAGCCTTTTCAGCATCTCATCAAAGACATGTGGCTCAGTCACTAAACATCCTCATAGCATGTCCAGACGGGACTGCATAGCAGTTCCTTAGTTTCAACTTAGAGCAGACTGAAGAAGTATTGCTCTACAGTTTATTGAAACTACTCTATGCCTTTAACACAATAAACAATTACAAATTAAACAAAATAAGCAAGTGAACAATTGGTAAATTAAGAATATTTTTTCTCCAAACCAGCAATTATGACAACTTATATAAAGCAACACCTATAATATATTATTTGTATTGAAAGATAATCTTGTAAAAATATAGATTACTTTATTTATAAATTTTTATTGACAACTTAATAATAAATATTTACATTTCATTTCAGTTCCTTCAACAGTAAATGAAACAGCTAACCTAACTGGAAGAAGGTCAACTCTTCCAGTCCCTAGGCCAAGTACTGAGGGGCTATCATTATGGAATCTTCTTTCCAGAAACATAGGCAAGGACCTGTCCCAGGTCTCCATGCCTGTTGCTCTCAATGAGCCTTTATCCATGTTACAGGTACTAGTTTTGTATCATTAGAATATTTCAGTTTTAAAATTCTGTATTTTTAAGTTTATGTGCCACCACTTTAGGTGCCACCAGTGACTTACAGTTGTCACTTTAGCTATGACAACTGGTGTCACTGATGAACTCAGTTTTGTGTTACAGAGTTGAATCATCACTGAAAAGTATTTTTAAAATGATAGTTTAAAAAATGATCATGCTACTTCAGTTTCCTCTCATTTTCCCAATAACCAACCCAACAGTACTCAACCTCAGACAAAAAAAAAAAAGTTTTGCTTTTATTATTAATTTACTGATTGCTAAATTCTTGATGTCTCATAAATTTTCTGAGAAGTCTATTTTATTTTATTTTTTATTTATTTGTGTTAATTTTTGTAAACTATACTACCTTAATAATTTGTTTTATTAGTCAAAAACCAAAATATACTCATTTGCAAATGGTGTGGATCATTGTATTAACTGTTCATAAAATTGTGAAGAATCAATATTTTTCCATTTTGACGCCTGTTGATTGTTTACACTCCCAAAGGGCTAATTCCTTTGAAATGAACTCTCAAACATAAACATAACAGGGAATTATCCTTAGTTTAATTTGTTTACTGCTTGTGGTAACTTCACTAAACCTGTATTTCTCGAAAGTAATTTTTTTCTTACTAATCCTTTTTAGTATTTTATATTATTTTACTAGCTTTACCCGGCCACGCGCTGCTGTGGCTTAGCCTGGCTAAATGAAAAAGAAAGAAAATAGAAAGTACATATGAGTAGATTAATAGCAAAGGACATCTGTCATTTTTAAAAAGTTGGGAAACAAATTTGACTGTAAAATGGCTTCAATTTAAACTTATTCTAATGATTTTTTTTCTCATGATTCAAATTAAACATTCATAATCATCTGAGTGAATACGCTGTCATTCATAATCATCAGAAACAGTCTGAGTCGAACTTATAAAACTAAAATAAAAAATTAATATAAAGGACGTATAATAGTATTGACCTACATAAGGAGAATCATATAACTTCTTCAAATGATAATGTCAATTACTGCAGTGATTATAAAATTTTCGATTAATCAATAAAAAAAAAAAAAAATGCTTGCCTACCTTCGGTAGTGAGGAAGCAAAAGGAAATGGCCTTTTCTGAAGAGAAAGCAGTAAATGTTTAAAACTCTATAACTCTGCAACGAACCGTCCGATTTCGATGATTTTTTTTTTTTTATTTTGTCAGCAATTCAGAAATCTTTCATATAAATATGGGTATTATACGTCAAAAATTCTGTACTTTTTTAATTATCGTCAAATAAAATATTGAATTCATCGTAACATTTTTCACCTTGTTTTCGGGAAAGTATGTTATACACATAAATTAAAAGGGTTTCAAGGGGAAGACTTTAGCCAAGTTTCGTTAAAATCACCGTTTTGGCGCTACAGTTTATAGCGACACATTTTTTTGCAGCTTTGAACAAAAAAACATTTACTTTTTTATTTTGTTTACATTTATAAAATTATCGTAAGACAGAAGTAATATGCCAGAAACCTTCCCAGGAGTGTACGGAACAACTTCCCAAAGTTTCATGGCGATCGAATGAATGGTTTAGTAATGCACAAAGGACAAACAGACAGACAGACATACATTCATTTTTATATATATATATATAGATTTATTTATTATTGAAATGAAAATTAATTTTATTCTGGGACTGAAGTCCCTTTAGAATAATTGTAGATTTAAAAAAAATATGTACATTAGCCTGGCATATAGATATCATACAAATATATACAAAAATTACTTAGGAAATTGTAAATATATATCATAACCCAGAAATTTTTACAAGCTTGCGAATGTTTGAATTTGTGGTAGGTGGTGGAATTGGAGTTGTTTGAAGGAGTTTATGGATGTGGTTTGACGTATGGAGAAGGGTAAGGAGTTCCAGAAGGAGGTAGCACGAATGACGAAGGATTTACTGAAGGAAGTGGTGGGAGGGGATATATAAATCTATAGGTTGAGATCTGGTGTTGAGAGAGTGGATAGAGGAGCATAAAGTAAGGAGTTCTAAGATGTAGGAAGGATTTTTGGTTCTGAGAACTTAGGAAGTAGGATAAAGCCACTTCAACTCAGTGTACCAACAAGAAACATCAGAATACTTGGGAATCCCAAAGATGAATCTTATGAAGCAATTCATAAGTTTATTTAGTCTCGCCTCCAGTCCTGTGGACACCCCTCGATACACCAGGCAACAGTAGTCGAAGTGGGGGAGAACAAGGGATGTTACAAAGAGCTGTCTGGTTGTTTTTGGAATGGAATTACGGAATCGAAGGAATTGTTCGAAGGATAGTTATGGATTTATGGGTCATCTGGGAAATGTGGTTGTTCCAAGAGAGGTTCTGATCAAAGATCACTCCGAGGTTTTTGACTGTCGGAAAGAAATAGATGGGGCGGTTATTGAGGTAAAGTAAAGAAAGGAAACTAATGAGGTGCTTGGAACTGCATATAAGTGATAGTGGGAATGACAAATAGATTCAGGAAGGTCGCTAATATAAATGGAGAACAGAGTTGGAGGGAGTGAGGATCCCTCGTGTTAATTGAAGGGACGAGGAAAGAGATTTGTCAGGAATAACAACTATCTGGGAGCGATGGAATAGAAGAGAGAGGAACCATTTCAGAACGTTATTCAATATGGGTAAGCTTTAGAGTTTGGAAATGAGGATATTATGATTAACGGAGTCAAAGGCTTTTAAGAAGTCGAAAAGGACTAGGATGGAAATTTACTGTTTGTCTATGGATGATTGGAGGTCTTGGCTAATCTTTAATAAGGCAGATTGGGTGGAGTATTGGGAACGAAAACCGGATTGTAGAAGATTGAGGTGATGGTTTTGCTCAAGAAAGTTGTTCAACTGAGATTGAACTAACCTTTTTAGAGGCTTCGTTAAAATTGAAATGGGTCTGAAGTCGGAAGCTAGTGAAGGAGCAGGAACTTAGTTCAACGGCTGGACAATGACTTTTTCCAGGATTTAGGAAAAATGGAATTTCGGAGAAAAAATATTCGTGCTACATTCCCACAAGAACCTGGTTCTCTCTTATAATTCTTCCCCACTCTCCTCTCTTTCAGGCAACCATCTCTGGATTCCCATCCTTTTCAGGATATCCTCCATCTCTTCTAGTCATCTCAGACGTGGTCTTCCACCAAGTCGATCCTCCATCAGGCGTTTGGGAATCGATTCTCTGGGCATACACGCCACATGGCCCAACTATTTGATTTCGTTACTTCTCACAATTGAGACTAAATCTAGTCTTGCATAGATCTTGCACAACTCTTTATTGGTACATCTTCTCCACTGCCCATGTTCACACACAGGACTGTAGATCCTGCAGAGAACCCTTCTCTCCCAAGTGAGTAGCTTCCTTTTTGAGGCCTTAGAAATCAGCCAAGTCTCCATAGGTGATGATGGGTCATATGACTTTCTCGTACAGTGTGATTTTTGTCCTATGAGAGAGGAAGCTTTAATTTAATAATCTTCACATGGCAAAACAGCACCTATTCCCAGCAGCCATTTTTGCTTTCAGTTCTTTCGTCATTTCATTACTTTCTGTAATTAGAGCATCCAAATGCTTAAAGGTTTCTATTGCTTTCAGGATGTGATTTCCTATTGTGACACATTGCTCTAAAAATTATAATATAAAATATTATAGCAGTTAACCGTAGTGGACTTTAAAAAAAAGTAATAGGTTCACGAAATAAAACGCATGAAGTTGGAATCAAGACTGGTTTATTGTCCCTTCTAATCCTCTGTATATACATTCTGAGCTTGTTTACATCAGTGCTGTTGGTATTAACACTAATACTGTCCCACTCCATACCTTACCGTAGTACCTTACCATACCTTAACTTAGCATTAAGAAAGTATAGTTTGTAAAAAATTGAATGAAAGAGATTGTCTTAATTTACCTGTTCATGTTCACCCCTTTACCTCTGAAAGTGACATATTTTATGATATAATTGAAAATAAGTTTTCTATAAGCCTTCGTTTCTTTTATGACAGAAATCAGTTAAAAAGCAATAGAAGGAAAAGGAACAAAATGAAAGTTTAGAATAACTTTTATTTCTATTCATGTATTCATTTTTTCACCAGCACAAGTAACTTTATGGCCTTAAGAGGTCTATTATACACTGTCTTATACTCTGTTAAGATGCACACAAGTAGCCTTGATGAAACTCCACATGTTTTCTTAATAGCCCTGGAGCCAGGGCCCAAAAATCGACCTGATCGCAGGCGAAGGTTTGACTATAAATTCCGAAAGTGTATGTTATTGTGAGTAAAAAAAACCTTGTCTGCCGTTCCAGAGCCGCTGCTTTCAAAAATGGCGGCTGATTTAAAGAATATTAGGCCAGTAATTTGAGGATCGAAACGGGAAATCCATTGCAAAACATGTGAGAAAAGTTTTTATTTTTTGAACTTGTATATATGGGTTTAGACATGTAAAAAATAAAATTGCTAACGCGGACCACCAAGGGAAAACTTTTTACAGCCAAAAAAGTCAGATTTTTTCGATATTTTTTGGGTTTTTCAACTATAACACCTAAACAATGCATCAACACGAAAAATGTACTCTTTAACAAATTAAAGAACGTTAAATTTTACGTTAAATGAGTATTTAAACTTTATAATTTGGTTACGCGGTAAGGTTTAAAACCACGGTCAACCAAAGCTGAGTTTTACCTAATTTGTCAAAAACTGAGAAAAATTACTATAAATGGTCCTGTAACTTGGAAATGAGTTCCCTAAGTGGAAGAACTCATAGCTCTCATTAAGATAAACCGACTGCTTGTTTAAAAACTTAAATGAGAAGTGGTTATATTTACTTTTAATAGGATATAACTCAAAATTACAATAATTGTACACAAAGCCTAAGCTTTATGAAACATGAATAAAATCACTGGACTCAAGCAAAGTGTCCCTCTTTATAAAAATTATAGTTTATACACTTTAAAAAAAAACCCAATAGTTATGACTAAAAATAAAATCTCTCTCTCTGTCTCTCTCTATCTATCTCTTTCTTTCCCTCTCTCTCTATCTCTATCTATCTATCTATCTGTTTCTTTCCCTCTCTATCTCTCTCTCTCTCTCTCTCCTATCTATCTTTTTCTTTTTTTTTTTACTTTTTTTTCATGCTCTTATGACAGCCATATTGTATACCTTGTCAGAATACTGTATACTTGTTTTTTTCTGCATGTTATATATCTATATTAAATTCAGTATGATGAGGGAGTATCGGGTGGTTTAGTAAGAAATTTCTTGCAAATTTCATAGAAATCTAAAGGTAAGATTTTATTTTTAAATATAAAACTGAAAAGCTTTTTTCCTCCTGAACTTGTTTCTCTCCAGACCAAACCAGGGTTATATATGTAATGATTGATAAAATCTCTATTTCTACTAATTCCAAAGTTGATAATAATGGAGAATAGTAATGCTAAGGATTATCGAACACCTAGATTCAATGCTGACGCCACGTACTTTTATTTTGATTCTTCCTTTCCATTTAGGCAATATGGGTCCACAGAACAGCAGGGATACAGGGATACATACCTCTGTTGAGAATTCAACACAGGTCATTTATCTTGTATTTTTTTTTCTTCTTTGTGTTCAGGATCACTACTATCCTCTTATGCTTTTTCTCTGTTCAGTGACGCTCTCTCCCTCCCCCATCCACATTGAAACAGCTCATTCTCTCTTCAAACAAAAGGACTTATAGTAGTACTGGTTGTTCTCCATCATCATTACCTGGAGAAACTCGCTGTTTCTCTGACTCCAAAGGCTTCTCTCTCTGAGTAGCTTGGTCTGTATTAGTTCTTCATAGGCAATGCAGGCTACTATTCTGTTCTCTAATACTGGGCTATCGAGGATTGATGTTCTTACCATGTTTAACAAATTTTACTGAGAAACTCAGACTCTGTGACAATCTGTGAGGGTCAGTATTCCAGTAGCAATATTGATATAATGCTAGTATTTTCATTACAATTATTATTCCTGGGTTTAGATCTATACTCGCCAAAAAGTGTTGTATGTTCATCGTTGCAACTATAGACTGCTTGGTCTTGTAGATTGCTCCCTGAAGGGTAGTTGAAGACAAAAGCAATCATGAGGCAGATCTAGCTCTTGCCTTCTAGTGCTGGATATACTACTAGTATATTACCATATTACCGTTGAAATTTTTCATTCCTTTGACTGAGCCTATGTTCATATTATCATTGTAAATTGAAGTATTAACACAAAATCCTTATGATTTAAGAAAGGGCGAGCTATAGCCACATGTTTAATTCTCTTTGTAGGTTTGATTGTGACTCCACCACAGTGTATATATATGTAGTTTTAATGAAACAAATCAAACCATATATGTCCTCAGTTTATCCTTTTTATTTTAAGGACAAAATGCATATATATATATATATATATAATAAAAATTGCAACTAGTATTAAGAGATTAAATCTTCTTTGTATATGAGAGATTCTCTTAATATTATTTGCAATATTAATATTATTCGATTTTTTTTTTTAAGTTCAATGACATTCCAAAAAATTAAGATTATTCTTGTCTATATTTCAGTTTACATTCTTAGAAGAGTAAATTCAGTTATGATCATAATTTCAGGAATCAAATCTGGAGCTATTCTTACGTTATTATTAATATTTTTTATCACATTTATGACTAAAGATTAACAAAGATTTTGCCTCATAAAAAAATGAAAGGCATTTTAATCTGTCTATAATTAACATAATTTTTTTATCAACTCTGTTTATAACTTGAACTGTGAAAACATGACAGTAAGCAGTATAAAGAAACTTTGGACTTTGAAGGACTGGTATTCGATTTGTGCCATCCATATTTTCAAACCCTCTTCTCATTTTGAGAGATTATTATATTAGTCAATATTCCTCAGATTGAAGAAATAGAAATAAATAATAAAATGATCATTATAAATTTAAGTCACTTGACAAAAATAATATAGACAGACTTTATCTCAGTTAAGATAGTGCTGAAGTTAACAGTCATGTTTACGTGCATAAGGATCACAATATGTACTATGATGGTGGATACTTCACTGAGTTGTGTTTTTAACAATCTTGTTCTATCAATAATCATAAATTAGAAAAAAAATTAAAATACCTTTTTTTTATATAATCATTAATTTATTATGAAAAATGGTTTTATTCTTAATAACGCTGACAGAGTTTAATTTGGAGAAAGAATGAAGAAAATAAAAAAAAAGGAAAGATACTTTAATTTCTGAAATCATCTTGTTATTTGAAATTATGTGTGGAAAAATTGTAGTCAATTCATTTTTTAGAGATTCAAATTGTTCTATGTATAAAAATTATATTATACATTTCTAACGCTTCATTTTTTTTTCTTTTCTGATTTTTGTTAAGCAGATATGCATGCAAAGTGATACAGTAATGCTAAATATTAATGCTTGGTGATATATTGACTGATTACAGAATTGGCTAATGAAGGCTCTCCTGCTCAAAGGCTACAATGGGTTCTTGATGGACCATTACAGGTACCTATCAATTAAAATTATTATAATTTGATGGTTATTTGAAGTATATTTATTTCTACTAATTGTATATCTTTACCTAAACCTATGAGCCAATATCATCCATGTTTTGATAATTTTTTATTTTTTACAAAATAATGATAACTCTCTCCTTACTTCTTTCTTATAGTTATAATTTAATAACTAATCACTCTCAATTTATAGCATCATTCTTTATTAGTTTTATTTGTATGTTTCAGGGATACTTTGTACCCCTCTTCATCATCTAATATTATATAAATAATACATTCTATTCTGAGTTAGTCATTTTTTTTTTCTGTTGGCATATAAAGACCTTTTAGATGTTTCGCCACCTTAACCAGCCTTCTTCATATCTGTCTATCTTAGACTATTTCTTTCCAGTTATCTACATGCAATATATTTCATCTATGTTGATTTCATCTATCCATCTGATTTTTAGCGTTCCACATGGCCTTTTATGTATTATTGAGGCATTCATTGTTGTATAGAGGTTTCCAGATGGATTGCTCTGAACTACATGTCACCCTTCTTAACCTTCTTGCCTTCATATTAAGCCTATAACTCATCAGAGATATTGATTGACCAGTTTCTATAAGCAGTTCTTTATCATTCTTTCTCCTCCTTGTGTTAATATTCCGATCCCAGATTGCTCCGGTTATCGTGCAGAGGCTTTTTCTATAAAATATTTCAATACTTCTTTCTAGGGTGCTAGTTAGTATCCAGGTCTCTTAGCCGTGTATCATAATTGGCTTTCTCTTAAAATTTTAACACTAACTATATGTTGTATAATAATACACCCTTGTAAATATACATATAAATGGGCATAACGAACACTACATTGGAGTTAAAATCGTCTACATATATATTTTACACAGATACATGTTGTTTGTACCTACATATAAAGCCAATAGACTGTTAATTAAATACATATCAAGTTAGTACATGCATATGTGCATCTCACTGTTCAGCAATTGTAAAATAATTTCCAATCTTTTTTTTAAAAATTATTTTTGTAATCATTTTTGAAATGTTATGTGGATGAGTAAACATGTAATAATCGACGTCACAGTTTTCCAACAGCTCCAAAGTGTGTTAACCACGTTTGTGGCTTCTATAATTGTTGGAGGAGCTTTTGTGAGCACAACATTGTACTTATGTATTTAATTAATTATTTCTTGTCAGAAAAACGTTAGCCTTCTTGTTTTGCCTCTTTTTATTTATTTTTAATATGTTTAATGGATCTGTTTTCATTGACTTTGATTCGCAATACCTTATCAAATTGGGGCATGTGAATAGCTTTATCATTACTGAGGCTAAACTCCAGTGATGACAACCTGTGTCTATTAGATTTTGAAGTGTAATAGGCATTGATAGTTAAGCAGGATATCACATCACTCTGAAGAGATGATCTTGCAATCAATTAGTTATGAAGATTTATTCTTGAAGGAAGTTAGTCGACTGTTCTACATATCATGGTTGATAAATATTCTGGACGCAGTCTTTTTAAAAAAAAAAATTTAAAAATACTGCATCTTGAATATTTATCAACCATGATATGAAGATGTATAATTAGTAATGTTCCATGTTTCATTTTTTGCTGTTATCTATTATCAGATGTTTCTCTACATTTTGTTCTTATTCATGGGTGCTATTGCAGTATATCTCTCATAATTTAGTATGGTGTTTTTTTTTTTTAATATTTGCATATCATATTTAACTTACCAAATTAGTAAGTAGTTAACTGTTTTTAATTTTCTTTTTATTAACTTGCTTATGATCGTTTGTAATGAATTAATTCAATGCTTTTATAAGGTTGCAATGACTGAGCTGAACCATACTCAACAAGCACTGAACCAACTGTCAAAGATTCTGGACAATATGGAGCATGGAAACCCTGATTCAGAGGTAATACTTCTGTTTGTTTACATACTAGATCAACAAAGATGCCCACCATAATCTCGTTTTAAGCTAAAGTTTTCTCAGTTCTAAAGAACAGATTGTGCAATGTAGTGATTTTCTGTCAATGTTAAATTTCTGATATGTCTGCACATTATTTTTCCAGTACTTGCATAAAAAATTGCATTAAATTTCATATCAGTATGTTTCTTTAAAGGCATGGTCTATTTCCCTTGTTTTGTTTAATGGCTAGTTTTTTGTTTTTGATAAATGCTCAGGTTTACAGAACGCATTATGTTTTGGCAATCCGAAAATCTAATTGTAATGCTAGATTTAAATTATATAGAACAGAATTATAGAATTCCTGTAGTTCTATTGACCCTATGGTGTCCACTCTTACCTCTAATTTACTATCAATATTAGATTCTCATGCTCTTTCAAACACCTCCACAAGATTACCTTCTCTATCGGACTTTCTCAAAAATATTTTCATGAAAATCTTCTCCCCACTTCTTTACAGACTTTTCTATTGGTCGATTTTGTATCTATGTTAATGGTTATGTATGCTTACATTAGTAACATGCTATTTATCTGACTTTTTTTCAAAGAAATTGATAACCAATTGTGACCTAAGTTTTGAAATTATCTATATACAATAATTTTATGTATAAACAATTTTATTTATAAAAAAATTAATTTGAAAAATACACAATTTTCAAATATTTTTCTGGTAAATTGATTATAAACCGTGTTTTTCATCAATATCTCTATTATAGTACCTTAGCTGTATTTATAAGTGACAAACTAAATGTTCCTGATTCTAATATTAACATTTTCATTAAAATAATTGAAGCAATCAGCAGGTTTTTTTATTATTATTTTAGACTAGAATTCTATTTTATCACTTACAAATGCAGACCAATTCCTATAATCGAGATCTCAGTAAAAAAAACTCAGTTTATAACCAATTTATCCGAAAAAATCAGTATTTTTCTCATTAATTTTTTTAATAAATGAAATGTGTGTTTAGTCAACTGGGTTTATTATAATACATCCCAGATCATGGAAAAATATAAACTAAAAGATTTAAAACAATTAATTTTAGTCATTTTTTCTGAAAACAGGGGTACTTTTACTTGATAGGATTAAAAATATTCTTTTTTTTTTACACAATTTGAGCTTAATCTCAAGTTTTTCTCTAATAAACCTTAACTTAATTAATACAAACTTAAAGATTATTAAACGACGCAGTTTTTGTAAAAGTGTGGTAACAGTAGTAAAGTTTGATGGTGATAAAAAAAAATTATGATTTTTTTTAAAAAACAGAACTTAGCTTAGTTTAGCCGCTCAAAAGTCCTCTGTAAATGATTTTAACAATGATAAAATGTATCTTCAATTAAAGTAAATTTCATCTTGTTTATAATGAAGCAATTATTAATGACTTAAATCAAATATTTCTTTAGTCATTGCTTTTGATTCAATAAAAAACATGACTTACTTAAAAAACCACAAAACTAGGATTTCCTACTTTTGTTCTGAAAATTGACCCATTGTTTATATGAAATGTTTTGTAGCTCTTGAGGTCTGCTATCGCTCCTATAAAAATTTCCTTTTACTTACAGGACACCCTGTATATATAGTTAATAATTATTTTTTTAAGGTCATAATAGTATTATTTTGTGATCTTATAACCAATAAATAGAATAATTATTTACTATGAGAGTGAATTTTGACTAAATTATTTGTGTATTTATGTATATATAATTTTTTTTCAATTTAATCTTCAGAGCATAATTGAGGGGTTTTCTCCCAATGTCAAGAAAGATAGGAAACGATTTGGATTAAGGAAGAAGAAAAGTAACAAAGGAAGCTCAGTTGACCTAACTTCTTTCAATAGAGATGAGCACAATCCTCAGGTTGGTGCAATATTCTCATATTAATTATTTATTATATTCGTGGGTTGATGGTTGACTATAGTGAATAATGAAGAGAAGAATAGTTGGGGTGATCAGTCAAAATAAAAATGGCAAAAATAAATAATAATATTTATTTTTTCCATTTTTATTTTGACTGATCACCCCAACTATCCTTCTCTTCATTTATTATATTCGTTAATTTCATTTTTTGTATTATTTTTTTTCAGTGATAAATACTAAACATAATATTGGGTTGATGAAATAGTAATGAAATGAAAAAAATAATTTTATTCTGGGACTAAAGTCCCTTAAGAATAATAATAACATGGTACAAAAAATTGGTACATTAGTTTGGCTTTACAAAATACAAAGAGGTTCTTGTCATTTGAATGTTAATTTCAATTGCTATTGCTATCATATTTTAACAATACAGTAAACAAAGTAACACTAGTACATTTTATATGGTTTACAAGTACACAAAGAAAAAATAAATAAAATCAAGTGGAACTTTCCAATTAATTGCTAGTGAACATTTGTTGTTACAGAATCCAATAAGTATTACATAGATACAGAAGTTTTAAAATGAACTAGTGGTGAAATAAGAGTTATTTGTAGGAATTTAAGCATGAGGATTGCCATAGGGTGTTAGGTTAAGAATTCCAGAACGAGGTAGCACGAATGATGAAGGATTTGCCAAAGGGTGTAGTTTAGGATTTAGCTAATGTAGGATGTAGGATGGAGTTTAGTGTAGGATGTAGGATGGAGTTTAGTCTAGTATGTAGCTAAATGAGATTTGGTATTAAGAGAGTGGATAGAGGAACTTAGAATGAGGAGTTTCATCACGTAGGGAGGATTTTTGGTTCTTAGGATCTATAAAAGGAAAACACCAAGAAAGAATTGTCATTGGGAGGTAGGATAGAGCCACTTCAATTGGGTTTGCTTGTAGGAAACATGAGAACCCCTGGAAATTCCAAAGATGAATCGAACCCCTGGAAATTCCAAAGTTGAATCGAACCCCTGGAAATTCCAAAGATGAATGTTTTATATCTAAAACAGTTCCTAATTCTCTTCAATTTCACCTCCAGTCTTTCAGACAGCCCTCCATACACTAAGCAACCTAGTCAAAGTGGGGGATAACGAGGGAGGTTACAAGGGACTGTCTGTTTTTTTGAGGAATAGATTAGGAGTTGTTTAAGGATAGTTATGGATTTTCTCGTTATCTGGGAAATATGGTTATTCCAGGAAAGGTTCTGATCAAAAATTACTCCTAGATTTTTTACTGTTGGGAAAAATGGATGGGGCGGTTATTGAGGTAGAGTAGAGGAGATTAAGGAAGGGAACTAATATAATGCCTGGAACTCATGAGAACAGCCTCAGTTTTATCTGCATTCAGCTTTAACTCATTTATTTCTCCCCATCTGTTGATGCAGTCAATATCCTCTTGTAGCTTTTGGGTAGCCTCAGGCATCTCAGAAGGTTGGAAAGATTGGTGAATTCGGAAATCACCAACACATAAATGCTAACAGGAGTGATTAATGTCAGGAAGATCGCTAATATAAATAGAGAAAAGGGTCAGAGAGTGAGGAGCCCTGAGGAACACCTTGTGTTGATTGGAGGGGTGACAATGGAGATTTATTAGGAATGACAGCTGTCTGTCAGAGGTGGAATAAGAAGGAGTGGAACCATTTTAGAACACTATTTGATATGGGCAGGCTTTGGAGTTTGGAAAGGAGGATCTTATGGTTGGCGGAATCAAAGGCTCTTGAAAAGTCGAAAAGGATTAGGATAGAAATTTTTTGTTTATCTATGGAGGATTGTAGGTCTTGGGTAATCTTTAACAAGGCAGATTGGGTAGGATAATGGGAGCGAAAACCGGATTGTAATGGATTGAGAAGACGGTTTTGCTCAAGAAAGTTGTTAACAGGGAGTGAATTATTCTTTCCAGTGGCTTTCATAGGTTGGATAAAATGGAGATGGGTCTGAAATCGGAAGCTGAGGAAGGAACAGGTACTTTGTTCAACGGGTGGACAATGGCTCTTTCCCAGATTTTGGGGAAGATGAAATTTTGGAGAGGAAAATTGTATATGTGCAACTGTGCGGGAAATAAGGCTGGAAGGCAGTTTTAAATTATTTTAACGGGTATTTGGTCAGATCTATAATTGTTGGTTAGTTAACTAGTTAATTCACTCACTGTGTAATCATTTTATGAAAGTTATATAAATAATTTGAATAAGAGCTAAATAAAAGAAGGCCAAAAACAAAGGTTGCAGCAAGAGGATCAATAACAACTTGTTAGAAAATGGGCAGCAATTGAGAGGGACACAAAAAATTACCGTCTTTGAAATATTTGAGAAATAAGAAATAAAATACCATTTACCGGCCCTTACCACTCCCTCTCCCCAAATCCAACACTCAAGTATCTGAAACTTAGTGTAATAAGGGAAAGGTAACAGACATTGTGGAACCATCAGACCTTTGTATTTTGGAATGTCTAGGTTTGGTAATTTTTTTGTCGAATGTTTCAAAATTATAAATAATACTTCTAGGTTGTTAATATCATCATTAGTGATTGTATTTTTATTGATATAATAAAACTATCAATTATTGTTTGTTGAAAATAATAGCCTTTATTTCTTACACACTGTTATGGATTAATATCAATTAAATATTTGTATGTAGATTGTTTGATTTTGATTTGTGATTAAATATTTCAGACACTTAGTCCTGGAGGTTCAATCTCTAACAGACCTTTATCAGGTGAGCAGAACCCAGGTGCTGCTTTACCTATTGTGGATTTATCCAGTGCTTCTGATTTCTACATATTGGCCAAAGATAGTCAGTTTGTATTCATGTATTTTATTATTTGTTTTACATTAATATTAATTATGTTTTCATTCTTAAATTTATCTCAAAGGCTTTCTTGTTTTAATGCATTTTTTATTTAATTTTTTTCTTTTTGTTTTAATGCTGTAGTGTAGAAAATCTTATCCTACAGAAAAAAACATTGAAAAAATCTAGGAATTAGTTCTGAGATAAATATGAAGAGATGGTAGATACTGTTTCCACTTTCATTTAAATTTTATGTTAGGGTGACAGTTTATAGCTAAAATCACTTCTGCACCCAGTTGGATTTGGATTTTATTCGGGTTTTTGTTTAAAGGTGTCTAATATAACTGTGTTCACCATGGGTAAACAAAATCCTATTTAAATTGCTGATTTAAATTTTGCACATCTGTTTGATTCTTTTGTATATAATTTGGACACAAATTCAAGTTTTTCACTATTCTTAGTTTTAACATTTGGCATACCTGTGGTGCACTTTGTTCTTACAGTTAATCTACATGTAATTCTAAGTCCTATAAACCATTATAGATATGAAATTATTATGTATAGCTTTATCACCATTACTGTATGGTATTAAACTAATTAGTTGAGTGTGGAACAGTTTTGGGTATTTACAGTAGGACTTTGATGACCAGTAGAAGTTTTTGACAGGATATTGCCCAGACTTAAGTTATTTAATATTGTCATATAGGATGTTTATGTTAACTATAGCTACTGGAGAAATGGCTATAGCTCTTTATTTTGTGAAGTTTTTAAAATTCCTGATACTATCATTTTAGTAATCCATTCTTGTAATTTTTTTTTATCCTTGAGTTACACTGTACTGAAGGATCTGTTAAATGTAGTCTACATGAAAAATGCAAATTAAGAAAGAAAAAAAAATCAAGTTGTTTTGAAATAGTTCAGATAATTTTGGGGGTGAATGCCATGGACAAATAATGAAATAGTCTGGGGATAGACCGGTATAGGAGGTGGAAAAGACAAAAAAAAAAGAGGAGGAATATAGCAGTAAAGTGCTTTAGAACCAAGCTAATACAGCTCCTTGCCTGAAATATTGTGAACTATGTCTACATTTTCATAACAAGAGACCTAAATATTTATTTTATTTAAATTATTAACAGATAATTTATTTGAATCTAGTATTGCACGAAAAATCAGAATATCACAAAACGCAACTGATATTTCTATACCTGGCATTGATTTTTTAATTATTATGATAACTAATTATAATTATTATATTAATCATGATAGTTAACCTCCAATGCATGAAGTTTGGGTTTAAGCCCCAGATTACTGTTATTTAAAGCTCTTCTAATTTGTTAAGGGATTCACCAATAAGCACATTTTAATGTGTAAAGAAAGCCTGGATATCATAAGCACTTCCATGGGCTCTTCAAAAGTAGTTTTAGTGAACTCATGAAAAACCCTCAAATCTTTTGAGAATGTTCATTACTAAGCATAAGAACAGCAACGGACAGCAGGTTCCTTGGGTTAATAATAATAATAACAGTCTTTATTTATATACATATACACATTTATAATAGCAGTATTTCCATTTCCATTTACATCTACTTTTTCTTTATATACATGTATATAATAAACCTTCTTTTAAAGTCTTATATAGAGTATTAAAATCTTTGACGGGGACTATCCGTAATTTGGTTCGCTGAAAGTTCACTTATCTTCATCTTCCAGTATTTTCTGCCCTTTGCTTTTTGTGACCACGGCGTTTCTTCTACCTTCTTTATCTTGTCTATCCATCTTCTTTGTCTGCCTCGGTTCTTTTCATATCCAAGGGGATCCACTCTGTTAGTTTCTTGGCCCAGTTTGCGTCATTCTTCCTCATTAGATGTCCAGCCCATTGCCATTTCATCTTCTTGACACATCTGATTACATCTATGACCCTGGTATCTTTCCTTATTGATGGGCTACTGAGTTTTTGGCTTCTTCTTATGCCTTGTATGCTCCTTTCCATTGCTCTTTGCCATGTTTGAATTTTTTTTCTCATGGTGCTTGGTGACCATGTTTGGCACCCATAAGACATGACAGGTAGTATACAGCTATTGAAATCTAATGTTTTTAGAGGCTGGCTGATATTGTTGTTCTTTATTATCATTCTTAAGCTCCAATATTTCTGCCAAGCCATAGCTGTCCTTGTTTGAATCTCTGTTGATTGCCTATCTTTAAAAAAAATCCTTTGCCCTAGATATGTTATTTATTCTACTATGTTTATTTCTGGAAGATCTGTTTTTACTTTGTTGACATGTGAGTTTGTAATTATTTTTGTCTTCGTGAGGTTCAACGATGATCCGTGTTAACCACTTCTGTACATAAGCTGTTTTACCATGGTCACTATTTCTTCTTCTTTTCTTGAAATCAATAGCACATCATCTGTGTATTTAAGTGTGTTTAGTTTTACACCGTTGATATTAATTCCATATTGATCCCAATCCATCTCCTTTAGAATAAGTTCCAATATTACATTGAAGATCTGTGGTGATAGTGTATCCTCTTGCCTGACTCCTCTCCTGATTGGAATCTCCTTGCCTTTCCTGTCACAAGATATAAATGCTTTATTATCGATATATAATTCTGTTATAAAAATGTATTTTTCCTCGATACCTATCGACTTGAGAGCTGTTGTGATGCTTCTATGATATATGCTATCGAAGGCTTTGGAGAAGTCAACAAATGCAAGGTAGACGTTTAAATTATATTCTTTACTTTTTTTTATGAGTTGGTTTACAGCATGTAAATGTTCAATTGCAGACATGCCCTTCTTAAAGCCAGCTTGGTCCAGAGGTAAATTTGTGTCTATTGTTTTTGCTAATCTAGTTTGGATGATTTTTGTAAAAACTTTCCCTATTGTGGCACCCAATGATATTGGTCTGTATTTTGTTAATTTAGTTCTGTCCCCTTTCTTGTGAAGCAAAACAATTTTTGATGTTTTCCAGTCTATGGGGATTTCGTCTTTTTCTATAACTTTATTGAAAAAATTGGATAGCACTGCTAATAATTCTTCTGCTCCAGCTTTCAGAATTTCATTTGTAATGCCATTGTGTCCAGGGCTTTTTGAGCATTTCAGTGATTTAATTATAGTGTCTACTTTTGATTGCAATATTGTAGGAACAGTATTTTCACTCCTCCTTGTGTCTTTTTTTTCTTTTGAATACTTTTTCTTCTTCAGCATTATATAATTCTTTGTTGTATTCTCTTGCCAAGTCAATCATGTTGTCTCTATTGCTCACTTCCTTTTCTTGATTAGTTTTATAATTCATTGGCCAGTGTTGGCCTTCATTTAGTTCACATTTTAATTTTTTGAAGGATTTGTTCATTTCGAGAATTTTGATTATTTTATCTTCTTTATATTTTTTGAGATTCTTTTTTATATTTTCCCTGAGGTCTTTGTTTATAAGTGTAAGCTGGGGATTATGTGTTTCTTTATTATTTCTTTTCTTTTTTCTAAAATTCCCAAGGTACTTCTGGATAGTTTTGCATGATATCCACTCCTTTGTTCTCGCACTTCTGCTATTTTGAAGCTTAGCACAATGTTCTCTTTAATAGTATTATACTGTATTTCAATATTGTAATTTTCATCATTATCCAATAGGTTATGCAATTTCTTTATTTCCCTTGAAAAATTTCTTCATTTATTTACTTAGGTATCTGATGCTTCTGAGGTATTCCTCTTCTTTTTAAATATTCATAGCATAAGATGGCTCTGATTAGTCGGTGGTCAGAATCAAAATGAACCCTGTGATTACTTCACAATTCTTGATATTCTTTATGTTGTCTACCAGTATGTGGTCTATTTAACATGTTTTCCTATCAAGGGCTCACCACGTCCACTTCTTTTCACTTTTTTTCTTAAAGTAGGTATTCGCTATTAGCAGTCTGTTGGCCATGGTAAAATCTACAAGTAACTCCCCTCCCATGTTTCTCGTTCCATACCAGGAGCTTCCCATGATAGATTCTTCTCCACTAACACGTTTTCCAGCCCTTCCATTCCATTCTCCCATTACTATGATGGAGTATTTAAATTTTCTTGAACTCTCTAGAATATGTTGTACATCATTGTAAAAATTTTCTTTTTCTCCCTCTGCAGCAGAAGCTGTGGACGCATAAACCTGTATCAGAACTATTTTCTTATTTGTGCCTATATTAATAGTCATCGTTGCTACTCTTGTGCTTATTTCCTTAAAATCAGTTACTTTATTTTTCTATTTGTTGCTTACTATGAACCCTACTCCTCCTAGGCCTTTATCTGAGCTTGTGTGGGCGAATAGCGTGCCTTCCTTACTTTCTATGATTTTTTTAAATTTCCTTCTTACCTCACACAATTCTATTATGTTCCATTTCAAGTATTTTAGAGCCTGGTCTAATTCTAGTTTTCTATTATCCCTTGAATTGAATTTTTCTTTAATTGTTGACATGCTGATATAGAGGTTATAATATACAAATTATATTGTACAAAGAGGTTATATTGTACAAATGTCGATCAAGCACGTAAGGTGAAGTGAGGAGATGGCCGGAGCCAGAGACTGGTGGGGCAGTTTCCTTAATCCCACTCGAGATATTAAAGATGAGATGTATCTGATTTACCTGAATATAATGAAAATATATTTCTCTATAAAACTCCTTTTCCTCGTTCGATTTCTTCCAAACTTCGTAGTTTATTTCTCTTGTCACTAAACCACACTCAGGTCAAAAACTGTTTCAATTGGACCTCTATTATCGATTTTATGGACCTTTATCCAGGAGATGATGTGATACACTTTAACTACATCTTTGGTCTCCTTAGGTTTACCTTAATATAATTGTGACTGCTGTCTGATGTCCTCTGAAACAACAATTAATCTATTTATTATTTTTTTTTTAATTTTTAATAAGTTCAGTGATTAAAGCGGTCTCTCAATCTTTAAAACTCTTTAAAGGATTGGTTCTTAGTCTCAATACTTGATTAATGCTGATTTCCCGAAAATGGCATCCTTCATCTATTTCAATTCATCCCATTTGGGAATGGCCATGTCTCTGAGCCTTATGTTAACATTAATGATTTTATTGATCTGTTTATCAATCCCGAAGAAGAATTCTGATGCCGAAGAAGTAGAGGTTGGATTTCATGATCCTCATTTCAATATCAGCTACTATATTAATTTCAGTGTTTGCATTACAATCAAGATACTGAAGATTTCTTCTTCTCTCACTATCTCCTGTGTGCTGCTAAGCGTGGAGTAGCTGCCTCTGACCATCTTGTCCAACGGTCCCTGTCCTGTGTAAGCCTTCTCATCTCTCGGCATGGTGCTTCCTCTCGCTGCGCCAATTCTCTCTATCAAGTCTACATACATAAGCCTTGGCCTGCCTTGAGGTCGCCCTCCTCCCGGTCTTGCTTCTAGAAGCCACCTGGCCTTACGGTCATCTCCCATTCTATTGACATGACCATACCACTTCAACTGCCTTTCTTCAATCGTCTCTAGGACGGATCTAACTCCTAGTTCATCTCGCACCCTTTCATTCCTTATTCGATCTCGCCTGGTTTTTCCCAATATTTTCCGTAGGAATCTCATTTCTGCAGAGACAGTCTTGCTGGCATGGAGGTCCAAGAGTGTTCAGCTCTCCGATCTGTATAGCAGCACTGGGAGAAAAACTGATTTGTATAGCAGAATCTTTGCTTTTCTGCTTAACTCCTGCTTTCCAATGAGTGTCATGGATATTTGGTAGTATATTCCATTGGCCTTTTGAACTCTATTCATGGCCTCCTGGTCTATTCTTCCATCCCTGCCAATCATTGTTCCCAGGTAGCAGTAGGTATCGGTTTGCTCAAGGGTCTCTCCATTGCAAGTGATTCCAAGATCCTCGTTCCTTCATCCAACACACATGACCTTGCTTTTGGAGGGATTGATCTGCATACTTCTGAGTTGCAGTTCTTCTTGCCACTCATTCACAGCGACCTGGAGCGACTCAGCAGTATCCGCAACCAATACCACATCATCTGCATACAACAATGCCTGTGTCAGCACTGGGGTCATATTCCAGTATCCTACTGTTGCTCTGGGTGTCCTCCTTTTACAAAATTTCCAAATGGCATCCATGAAAATTATGAAAAATAGGGGGTTCAGGCTATCGCCCTGTTTAACTCCTCTAAAGAAATGTAATGACCTAGACTCAGTACCGGCTAGCCTTATTACTCCCTTAGGGTCTTGGTACATTGAATGATATAAAACCTTTTAATTTTTTTTTTTTAAATGAATGTTATCTTTTTTTCATAGTTAAAGAAATGAATAAATAAACAGTTAACTTTGACTTTTTAGAAATTATTTTATCCTGTTTTTATGATGTACAAGTTCTTAGTATCTGTATTACATTATTCAAGTTAAATTTATTAAATTAAAAATAGGGGTTTTCATTTATAATTATGCATTTGAATATCAATTAAAGTTACATTTTGTAACACATGAATACATTTTTTCAGTATGTACATCCCTTAAATCAGTGATCTATACTCTCCAGACTGAGAAAGAGAAATTAAAAGGTTCATCTGATGAGAAACTAAGAAACTTGCTGTCCACTATGGTCCAACAAAATACAGAACTTAGGACAAGGCTGAGTCAAGTTCATAAGCAATCAGACACATCTGACATCCCTGACGGAATTGTAAGTTTTAAGTAAGGTGCTTAAGGTAACTGCATGGTAATTTTATTGATAAAAGATACAAGAGAAGTTCTTTACCACAAATTTTGCTAGAAAAACATTTTCCTTTTTTTTATTATTAATATTTTTTAATTACAGAAATTGCTGATTTTAGGATCTGTGCCAAACTCTGTATTTAATTAATTTATTTATTTTTTTAAATATTCAGCTTACTGTGAAAGGATGGGTTTGTCTGATGTTTGGAAAAGTATGTTTTTGGACATAACTGATTTGAACTGTTCTATATCTTCAAATCTTTTAAGTTTGGAATCAATGAAATAACTGTGGAAATTATGAATTGTAAATAGTAATATTCAATTCATATTTTTTTACCCAACTCAGTTTTATTAACAATTTTTAAACTATCACTAAACGTTTTATGATGCTAAGTTAACTGTATATTGATAAAAAAGTAAAATACATTTTTTTTACCACACATATTATTTGACTATTTGTTTTTAATTTGTAATTGATCATGGTGTAATGAAGATGCCTTGAGGAAATATTGATATTTTATTGGATATTAATAGTATGATTCTAGAATATCAATGTGAAGTAGGGTAGGGGGATAAAATAGAGCACTGGGGGACAAAACAAAAAAGGATAAAGAGAAGGGGCAGAATTTAAATGAGTGCATAGTTCTATTAAATAAAGGAGGGTTTCTTAATTTGGTGAGGAGGATGTTATGGTGAACTGTATCAAATGTTTTAGAAAAGTTCATAAGGATGAGAATAAATAATTTTGTTTGTATTCAATAGAGGCTTAAATTCAAGTCAAGTATTTAATTTTAAAGCCAGATTTGATGGAGTTGATGAGGATGAGTTCTTAGATATTTGAAAGCTTAGTTCATGCGAGAAGTTCCATTAGTTTAGAAAATTTTGAGAAGAGGAGAACAGGATAGAAGTCTTGCTATGAGGAAGGGATCAATTTTTAAAAAAATAATTATGATCAAATTTAGATGTTATTCTGAGGGAACCTTTAGTTTTGCTAGGAAAATTTGTAAATATGGCAGATAACTGGCAACAGAACATTTAGTTTTGCTGGAAAAAGTTGTAAATATGACAGAGAACTAGCATGACTACTATAAGATATGGTGTTATTAGTTTTACTAGAATATTGCTAGACTAAACTGTGCTGTATTTTAGTGAAATGCTTTTCTGTTCTTTTCTTTTTCGGTTAATAATTTTAATTATTTATATAGGCCTTAATTTTATTTCATTTTTATTGAAAATACGGAATAAAATATTAACCTTTTTTATAAGACCTATATTTTTATTGAAAAGATGCAATTATTAACCAGTATCTTTTTTTTAAAATCTTATTTTATTGAGAAAAAAAAAAAACATTTTGTCTCAATTAAGGGAATTGAACATTTGAGATGTATGAGACTCATTCATATCATATATACAATAACAACAATAGAGAAATTAGAACAAAAGAAAACTTAGTAAAACAGGAGAAATGAAACATGAGACAACATTAAATACAGATATAAAAACACGTTTATACTTATTTACAGTCAGCCGAGGGAGCTCTAAGTCAGGCCCTTTTCCCCACGTGTGGTGCTTCTCTCTAGATCCTAGTGTTTCTCTCTCAACCATGTCACTGAGATGGGTATGCAGAGGAGACTGAGAGCGGGCACTAAAGCCACATACGCTCATGACTTGAGTGGAGAAGCTGGACATAGCCATGACTCCAGTGACGTGTTTACAAAGCTCTCAAGGCCACTGCTGTTTTAACCTTCGAGGAAGATTGTAGGGATGACTGGAACTGGATAAGGATTGTGCTAAGGGAGTAGGATGATGAATTAGGTTCTGATGAAAAATTGAGAATCGGGATGGAATAACATGAAGAACAAAAGGGGTTTAAGGTTATAATGTAGAGTTTTGTTTGTAACATAATAAGAAGCATTGACTATTGTACGAAGGACTTTGGATTGGGAGGATTGGATGCATTTGGTGTTCGAAAATTTAGCTGTCCCCCATAGTTAAAGACCTTTTGTCCGTATGGGTTTTAGTATGGTCTTATATATTAATAATTGGTAATTGGTTGACTGTCGTGGATAATGAAGAGAAGAATAGTTGGGGTGGTCAGTCAAAAAGGAAGGCAAAAAATGAATGTTAATATTTATTTTTTACATATGCCGACGTTTCGACCTGAAGTTCAGACCTTCATCAGGGCTAAGAAAATAACCAGATAACAAGGTATGAGAAACATAAGTAATGATGGTAAAAAAGATAATAAAAAATAAAAAAATTTTCCTAGCCCTGATGAAGGCCTGAACTTCAGGTCGAAACGTCGGCATATGTAAAAAATAAATATTAACATTTATTTTTTGCCTTCCTTTTTGACTGACCACCCCAAATATTCTTCTCTTCATTGTATATTAATAATTTGTTTTTTATTGAGAGTTTCTGTTGAGTAGTCTTTATAATTAGCCCAATCGTCGGTTAAGTTCTTGTATTTTAAGTCTAGTATGGGGGTTCCATGTTAGTCTTTTGTTTAAAAGGAATCCGAGATACAGAACTGCGTTTAAATGGGAAGATTTACAGAGTTGAAAAGGATAGGTGGACACAATCCGCATCGGAGGGTAAAGGTGACATAACTTGCAGATAGGAAGTTATGTCTTTTAGCTCAGTCAAATTTGCACAAAAAAGGGGAGGGGTCTGCCTTGCAAAAGGTCGGGTAATTACATTTATATATATATATATATATATATATGTAGGTTCGCTGGAGTGCTCCAAAAACCACTGGAATTTTGGATTTTTTTTTTTTTTTTTCACTAAATATCTCATTTTTAAAGCATTATAGCTAAAAAATGATTATTTTCAATTTTAAACTGCTTGAAATTTTGCTAACATTTATGTAAGAAACATTTTTTTTAAACCCAAAGGAAACAAGCTACCGATCTTTCAAAACGGTCAAAATAGTCAATTCATATGTATTTCCATCTGCTGAATGCTGGGGAGTTGGTTCACCTGTCAAATAACAAAACAAAAATGCTCTTCAGCTGTTTGTAAGTCATTAAAATAGTTACTGTTGCTATAACTGTGAGTTTTGTATAGTTTCAGCTGTAATTAATACAGAATTTCTGGTTTGAGAGTGCTTTTTTAATGTAAAATTCGTAAAAATGTGTAAATATGGTGAATAACTTTTGCTATATTTGTGGGAAAATACCATTTTCCTCTCAGAAACACAATCTGACGCCTCTTGTAAAGACTGCCTATTATCTTTATTTCGTTGTGAAAGTAGGGGACCAGAATAAGTCTTGGGCTCCACATATATGTTGCAATGCCTATTCAGTTACACTGCGAGAATGGATGAGAAAGAAGAAACAATTATGGCTTTCGCTGTCTCTATGGTTTGGCAGGAATCTACAAATCGTACAGATGACTGCTATTTCTGCTTGACTCCACCTATAAAGGCAGTATTGTCTATGAAGTAAAGAAGAACAGTTCAGTACTCGAATCTTCGAGCTTCAATTGAGTGATCTCATTAGAGACCTTAGCCTGTCAAATGAGAAGGCAGAAATTCTTGGTTCTCAATTAAAGCAATGGAATCTTCTTGATAGTGATGTCAGAATCTCACAGTACAGAAAACGTCACAGGAAACTGCTTCCCTTTTTTTAGAAGAAAAATAATCTTGTTGTTTGCTGTGAAATTAATGGCTTGATGAAATCTTTGAATTTGAACCATGATCCAACTGAATGGAGGCTATTCATAGACTCCTCCAAGTATATTTTGAAAGCTGTGTTACTTCACAATGGCAACCCTCTTTCTTCTATTCCTGTTGGTCATGCAGTTCATATGGAGCAGACATATGCAAATATGACAGCCCTCTTGGAATCAAATATCATGAACACAAATGGAAAATCTGTGGTTAACTAAAAGTCATTGCCATACTCTTAGGAATGCAAGTGGGGTACTCAAAACATTGGTTCTTATGTATGTGGAACAATAGAGATGGAAAATTGCATTATATTAAAGGAGACTGGCCTGGTAGAAATCTTAACCCGAGAAAAATGTCGTTGCCAAGCCTCTCATGGACCCAAAAGATATTCTACTTCCACCCCTGCATATCAAGCTGAGTTTGATGAAAAATTGTGTCAAAGGTATGAACCAAGAAGGAGAGGCTCTTAAGTACATAAGAGAGAAATTTCCGATTTTTTTTTTTTTTTTAACTTTCTTTATTGAATATTAATACATTCTGCCACATTGAAGGGCATTAATATTAAGGCTACATGATTCATTCACACAATATGTACATACAATTAATATCAATAATAAAGAAAAAGAAATATAAAAAAAATAAAATAAGTAAATTGGTATGCCTGTGTACAAAAAAAATAATGAAATAATAGATAAAAGCTAGATGAAATTAAAGTAAATAAATCACATTCACACCTATGTACAATATTTACATTCACCCAGGGGACTCTGAGTCATGCCTTATTCCCCGACGTGGAAGCCAAGGCAGGACTCCAGGAGATCCCAGTGCTTCTCTCTCAGCCGCGTCACTGTTATTTGAAACCAGTGGAAACTGATGGAGGGCACTATAGCAACAGACGCTCATGCCTTGAGTGGAGAATCTGGCCATTGCCAGTACTCCAATATATACATATTTACAAAAGGTCGCGGGGCCACTGCCGTTTTAACCTCCGGGGAGGATTGTAGGGATGGCTGGAGCTAGATAGGGATTGTGCTACAGGATTTGGATGATGAGTGAGTTTCTGGTGAAATTTGGAAAAATTTTCTGGGATTAGGTCAATAACAAATGGGATATGAAGGTCATTATGGAGGGTTTTGTTGGATACATAGAAGGGAGCATCGACTATTGTTCGGAGGATTTTAGACTGGAAGGATTGAATGCGTTGATGTAGAAGTTTTGCTGTCCCCCACAGTTCTATTCCGTAGGTCCAAATAGGTTTCAGGATTGTCTTGTAGATTAATAGTTTGTTGTCGACTGAAAGTTGAGATTTTCTATTCAATAGTCTATATAGTTGTCCGTATCGTCTGTTAAGTTGTTGTCTTTTAAGTCTGGTGTGTGGGTTCCATGTTAGTCTTTTGTCTAGAATAAAGCCAAGATACCGGACTGTGTCGGACAGAGGAAGTGGTATGGAGTTGAAGTAGACTGGTGGACAGGAATTGCGTCGAATGGTAAAAGTAATATGTTTGGATTTGGATTCATTTACTTGGATTCGCCACTTATTACACAGGTCAATAAGAGAGAGGTGACTTTGTAGGTTTAAGGATGCTATTTCAGGATCTGGATTGGAAGATAAGATGGCTGTGTCATCAGCGAATCGAGTTGCCAGGAGTGTTTCAGGATGAGTATGAATATCAGCGGTAAACAGAATGTAGAGGACGGGACCCAAGACGCTGCCTTGAGGAACTCCCGCCTTGATTGAATGACAGTTGGAGGATTCTGTACCATAGCGAACTTGAAAGGAGCGGTCAGAGAGGTAGGATCGGAGGATAAGATATAAGGAATGGGGTAGATGGGATTTGAGCTTGAAGAGCAGTCCGCCGTGCCATACCCGATTCCGAAATTAAGTGATGCAAAAGTTAAGGAAAGCATTTTTGTCGGGCCATAAATTCGAATACTTGTGAATGATCCTGTATTTGACCAAGTTTTGAAAGAGAAAGAAAAGGAATCTTGGTAAGCCTTCAAGGAAGTTGCTCGTGAATTTTTAGGCAACAAAAGAGGTAACAACTACACGCATTTGGTGACAAGTGTTTTCCACTCCCACCTAGACTTTTTCCCTCCTAGTTGTGAAGCTGTTAGCGATGAACATGGAGAAAGATTCCATCAGGACATTTCTGTTACGAAACAAAAATATCAGGGTCATTGGAATGAAGCAATGCTTGCGGATTATTGTTGGTCTTTGTGTAGGGATGCTCCAGAACTCCCTTACAAGTGGCAAGCTAAAAGACAACAATCTTATGAAGCCACCACATAATCTGTTCAGATATGACCATCTGCGAGGTATTCTTCCAGCAATTTAGAACTCTTCGAATGTAACTACCATTTTGAAAAATCAAATGCACTTTCAATGTTGTTATCATATATAATTAAAATGTATCTTTTCTCTTAACCCGTTAATATGAAATACTTCCACCTAGTGTATATCACAGAAACTAGAGCTAAGAAAAATTTTTCATTGTCAAATTCGTTTTTCTCAACCCAAATTTATTAAGAATGGACTCACGAAGTACTGGAAACAATAAAAAATTTGTTTTTTTGTTGCCCAGTGTTATCTGACACATATTTACTTGCACTTCTGCCCTTAGCATGTTATTGTCTAAAATTGTTGGTACTCCTGGTTGTCTCAATGAAAAAGATTTCGTGGATTTGAACTTTTCATAACCATCATGGATCATTGTGGATCATTGGATCAAAGTGGAAAATCACTTTCAGAATGTAGAAATGTCTAATCATCCACTTGGATACACTTCACAATTGTTTTTAGTGGAACTGTTGCGTTAATATCCTTGTGAAGCTCAAAAACAATACAATACCGGATATGTAACTATTCTATTTAGCTGGACATTTCTCCGAAACCTATTAAAAATAATTCAAGATTTAATAATTTCAAATTAAATAACTCATTTTCACCTTAATATTTCTTTAGCACTAGTTTAAAGTACACAATGAGCTGATAAATGAGGACTCTAGAGGCAAAGGGGTATTTTTTTTAAGTGTACTTTTTGAAAAAATAGTTAAGTGCATGATTGATCTTGAAATCTGTCAATATACTTTGTTTTTAATATATATATATATATATATATATATATATATATATATATATCTTTTCCTCTGCCCAGTGCTGTCATTCACTTAGCCTCCAAACAAATGTTAACTGGACTTTGGACGTAAAGCGATACAAGCCACAATTATGCTAATTGTACTTAAACTACAAATACATACAACTGTGTTATATTTTAAATTATGATTGATTTATTAATATTCGTTTAACAATAATCTGATTAGATTTACTTTATGCATTATTATATAAGAAATATTTATTTAATACAAATAATTAATAACTCCATAACTATATTTCATGTTTTCTTTGTGGCTATAAATTTTTATCGAGACTTCTGAAAATATTAAAAATTTTGAGATAGGATGGTCACATTTCCATTTATTTTAACATATTGGTATTCTTTGATACTTACATTCACCAATGGGTTATTGAAAGCATAGGTTTTAAAATACTGTTCTTAAAATGATAGGGGGTGAACGTGTACTCTTAAAATTGTTGGTATATTCATAAAAAGTGCCTATGATAACATAATAATGGACCCTTCTATCAAAAAAATCTAAAAGTTACAATAAATCAATAGGGGATGGTGAAATCTAAAAATTGGTAGTATTTTCATAAAAAGCTCCTGCAATAACCCAATAACGAACCTCAATACTGAAGAAATCCAATGAGCTAGTTGTTACTTTTCTCTATTATGAATATATTAGTTGGTTTTGAAAATGTTTAAGTGCAACTCATAATTTTCAAACATGATAAAAATCCATTTCAACTGTCAAAGTGGCTTTAGAAAAATGGTAACCATTACCAATTATCGCAATCACATAAGTAGTTTAACTTAAACCACCGTTTACCCAAAACATAGATAGTTTTATCACTTATACCCCTTTGCTGCTAAAGAATTCAAATGATAAATAAATATTTATGTGTCCAGAAATAACATTAATTTATAGTCCCCTCTGTATTTTAAAACATAATTACTTAAGCATAGCTAAATTGGTGTAATAAAAATATGAATATATCTTATAGTTATTACAATTTCTTGTTCTTTCCAGCAAACCAGGTCATTGAAGTCCTCCCTTAGCTATAGTTCTTGTGCTTCAGAATACCTTGATGCAAAAGAATCCCTTGAACAAAGTGAAACATCTTCTCCAGCGGTCTCGTCAGAGGATCTATCTGATTCATCAGCTATATCTGACTTAGCTGACTCAGAATACAATGCAACTATTGATTGTAATTATTATTTAATTATTTTTTTTTATTTACTTTTTTTTTTTTTTTTTTTTAAACACTTTGCGTACGGGTGATGAGATATCTCGTCTATATCAAACCAAAGGTTGAGGCCGGGTGATGAGATATCTTGCCTATAGCAAACCAAATGTTGTGGCCAGGAGACAAGATTTCTCATTTTAAGTTTTTTCAACTCGATCAACGACTTAAAGGATTGAAAATAGATTTTCTTGTTTATATTACTAGGGTAATGAAGTATCGTGTATTCTCATAGCAAAATTAATGAATGTTGACATTCAGAGAGCATAAAAGTCAGTTGATCATTAATAGCCATTATATCGGTAGATCTGTCATGATCGTGTATTGTATTTTCTGAAGTACTGGAATATTATGAGGACCATAATCATTAGTGTAGGATTTTAGGATAGTGGAAAGTAATTCATCGTAGGACACATGGTAGAAAAAAAAGTTCAATTTAGGATTGAAATAGTGATGTTTAATATCGGAATTAGGAGAGAAATTGTGAGTGAAGGATAAGAAATGGTCATTGAGATCATCTGGAGTAACAGGGATAGAACTGGAATTGGATTCTAGTAGGGATAGGTTACGAAGTATTTTCCATTTGGATTTGGAATCGGGAGCATTGGAAAGGGCATTATGGAAGTAGGTGGCTTTGACAAGTCGAACTGTGGATTGGATTGCATTGCGAATTTCCTTGAAGGATACATAATCCGTAGCCAAACGGGTTCGATGGTATTTGCGCCTTGCTGCATCCCTTCTTTTCATCATTTCCTTTATTTCAGGAGTCGACCAAGGTGCAGTGGGAAGATTTAAGGTTCTAGTTTTCAGAGGAGCATGGATATCTAATAAATAATGTAGATTTGAGGTTAGTGTAGATACCATAGGATCAATGGAATTATAGGAAGATCTGATGTCCCATTAGAAAGAATCAAGGTCAGGTTGAAGGGATCCATAGGAGAGAAGGTTTAAATTGCGGTGCGAAACCACTTTGGGACTAAAGGATTTCACCGGTAGGTCGTATGTAATTTGGATCAGGTCCTGTGATGAAAGAAATGGGACAGGATGTTGAGAAGAGGAGAGGATTTTGATGTGAGAGTCAGAGATGTAAGGGTCAAACCAAGTGTCGGAAAATTGAGTGTGATGGGTAGGATAATAAGGAACAAGATAAAGATTAAGGGAAAACAGTGGTCAGTTAGAAAGTATTTTTCAGGAGATTGTGAAAGCATATTCACATTAAAATCGCTAGTGATAATAATATTGTTATATTGGGAAACCAGATTGACAAGGAAGGATTCAAAGAAGTTGTCGAATGGAACTCGAGGAGGACTGTAAACTACGGCAAATAACAGAGGAGAGGTAATAGAGAAAATTTCAGCAAACATGTATTCCATGTGAGGAAAGTCTTGAGAAGGAGACTGTAGGAAGATTTTGGCACAACGAAGACACCACCTCCCTTGCGATCAGATCTGTCGTGGCGTAGGAAGGAATAATTGGGTATGAAAATCTGGGAGGAAGGGATAAAAGGTTATAGCAAGGTTTCGGATACTGCTATTATTTGGTAAAATTGTCAAGGAAATGTTTCTGAAATTCATCGTAGTGTGCAGTAAGGGATTGTGCATTGATGTGACAGGAATTCAAGATATTAGTCATGACTGGAGAGTTGAGAAATAGAATTTTGGAAAAATAATCGAGGATGAAGGAAAGGATATAACAATTCTTAAACATAATATTAAGTTTAAAAAAAACAAAAAAAAAACATAACATAAAATAAACTTTGAAATGAACAAAATAAATTTCCAGTATTACAAAATAAATATTCATTTAAGATTAATTTATAACATAAGAAAATATAAATATCCCCTTGTTTTAGGTGAATAGATAAAGATTGGCAATCAAACAAACTTCTAAATAATTTATACAAGAATAAAAAAAGCTGAAAATAAAAATAAAAATATTTCCAATGAGAAAAAATCATCATCTTAATCATTCCCTCTTCTACTGCCGTTTGGTGTGACGGCATTCCATGATTCGGCCATTTACGAACTTCCATGTCTTTATTACTGAAGTCAGGTCATTATGGAACAAGAACCTGACTCCTCCAGCTGCTCTTCCATTCCTGTTAACCCCTAAATATAATAATGTGTAATCCTGGATTTTAAATTCTCCCTTTCCTTTCTTCTTAGTCTCGGTAATTCCAAGCAGATCCACTTTGGCCCTCTTAACTTCCCCTACAAGCTCATTCTCCTTTCCGGTTAGACCTCGAATGTTCCAGGTAGCAATTCGAAAAATACGTTTTCCACGCCTTGTCTCATTTCGCAAAGTCAGTCCAGCTCTATTCGTTCTGTTTTCTGTAATATTTTAGACTTAAAGGAGAAGCAGGGTATCAGCCCACTTCTCCCGAGTCAGGTAGAGAGGCTGCTTCTTCGGAGCACCCTGACTTACTCCCCCATCCGGGGTGGCTACCTAGGGAAGATGATCCTAGGGTGTGTACTGACTGTGACCTTATGTTAGTATAAGTGATTAGTGTACTGTTGTGAGTGTGTTAGTGTTGTATACTGAACTCGGGAACCTGGGGAACGTTAATCCCCACTAGCTTTGCACTAAGCTAGCCCCTGGGATGAGAAAAAATGTATATAAAAATAAAAAAAACAGAAAATAAAAAAAATAAAATAAAGGTATTTCTGGTGAGAAAAAATAAATTGAATACAAATTCAAGGTAACTTATATACAGCGTTCAGCTGAAAACGTTCAGATCACTTGGTTTTTCTATAATTACTACTGGGTATCCATCCGATATTCTGCAACAGATTTTACCCCCTCTAAACCAGACTTATTTTATTTGTGCAGTCACCCTCTTCTGCCTGGCTAACCACTAAAGGTGTTTATTGGCAGTTGCCATGGCTTCACTCACATAGACGTGGTGCGAGTCTTTCTCTCCCCAGCCTAGCTGGCATGTAGAGAAATCTCTCTTTGCTCTTCGCTGCCGCACCAGCTATTCTCTCAACACTTGTCTGACTATAATTGGGCCAGGGGTCCCTTCTTGCTTGGGTTTTAGTCTCATGGTGTGATCAAGTTCGTCCGAACTCAACTTGAAGCCCTGACCCGCTCCGATGCTAAGAATCGTACCAGTTACAGTTTCATCAGGCTTCTCCGGAATTTCTCTAATTTCAATTGTATTTTTCAGTAGAAACTGTTCTGTGGAATTCAGACGACTTTCCAGCTAGGATATTTTTGTTTTCAACATGTTATTTTCCATAGTTAATTTTTCAGCATAGGTTTTTTGCTTTTCTAGGAGTGTTTCAATTTTTAATAACTGGTCCATATTCTAGAAAGACAGTTCCTATTGCTTCTGGAGGGTTTCTTTTATCTCCTTTAGTTCGTCTAAACCCTGAAGTTCGGACTTCAATTCCTTAACTTCATCAGCCAGTGCTCTCTTTAGGTCTATCATAGTACTAGGCTCAGAGGCTGGCAATGTATGCGCCCCTGTTTCGCAATTGGTGCATTTCCATTTTTTACTGGTTTCTTTTAGGCCTTCTGAGTCTGTAAAATCTATTTTCATGCATTTAGCATGAAAGATGTTTTGGCATGTGACACAAGCCAATTTAGTCTTGTCTTCTCGACCTACCATTTTTCCACATAGTTTGCAATTAACCATTTTGATAAAAATAAAATAAATAAATGTCACAATTGCTTTAAAATGATGAGAGAAAACGAAAGTAATAACTACAGCAAAGGCTACCTGTTTGTTTGGGTGGAGGCTGATAGGATTAGGCTGCTCCTGGCTATCTCCACTACTCCAACTCAGCTGCTTCTATCACGTCATTTTTTTTTTTCATTATACAACTAATACCACAACAAATTACTGTAGTGTAATATTAATTTGATATTATGAAAAGAGGTAATTGTGAAAAAAAAATAGCAGAAAAGTCTTCAAGTGATGTAATATAGTGAGAAGCACTTGTTAAGTTCTTAACGGTTAGAGAGATACTCTAAGACTGAGTGTATTTTTTCCTATAAAAATGCAAACAAGTAGTTTCTCTGAAAGCCTTTTTTTTCCACAATTTTATTAATTTAACGGTACAAACTTTTCTCACATTTCACTTATGTGAAAATCTTCTAAAGTTTTCCAATTCTTTTTATTGTCCAGTTTTTCTCTATATTAATTGTTGGCATTTAGACTTTTCAGAAAGAAATACATAAAAATTATGTATCATGTCTTTAAGATTTTAGTTTATTAGATGCCTGAAAAAAACATAATGATATTGAAAATACAAGATTCTAAATCTTTCAAATTTGATATTGAAATGCTTTTTTAAGTTCTTTCACAACATTTTAATGATTATAAATAATAGTATTGAAAAGTAGTTGTTATCTGAAAATCTTGAGATCTTGTCATGCAAGTATTGTCAAAATTAGAAGGCAACAGGTTTTGTTGAAAAGATGGACTTACAACTTTTTCTTCTGTAATTTTTTATTAGATTATCTATTTAGTTGTGAGAAGTATTTGGGCTGGGGGTTAAAGTTGGTTTTAAAATGAAAATTTTGGACAAGCAACGTAAATAAATATATATAAAAAAATAGTAAATGAATTACCTTATTGCATCAAATTCAAGACTTGTTTTTTCATCAGAACTGAATTTTGAAAATAGGTATTGTCTTACATTTAATGGCATTTAAAATTTTAACTCTAATATTTAATTTACACAACTTTTTTATTTAAAAGATAGCATTGAAATCTTATGTAACAATGTATGATAATGCAGAAGTTTTTTGTTATATTTGAATGTCCCACGGTTACTGCAACTTTGTTACATTGTGCTGTCAGAATATGACACTGAAGCATTTCATAGCCTTTTCAGCATCTCATCAAAGACATGTGGCTCAGTCACTAAACATCCTCATAGCATGTCCAGACGGGACTGCATAGCAGTTCCTTAGTTTCAACTTAGAGCAGACTGAAGAAGTATTGCTCTACAGTTTATTGAAACTACTCTATGCCTTTAACACAATAAACAATTACAAATTAAACAAAATAAGCAAGTGAACAATTGGTAAATTAAGAATATTTTTTCTCCAAACCAGCAATTATGACAACTTATATAAAGCAACACCTATAATATATTATTTGTATTGAAAGATAATCTTGTAAAAATATAGATTACTTTATTTATAAATTTTTATTGACAACTTAATAATAAATATTTACATTTCATTTCAGTTCCTTCAACAGTAAATGAAACAGCTAACCTAACTGGAAGAAGGTCAACTCTTCCAGTCCCTAGGCCAAGTACTGAGGGGCTATCATTATGGAATCTTCTTTCCAGAAACATAGGCAAGGACCTGTCCCAGGTCTCCATGCCTGTTGCTCTCAATGAGCCTTTATCCATGTTACAGGTACTAGTTTTGTATCATTAGAATATTTCAGTTTTAAAATTCTGTATTTTTAAGTTTATGTGCCACCACTTTAGGTGCCACCAGTGACTTACAGTTGTCACTTTAGCTATGACAACTGGTGTCACTGATGAACTCAGTTTTGTGTTACAGAGTTGAATCATCACTGAAAAGTATTTTTAAAATGATAGTTTAAAAAATGATCATGCTACTTCAGTTTCCTCTCATTTTCCCAATAACCAACCCAACAGTACTCAACCTCAGACAAAAAAAAAAAAGTTTTGCTTTTATTATTAATTTACTGATTGCTAAATTCTTGATGTCTCATAAATTTTCTGAGAAGTCTATTTTATTTTATTTTTTATTTATTTGTGTTAATTTTTGTAAACTATACTACCTTAATAATTTGTTTTATTAGTCAAAAACCAAAATATACTCATTTGCAAATGGTGTGGATCATTGTATTAACTGTTCATAAAATTGTGAAGAATCAATATTTTTCCATTTTGACGCCTGTTGATTGTTTACACTCCCAAAGGGCTAATTCCTTTGAAATGAACTCTCAAACATAAACATAACAGGGAATTATCCTTAGTTTAATTTGTTTACTGCTTGTGGTAACTTCACTAAACCTGTATTTCTCGAAAGTAATTTTTTTCTTACTAATCCTTTTTAGTATTTTATATTATTTTACTAGCTTTACCCGGCCACGCGCTGCTGTGGCTTAGCCTGGCTAAATGAAAAAGAAAGAAAATAGAAAGTACATATGAGTAGATTAATAGCAAAGGACATCTGTCATTTTTAAAAAGTTGGGAAACAAATTTGACTGTAAAATGGCTTCAATTTAAACTTATTCTAATGATTTTTTTTCTCATGATTCAAATTAAACATTCATAATCATCTGAGTGAATACGCTGTCATTCATAATCATCAGAAACAGTCTGAGTCGAACTTATAAAACTAAAATAAAAAATTAATATAAAGGACGTATAATAGTATTGACCTACATAAGGAGAATCATATAACTTCTTCAAATGATAATGTCAATTACTGCAGTGATTATAAAATTTTCGATTAATCAATAAAAAAAAAAAAAAATGCTTGCCTACCTTCGGTAGTGAGGAAGCAAAAGGAAATGGCCTTTTCTGAAGAGAAAGCAGTAAATGTTTAAAACTCTATAACTCTGCAACGAACCGTCCGATTTCGATGATTTTTTTTTTTTTATTTTGTCAGCAATTCAGAAATCTTTCATATAAATATGGGTATTATACGTCAAAAATTCTGTACTTTTTTAATTATCGTCAAATAAAATATTGAATTCATCGTAACATTTTTCACCTTGTTTTCGGGAAAGTATGTTATACACATAAATTAAAAGGGTTTCAAGGGGAAGACTTTAGCCAAGTTTCGTTAAAATCCCGTTTTGGCGCTACAGTTTATAGCGACACATTTTTTTGCAGCTTTGAACAAAAAAACATTTACTTTTTTATTTTGTTTACATTTATAAAATTATCGTAAGACAGAAGTAATATGCCAGAAACCTTCCCAGGAGTGTACGGAACAACTTCCCAAAGTTTCATGGCGATCGAATGAATGGTTTAGTAATGCACAAAGGACAAACAGACAGACAGACATACATTCATTTTTATATATATATATATAGATTTATTTATTATTGAAATGAAAATTAATTTTATTCTGGGACTGAAGTCCCTTTAGAATAATTGTAGATTTAAAAAAAATATGTACATTAGCCTGGCATATAGATATCATACAAATATATACAAAAATTACTTAGGAAATTGTAAATATATATCATAACCCAGAAATTTTTACAAGCTTGCGAATGTTTGAATTTGTGGTAGGTGGTGGAATTGGAGTTGTTTGAAGGAGTTTATGGATGTGGTTTGACGTATGGAGAAGGGTAAGGAGTTCCAGAAGGAGGTAGCACGAATGACGAAGGATTTACTGAAGGAAGTGGTGGGAGGGGATATATAAATCTATAGGTTGAGATCTGGTGTTGAGAGAGTGGATAGAGGAGCATAAAGTAAGGAGTTCTAAGATGTAGGAAGGATTTTTGGTTCTGAGAACTTAGGAAGTAGGATAAAGCCACTTCAACTCAGTGTACCAACAAGAAACATCAGAATACTTGGGAATCCCAAAGATGAATCTTATGAAGCAATTCATAAGTTTATTTAGTCTCGCCTCCAGTCCTGTGGACACCCCTCGATACACCAGGCAACAGTAGTCGAAGTGGGGGAGAACAAGGGATGTTACAAAGAGCTGTCTGGTTGTTTTTGGAATGGAATTACGGAATCGAAGGAATTGTTCGAAGGATAGTTATGGATTTATGGGTCATCTGGGAAATGTGGTTGTTCCAAGAGAGGTTCTGATCAAAGATCACTCCGAGGTTTTTGACTGTCGGAAAGAAATAGATGGGGCGGTTATTGAGGTAAAGTAAAGAAAGGAAACTAATGAGGTGCTTGGAACTGCATATAAGTGATAGTGGGAATGACAAATAGATTCAGGAAGGTCGCTAATATAAATGGAGAACAGAGTTGGAGGGAGTGAGGATCCCTCGTGTTAATTGAAGGGACGAGGAAAGAGATTTGTCAGGAATAACAACTATCTGGGAGCGATGGAATAGAAGAGAGAGGAACCATTTCAGAACGTTATTCAATATGGGTAAGCTTTAGAGTTTGGAAATGAGGATATTATGATTAACGGAGTCAAAGGCTTTTAAGAAGTCGAAAAGGACTAGGATGGAAATTTACTGTTTGTCTATGGATGATTGGAGGTCTTGGCTAATCTTTAATAAGGCAGATTGGGTGGAGTATTGGGAACGAAAACCGGATTGTAGAAGATTGAGGTGATGGTTTTGCTCAAGAAAGTTGTTCAACTGAGATTGAACTAACCTTTTTAGAGGCTTCGTTAAAATTGAAATGGGTCTGAAGTCGGAAGCTAGTGAAGGAGCAGGAACTTAGTTCAACGGCTGGACAATGACTTTTTCCAGGATTTAGGAAAAATGGAATTTCGGAGAAAAAATATTCGTGCTACATTCCCACAAGAACCTGGTTCTCTCTTATAATTCTTCCCCACTCTCCTCTCTTTCAGGCAACCATCTCTGGATTCCCATCCTTTTCAGGATATCCTCCATCTCTTCTAGTCATCTCAGACGTGGTCTTCCACCAAGTCGATCCTCCATCAGGCGTTTGGGAATCGATTCTCTGGGCATACACGCCACATGGCCCAACTATTTGATTTCGTTACTTCTCACAATTGAGACTAAATCTAGTCTTGCATAGATCTTGCACAACTCTTTATTGGTACATCTTCTCCACTGCCCATGTTCACACACAGGACTGTAGATCCTGCAGAGAACCCTTCTCTCCCAAGTGAGTAGCTTCCTTTTTGAGGCCTTAGAAATCAGCCAAGTCTCCATAGGTGATGATGGGTCATATGACTTTCTCGTACAGTGTGATTTTTGTCCTATGAGAGAGGAAGCTTTAATTTAATAATCTTCACATGGCAAAACAGCACCTATTCCCAGCAGCCATTTTTGCTTTCAGTTCTTTCGTCATTTCATTACTTTCTGTAATTAGAGCATCCAAATGCTTAAAGGTTTCTATTGCTTTCAGGATGTGATTTCCTATTGTGACACATTGCTCTAAAAATTATAATATAAAATATTATAGCAGTTAACCGTAGTGGACTTTAAAAAAAAGTAATAGGTTCACGAAATAAAACGCATGAAGTTGGAATCAAGACTGGTTTATTGTCCCTTCTAATCCTCTGTATATACATTCTGAGCTTGTTTACATCAGTGCTGTTGGTATTAACACTAATACTGTCCCACTCCATACCTTACCGTAGTACCTTACCATACCTTAACTTAGCATTAAGAAAGTATAGTTTGTAAAAAATTGAATGAAAGAGATTGTCTTAATTTACCTGTTCATGTTCACCCCTTTACCTCTGAAAGTGACATATTTTATGATATAATTGAAAATAAGTTTTCTATAAGCCTTCGTTTCTTTTATGACAGAAATCAGTTAAAAAGCAATAGAAGGAAAAGGAACAAAATGAAAGTTTAGAATAACTTTTATTTCTATTCATGTATTCATTTTTTCACCAGCACAAGTAACTTTATGGCCTTAAGAGGTCTATTATACACTGTCTTATACTCTGTTAAGATGCACACAAGTAGCCTTGATGAAACTCCACATGTTTTCTTAATAGCCCTGGAGCCAGGGCCCAAAAATCGACCTGATCGCAGGCGAAGGTTTGACTATAAATTCCGAAAGTGTATGTTATTGTGAGTAAAAAAAACCTTGTCTGCCGTTCCAGAGCCGCTGCTTTCAAAAATGGCGGCTGATTTAAAGAATATTAGGCCAGTAATTTGAGGATCGAAACGGGAAATCCATTGCAAAACATGTGAGAAAAGTTTTTATTTTTTGAACTTGTATATATGGGTTTAGACATGTAAAAAATAAAATTGCTAACGCGGACCACCAAGGGAAAACTTTTTACAGCCAAAAAAGTCAGATTTTTTCGATATTTTTTGGGTTTTTCAACTATAACACCTAAACAATGCATCAACACGAAAAATGTACTCTTTAACAAATTAAAGAACGTTAAATTTTACGTTAAATGAGTATTTAAACTTTATAATTTGGTTACGCGGTAAGGTTTAAAACCACGGTCAACCAAAGCTGAGTTTTACCTAATTTGTCAAAAACTGAGAAAAATTACTATAAATGGTCCTGTAACTTGGAAATGAGTTCCCTAAGTGGAAGAACTCATAGAATCAAAGTTGTAGAGCATCAAATTTTGCGTCAACTGAGTACCAACTAATTTAATGTAGGTCACTGGCTGCGAAAAAAATCGGTAATCTATCGATGGTTCAAAATTGGTAATGAAGGTAAACCTGATTTTCAATATATCAACAGTATGGGTGTCGTTTCTAATGTGTTAGTTTCGTTTAAAGTCTGTTACATGCAGTATAAGCTTCTTTTCCACCACTCAACAGCAAAAGATTTTGGTAAACGATGTGCCGAAAGATTCCGAATTTTATAAAGGACTAACGAATCCCGATTCAAGATATATAATTGGCCTAAAATAAAAATGTCAGTACTCAATAGACGCAAAATTTGATGCTCTACAACTTTGATTCTACAGGTTTTTCCTCTTAGAGAACTCATTTCCAACTTACTGTCATTTATAGTAATTTGTCTCAGTTTTTGACAAATTTGGTAAAGTTCAGCGTTGGTTGACCCTGGTTTTATACCTTACCGCGTAACCAAATTATAAAGTCTATGTACTCGTTTGACGCAAAATTTAACAACCTTTAATTTATTAAAGAATACATTTTTCGCTTTGATGCATTGTTTAGGAGTTATAGTTGAAAAACCCAAAAAATATCGAAAAAATCTGACTTTTTTGGCTGTAAAAAGTTTTCCCTTGGTGGCCTGCTTTAGCAATTTTGTTTTTTACATGTCTAAACCCATATATACAAGTTCAAAAAATAAAAACGTTTCTCACATTTTTCGCAATGGATTTCCCGTTTCGATCCTCAAATTACTGGCCTAATATTCTTTAAATCAGCCGCCATTTTTGAAAGGAGCGGCTCTGGAACGACAGACAAGGTTTTTTTTTTACTTAGAATAACATATACTTTCGTAATTTACAATCAAACCTTCGCCTGCGATCAGGTCGATTTTTGGGCCCTGGCTCCAGAGCTATAAAGATTGATTGTACATGAGTTTAGGATCTAAAATACAGTTGAACAATAAATGTTTTTCTATATATTGCATCTAATTTTAAGTCTGTATGCATTCTTGTCCTCTGCCTGCAGAATCCTTTGATTGATGATATCAAACCAATAGTTAACCAGTATAATTTATTAATAAAAATAATTTTTAAAAAATTATGATTTGTTAAACTAAGAAAAACAAAAGATGAATCCTTCGACTTTGATTTGAAGTAAAGATAGTTTGTCTTTAAAAGAATGGGTAGCAGTTTAAATATAACTTTCCATAATAACTAATCCTTTGTCACAGGAACATCTGCATTAAAGTGTCCATAAATGGGCTGGTTCTGTAATTTAGTAGTTGCTATGACTGGAAAGGATTTTTAACAACTCCTGAAATTACTGAGGTATAACTGTTGTCATTTTTTGTAAATACTACTTCTCATCACTGATTATGTTAACAGTATCAGTGTCATCCTCTCTTTACCCTCATTTTCTTATTAAATTATTTTGAAAGTATGTTTGATGATATTTTAATTAGTACTATTTTTGTTGCAGAGGATGTGTGAAGAACTAGAATATTCTGAGCTATTAGACAAAGCTTCTGAGTTATCTGACCCCTTTGAGAGGATGGTTTATGTAGCAGCTTTTGCTGTGTCTGCATATGGTTCCTCTTATTTTCGTGCTGGTTCAAAACCGTTTAACCCTCTTTTGGGGGAAACTTATGAGTGTATCAGGGAAGACAAAGGCTTTAGATTCATTGCAGAACAAGTAATTTCAAAGATTTTTTGCTCTATTTAATTTAATTTTGAATATATATATATATATATATATATATATATATATATATATATAATATATATATATTATAATAATAAAATAATGTAATGTAAGTGCTATGTCCAAAAGGGATTAATAAGTATGCTGTGCATTAAGTAACCCTATGTAGTAGGGCAGCACTACTTTGAATAAAGTATTTCTCTCTTTGCACATAAAATATTAAATAAAAGCACAGATTATTTTAATTTTCTTCTAAAAGGCTTAATATTTTATTTAAAAAAATAATATGCATTCTGATCTTCATTATAGTATTATTTATTTATTTTTTATTATTATTTCATTTATTATTATTTCATACTGGTTAAGTTGATTGAAAACTTTTTTACAAATGATTTTTTTAAATAACTGTCTTAATTTGCATTCATTCTGTTTTTAAAGATTTATTTAGGTTATTTTAAATTATGAAATTGGTGATATTAAATCTTTTCTGTTTGTTAGGTGGTTATGTATTTGTATCAATTATTGTCTACTTTGACTTATTTGTATGTATGTTTGTTGTAGTGGGTCCACATGATTTCTCTACTTTCTTATTCAAGCAGTAAGATTCTTATTTGTATTTATATATTAGGTCATCACATAGGTAATATGGGGTTTGAAATAATTTGGAAACTTTTCCCATCTGATGCAGGTGCTAACGGATGGTTAAATGGTTTGATCTCAATTTCTTCACATCAACTGTTATTGCTGAATTTTAAGCAGCTTCTCTCAAGATATCCTCATATAATTCAACTGGCCAACCAAAGTGAGGCTCATCTAAAAATTTTAAATTTCCTATTGATATTTAAAGATAATATTGTATCTGCCTCTAACTTATATGACCCACACTGCATATTATAAAAAAAAATTATATATAATAATAATACTTTATTTATTCTGGGACAAGTCCCTTTAGAATAATACAGGAAGACAGAAATGAGGGCTAAGGAGCCTCAGAGATATATAAATAAAAATACAGAGTAATTGAACAGTCTTGGTTAAAAAAAAAAATATATATATATATACACATATACATATAAGTTGCTTTCCAATTTTGATCAGTTGATAATAAAAGAGAAAAAAAAATAGATAAACAAAAATTGGAGAACAAATAATGAAGAACGAACTAATAACTTATGTACATATTTTCAGTAGTATCTATTTACGATTTTATGGGGACTGGATGGATAAGAAATGATTGAACAGGCGGGATTTAAAGGTAGGAAGGGTATTAGATTGACGGATATGGGAAGGGATGGAGTTCCATAGAGATGAGGATCGGATAATGAACGATTTGTCGAAAGCAGCGGTTCGGTGGGCCCTTATGTATAAATCAGAAGACCGGGAACGAGTATTGCGGGAACGAACAGAGGATTTGAATTGAAGGAGCTCGGAGATGTATGAGGGACGGTGGGATTGGATGACTTGAAAGAGGAAGGATGCCAGGAAATACTTACGACGGTAGGAAGGATAAAGCCAATTTAACTCCGCGTAAAGATGGGAAACAGAGGCGTCCCTTGGGATCCCGAAGATGAATCGTACAAAGCAATTTATCAAACGTTTTAGTTTCGCCTCGAGATCCCCAGAGAGGCCCCCATATACCGTACAGCAATAGTCAAAGTGGGGAAAAATTAAGGAAGTGACTAGGAGCCTACGGGTTTCAAAAGGAAATAGGTGACGGGAGTAGTTAAGACGTTTTAGGATGGAAATGGTACGGCGGGAAATATTGGATATATGATTTTTCCAAGAAAGCGTTTGATCAATGGTTATTCCAAGATTTTTGATGGTGGGGTGAAATTTGATGGGGTTATTATGTAGGAACAGAGTTGGAATAGTAGGGACAGTTTTAAGGAGGTGATTGGAGCCTATTAAGATTGCCTTTGTCTTATCCGCATTCAACTTCAGCTTGTTTGTTCTTGCCCAGTCACAAATTCCATCTAAGTCTTCTTGAAGTTTTTCTGTGGCAGATAATAGGTCGGAGGGCGGAAAGGAAAGGTATATTTGGAAATCATCTGCATAGATGTGGTATCGGGAGTGACGGATCTGGAGGGGAAGATCATTGATGTAAATAGCAAACAGAGTAGGAGAGAGAGAGGAACCCTGAGGGACACCACAGGAGAGGGGAAGTGTGTTTGAAGGAGGTTGATCAGGGACTACTACATACTGAGATCGATTGGAAAGGAAGGATTTGAACCAATGCAGGACACTGTTGGATAGAGGAAGGTTTTGCAATTTGGTAAGAAGGATGTTATGGTCAACTGTATCAAACGCTTTGGAAAAATCTAGAAGGATGAGGATAGTAAGGTTTTGGTGTTCAATGGAGTTTTGTAGGTCATGGGTTATTTTAAGGAGAGCAGATTGCGTTGAATAGCCGGGTCGGAAGCCAGATTGGCATGGGTTGATAAAGGAACGTTCCTCTAGGAAGTTTGAGAGCTGATTTTGGACAAGGCGTTCTAGCGGCTTTGAGAGGTTGGATAGGAGAGAAATAGGACGGAAGTCGTGCAGTGAGGTAGGATTGGCAATTTTATTCAAAGGTCGGACTAGGGCGGTTTTCCAGGAGGATGGGAATATGGAGTTCTGCAGTGAAAAATTGTAGATATGATAAAGAACAGGAATAAGGTCAGGAAGGGTGGATTTTATTAGTTTTACAGGAATATTGTCGGGACCATAATCATTGGTGTGGGATTTTAGGATGGTGGAAAGTAATTCATCATAGGACACGTGGGAGAAAAAGAAGTCTTCAGGATTGAATTTGTGATGTTTAATGTCGAAAGTATGAGAGGAAGAGTGAGTAAAGGATAAGAAATGGTTATTGAGATCATCTGGAGAAAGATCGAAGGAACTACGATTAATGGACTCTGGTAGGGATAGGTTGCGGAGTATTTTCCATTTAGATTTGGGGTCGGGAGCATTGGACAGGGCATTATGGAAGTAGGTGGTTTTAGCAAGACGGACTGCGGATTGGGTCCCATTGCGAAGCGCCTTGAAAGACACATAATCCACAGCTAGACGGGTTCGACGGTATTTGCGCCTTGCTGCATCTCTTCCCCTCATCATTTCCTTTATCTCACGGGTCAGCCAAGGCGCAGTGGGACGGCGTAAGGTTTTGGTTTTCAGAGGAGCGTGGATTTCTAATATAGATTGTAGGTTTGAGGTCAGGGTGGATACCATAGGATCAATGGAGTTGTAGGAATATATGGTGTCCCATTGCTGAGAATTAAGGTCTGGTTGAAGGGATTCATAGGAAAGAAGGTTTAAATTGCGGTATGAAACTATTTTGGGAGTGAAGGATTTTACGGGTAGGTCGTATGTAATTTGGATCAGGTCATGTGATGAAAGAAATGGAACTGGGTGTTGAGAAGAAGAAAGGATTTTGATGGGGGAGTCAGAGATATAAAGATCTAACCAAGTATCGGAAAATTGCGTGTGGTGGGTAGGAGAATAAGGAACAAGATGAAGATTAAGGGAAAACAACAGGTCGGTAAGGAAAATTTTTTCGGGAGATTGTGAAAGCATGTTCACGTTAAAATCACCGGTAATAATAATATTGGTGTAGTTGGAGACCAGGTTAATGAGGGAAGATTCAAGGAGGTTGTCAAATGGAACACGAGGAGGGCGGTAAATTACGGCATACAACAGAGGAGAGAAAAGCGAGGTGATTTCAACGAACATGTATTCTATGTGAGGAAAATCATGATAAGGAGACTGTAGAAGGATTTTGGCCTTAAGGCTGTCATGGATATATAATCCGACGCCACCTCCCGTGCGATGCGATCTATCGTGACGTAGGAACGAGTAATCTGGTAAGGAAATCTGGGAGGATGGGATAAAAGGTTTTAGCCAGGTTTCAGATATTGCTATTATATGGTAAAAATTGTCAAGGAAATATTTCTGGAATTCATCGTAGTGTGCAATAAGGGATTGGGCGTTGATGTGACAGGAATTCAGAATATTAGTCATTATAGTAGAGTTGGGAAGCAGAGGTTTGGTGAAAAGGATCGAAGATAAAGGATAGGATATAACATTTTTTTTAAACAAATACTCCGTTTAAAAATAATAATAAAAAAATATTAAAAAATTGCATACATAAAATAAAAGTTGAGATGAAAGTAATGAATTTCCAATATTTCGAAATAAATATTCTGTTAAATATAATTTATAGCATATAAATTCCCCTGTCTGTAAAATATAAATATCCCCTTGTTTTAAATACATTGATACATTTTGGTAAATAACCAAATAAAGTTGTAAATAATTTATACAAGAATAAAGAGTGCTAAAAGTAAAAAAGATTAAAATCAAATTATTTCTGTCGAGAATAAAAGTATACAAAAATAAAAAAAGCTTCGATAAAAATAAAAAAATTAAAAAATATACATTTCTATAAAAATAAAAAAACCTGAAGATAAAAAAAATAAAGTAAACATATTTCTGGCGAAAATAAATGTATACAAAAATAATAAAAAGCTTCAATATAAATAAAAAAATAAAAAAGTTACATTCATATGAAAATAAAAAAACCTGAAGATAAAAAAAAAATAAAGTAAAAATATTTCTGGCGAAAATAAATGTATAAAAAAATAAAAAAAGCTTCAGTATAAATAAAAAAATAAAAAAAGCTACATTTATATTAAAGTAAAAAAACCTGAAGATAAAAAAAAATAAAGTAAAATTATTTCTGGCGAGAAAAAATAAATCAAATGCAAACTCAGAGTAACTTGTGAGCAACGTTCAGCTGAATACGTCAAGGTCACTCGGTTTTCCTATTATCACCGGTGGGTATCCATCTGACTCTCTGCAGCGAATTTTTCCTCCACTGAACCAAACATATTTTATTTTAGCAGTTAATTTCTTCTGCCTGGCTAACCAATAGAGGTGCTTGTTGGTGGGCGTCATGGCTTCACTTACATATACGCGGTGCGAGTCATTCTCACTCCAGCCTAGATGTCGTGTGGAGAAATCTCTCTTAGTTCTTCGCTGCCGCACTAACTCATCTTTCACCGTCTGTCTAACAAATCTTGCAATAATTGGGCCTGGTGTTCCTTCCTGCTTGGGCTTAAGTCTTACGGCGTGATCAAGATCTTCCGGACTCAGCTTGACGCCCAGACCCGCTCCGATGCTAAGAATTGTGCCAGTTACAGTTTCACCTGGCTTCTCCGGAATGCCTCTTATTTCAATCGTATTTTTGAGTTGACTTTGTTCTGTAAAATTTAGTCGGATTTCAAGCTCTGATATTTTTGTTTTGAGTTTGTTGTTTTCAATTGTCAAATTTTCAACATGGGTTTTCTGATCCTCTAAGAGTGTTTCTATTTTTAACAGACGGTCCATGTTCTCAAATGAGAGTTCCGACTGCTTCTGTAGGGCTTCTTTTATCTCCTTCAGTTCGTCTATCCCTTGAAGTTTGGACTTCAATTCCCTGACCTCCTCGGTGAGCCCTCTCAGTAGGTCAAGTATACTACTAGACTCAGCAGCTGGCAACGTACCCGATAATAATTCGCAATCGCTACATCTCCATTTTTTGCTGGTCTCTTTTAGGCCTTCTAAGTCTGTAGAATCAATTTTTGTACATTTCACGTGAAATAGGTTTTGACACGTGATACAAACTATTTTAGTTTTGTCTTCTCGGCTTACTGTTTTAGAACACAGTTTGCAATTAACCATGTTGATTAGAAAAAAAAATAATGATAAAATTAAAATAAATCACTATTGCTTTGTAAAGTCGAAAGTAGATGAAAACAATAATATTGTCAGAGACACACCTGTTTGTTTGGGTGGAAGCTGGTAGGATTAGGCTGCTGCCGGCTATCCCCACTACTCCAACTCAATTGCTTCCTTCACCGGCACTGTTTTTTAACTTTATGACTCTATTTCCAAGAAATGACTGTAGTGAAGCTCTAATATTAATATAGTAATACAGAATGATGTTTCTATGAAAAATAATTGAATGATATCTCTAAAATAACTGTTTAAATATTATGGTTAGCGAGTGGCACTTAGTTGAGCTCCTGACTGGTCAAGAGATACTCTAAGACTGATATAGGATTTATTATTCTGCCTTTGTTAATTTTTTGTTACAAAATATTTTATTTTGTCTCTTCAGTGCGAACAGGTCAATTTAAAATTAGTCTTTTGCAGTCAAAATATTAGGAAAGAAGCTTCTTTTCCTTGTCTATAGTGCGACTAAGTGTGGTGGTGATGCCACCCCAAACCATTTAGCCTATTTATTCCTATTCCTCTTCCTTCTGGTTTAGCTTCATGTAGCTCTTGGATTTTCAATCATCTGCAATTCCGTTTATGGCTAAATCATTTGAGCTCTACAGTTTTTACCATTTCACATTAAGGTTATATACCTAAATCCTGTCAGGTCTCATAATTTTTTACTCGGTCCATTCTAGTTTTTTCTCTTATTTTTTGCTAGTACCTCATTTCCATGGACATCATTTTACTTTTATGCTTAGCAAGAGTAGTCAAGTTCTCTGAACCATTTAACAGTTATTGGAAGATATACTGACTATTATAAAGTCTAATTTTTCTCTTGCTTAACATTCAATGGGCCTTTTTCAAGGTATTTGTATAGTATATACCCAAGCAGTCTCCATTCCTAATCAACCACTATCTGCCTACCTGTCTTTATCCTCTGGAGTTGCCCAAGGATCTAGCGTATCTCCTCTCCTTTTTAGTTCCTATATTAATGACCTCCATGACTCAATTCTCCATTGTTTCCACTACCTTTATGCAGACGATTTTCAAATATACTTATCCTTTTCTCCCCCTGAGCTATTGGTAGCATTTACTAAGATCCAAGCAGACCTAGATCGAATCTGTGCCTGGGCAAACTTAAATGGATTAAGGTTAAATGCTTCAAAAACTCAGGCCATTGTCATTGGTTCCAAGCCCCTCCTTAGATCCTATACCGACTTTCCCATACTAAACCTTGGTGACCAGCCAATCTCCTTCTACTCCTCTGTAAAAAATTTAGGACTATTTATTGATCAAACCCTCTCCTGGAGTCACCATATTTCTCACATCTCCCGACGGACAGTTTCTACTCTCAAACTATTCCATCGCTTCCGCCATCTCCTACCTCAACATACGCGTAGACTCCTCGTTTCCTCTCTCATCTTCCCCCACTTTGACTACAGTTGTGTGGTGTATGATGGACTCTCGGTGGAGCTCCGTGACAGACTGAAAAGATTAATGAACAGTTGCGTGAGATTTGTAATTGGTGCCCCGAGATACTACCATGTCTCTCACCACTACACTGAGTTAGAGTGGCTCTTCCCCTCCATTCGAAGACAATATTTCCTAGGTACATTCCTCTATCATATCATCAACAATCATCGTCCTTCCTACGCCTACAACCTTCTCCAATTCAAGTCCTCAGTCCACTCCCTCTCCACAAGATCTCGACCTTCCGACCTTTACATTCCTTCTCACAGATCTGCCTCATTCCAAAACTCCTTTATTGCTCGGTTAGTTAGTTTATGGAATTCCCTTCCTATCAAAATTCGACATTCTTCATCCTTATCTACATTCAAAACCCTCCTATTCCAATTCCTGTCCCCAAAACAGTCAGATACCAGCTAACCTTTTATGTAAAATTACATATTATTTATAATAATATATTCACATATAGCTCAGAACTTATTATAGATTCGACTTTCTTTTTCTTTTTTTTTTTTTTCAACAGAAACACAGATTTTACTGTTAAGAAGAATTTACATTTATTTTTTCTGTATTTTTTATTTTTTCTAAAAGGGTTTATTTATAGTTTAACATTGTACATAGTTTTAAGTATCTTAGTATGGTTTCAAGAGTTTTGTATATAGATTTTTTTATTTTATTTTGTATATAGTATGTATAACGAATATTTTTTTTTCTTTTTTTTTTACTGATTTATCTTTATCTTCACTTTTTATGTTTGTTTTTATCTGGCCAGATATAAAATTTTAATTTCTGTACTTCTTTGTTATTCTGAAGGGACTTCGTCCCAGAATAAAATTATTTTTCTATTCTATTCTATTCTATATATTCTATAATATTTTATCATTGTTGCTGATACTTGCATCTAAATAGTTTTCATTGATCTGCACTATGCAGAATTCACTATAGCAGATTGTTTAGAGATTTTCTTCATATCCTCCATGACACATGACTATACTTTCTGAAACATTAATAAATTCTTCCTATCCGCCCCAAGGTCTTAAAAAGCAGTCTCCTGACCAGAAGTGGTTGTATTCATTCAGCAGATGTATACATAAAAAGTCAACATTGTTGTTTCAAAATTTAAAGATGGTTGAAAAGTTTTCTTAAGAAAATTAGACCACCCACCCAGAGACCTAAAAAAAAAATTCTGCCTATTGGAAGTGGTTGTATTCATTCAGGAGAGCCATGTCAAAAACAAACTTTTTTTGGCATCAAAATTTGACTCACTGGAAGAAGGTTAAAAACAAAACTAATATTTATAAACAAAACTAATCCACCTGGGGACCAAAAAAGCGTAGTCTGCCAACCAGTATTGGACCTGCTCCCATGACAGACGTAGGTGAGTCGAAGTTGTGATGGCCAAGCATGTTCAAGCATAAACTGTAGCATTCTCATGCCTAGCAAGGCCGTTTCAAATTCGACCCAGGTGGGTTAAAATTTTTCATGGCGGACCCACAAAATGAATTTCAACCTTTCCACTCTGGCTGGAATAGGTTTGGGTGTACCTATAGAATAAACCTCCTCCTTTCCTCCCTGTATGACAGAAATGGCAAGGTATTCCAAAAAAAAAAAATTAAAAAAAAATTAAAAAAAAAAAAAAAAAAGTAAAACCAATCTCTTTCCTTCATACTGCTACTCATTTGATTATGGATGAAACTTTTTCTAAATTTAGCACCCCAGGGAAAAAAAAGTTTCTGCCACTCAAAGTGGAGGCTTTGGAATGCCTTTCTGTACAGCCTAATAAGTCTTGATTACCAGGATAGACTTAATCAGGTTATAAAAGACAATTATACAAATCAATTTAACTTAGATTTCTTGTGTATTGCATAAACTGTGTTGAATATCCTCAAAGTTTTTAAGTCCTTGGAACCCAGGTGAACTGTTTACAAAAACTTAATAATTTGATTTTTATTTCTCTAAAGCAATATATTCATTTAACTTCTATTAGTTATTTATTTTTGAGTTTGCCTTCATTTATTTAATTATCACCTTTATTTCCGACTAACGGAGCATAGACCACAGTCACAGTGCTTGCTTCTGGCCCTATAAATATTGGTCCATTGTACTTGCATTTTTAAATTTCAAACAAAGAATGTAGTTTAATTTTCCAGTCTGTCTTCTGTTTTATGTTGTTGATTTTTTGGTGTTTGTTGTATATTTGCCTGTTTCTTTTTAAATTTTCAATAAGTTACTCAGTTCTTCAATTTTATATTATAAATTTTAAGTCTTTTCAATGCTGTTGCAGCAGTAAGTATCCTTTAGAAATTTTAATCTTTCCATTTTAAAAATAAAAGTTTTTAATGATGCTAAACTTTTTGTCTGAAATTGTTAACATAAATGTTTTTGTAAGTTTTAACTTTCTCCACTGGATTGTTATCAGGTATTCCGTCTTTTTTTTTCTTCAGGGGATTCAATATTTATCGTAAGAGTTGTCCTTTCCTTCCATTGAACTTCTTCAAAGAATGAAGTTCTGTAACACAATGTAGGCTGTTATTTACCTTCTTCTAGTTATAGAAGTTGCCATAGCCGTACTGTAACATTTACTTACTTTGAATGGTATTTGCTTGTTGAATCCCTTCAGAAAGGGTTATTGCTTTTGTTGTTTACTTAGAATTGTGTGTGTGTGTGTGATTGCCGAGTCAAAACATATGCTCATCAGCAATTAACACTTCAATGGTTGCACATGTACGCAGTAAAATGTTGCCAAGGGCTGGCAATGTTGTGTGAGTGGATGCTAACAGTTGGCTTGGCCATCACACACATATTGTGTGGGCAGCTACAAAAGTGTTAATAAAATCTTGTTTGGATTGATTGGCAAATAAGAAAAGCCCTCAGGTAAATGTCAAATAAGTGTCTTTGATGTGGTCCAATCCATTTAGAGCCTACCCACCATATAATGGACTAACACAATACAGTGAATATTCTGAATGAATGAGATTTTAGTTGCTTCCAACCATTCCTAAAATTCTACCTATCTGGTCACAGTTAAGACTTTAATGGCCGCACGTCTACGCAGTGAAATGTTGCCAGGGGCCGGAAATATTTTTTAAGAATTAATTTAAAGAAATTTTATCAAAATTTGTTGTAGCCCAATAACTCTCTCTCTCTCTCAGCGGTAGCATCACACACATGCTGTGTGAGTGGATGCTAAACAGTTGGTCCGGCCATCACACACTTGTTGTGTGAGGGGCTACTAAAGTGTTAAGGATGGCTTGGAGGTTGGCTGTAGTTGACATGAATCTGTGTAAGTATTAACTATTTGCTACAGTACTGCTATGGCAACTCCCATAGCTAGAAGAAGATATATACCAACTGAAATTTTATTAGAAAACATTAGTATTCTGGAAGGAAGAAGAAAAAAATAATAGAAAGAAAGAAGTCTCCTGGAAACAGGGTTGCCAGTCAAGTAAAGGATGGCATATGTGGGCATTTTTAAAATGGTGTGAGGAAATCGAAAAAAGGGTTTGATTTCAACTTAAAAGTGAGGGAAAGTGATTATTTAGCTATAAAAAAAGTTAATATATGTGAAAAAGATCCTTGGAGATATTTTTTCTTTTTCTTAAATATTGTATATTTACTAGATAAATATTCTTTTTAAGAATATTTGAATTTTCTTGAAATACTTGAAAATATTTAGAAGGATCAATGTTTTTTGACACCAAACCTATTGTTTGATTTTCAAAATCCCTCTAAAAAGAAGATCCTATCCCAAGTTTTCATTATATATAATGCATTAGTTATTTTCATAGATCTTCGAGATGTCTTAAGATTGTCATCAAGGGCTTTTTGATTGCATTGTTTCTCTTTAGGAGAAATCACTGTTTCCCAATCAGTTTAATTGTTCAGACCTACAAAAAAACAAAATATATATATAGGTTTGGGATGGTGTAATTACTGAATCAGGGTTTCATTATTTATATCTGTATGCCTAATAAAATATTATTGAAGGATAAATTATTGGATTTATAAGTTATCAATTTTTAATTTTATCACCCATAGGAATGCTTGTAACCAACCCTTTGAATAATATATATCTAGTCCTGTCATGAATATTGTTACAAGCATATATATTCAGATTTCAAGAGAAAAATTAATTTTTCAAAAACATTATTAGAAAATAAAATTTATTTCTATAGAGAGTAAAAGAAAAAAGAAATTACTCAAAATGTCCCCCTTTTGCCTTCACACAGGCATTTAATCTCCGTGGCCAGTCATCAATAGCAGCACGCAGCACTTCTTGCGGAAAGCGCTCCACTGTTCGGACCGAAGATTGTTTGAGGCTTTCCAAGTAAGGGTGTGCTCTTTGGCATGCCTGCCTCTGCAGTTCAGACCAAGCCGATAATCTAGTGGGTTGAGATCAGTGTTTCCTAAGGGCCAATCCGAGACAGAGATGAACTCAGGAATGTTTTTTTGCAACCACTGCTGAGTTGACCTGGCCTTATGAGCTGGAGCGGAATCCTGCTGGAAAACCCAATTACTTCTAGCAAACAGAAACAGAGTATCATTTAGAGGCTTGACAACAGGTTCCAAATAATCATCCTGATAGTTTTTAGCTGCTGTTTTAACTCCTTTTTCACAAAAATGGAGCTTTGTGGTGCCATCAAACTCCCTACCAAACCATCACTGAGGAAGGGTGATGACCTCTTTGCACTCTTTCAATAACTTCCTGGACTTCTTTAGAGCTGTGTGCGACACACGATCATTTTGGCGATTAAATTTTTCTTCAATTGTAAACATTTTCTCATCGCTAAGCAAAAGCAAAATCTTTCGATGAAGACCATTGATGTAATGGCCAAAGAGCACTTTGTATCTAATTTTTTTTAGGGAAGTAGTTAGCCTTTGTCCTGTCATTCTTCGAAATGCACCCATCCTAAGGTCACTTTTTATTACGCGGGACATTGATCTGACAGAGATTCTCATTTCCCGAGACATGATTTGTTGTTTTCGAATGAGATTTCTTCTGATTCGAGCATCCTCTGCTTTCACTGCATTTGCTGTTCTCACAGTGCAAGGATGTCTCGGTCGAGGTTTATAGTCGGTACACAAACATACGGCTGATGTCCAAAGGTTTCAAACTGTTGAAAATCTCTGACCTTCATTTTCGAACTTTGTGTAAGATGATCACAGCTATTCGGTTTTCTTTAACACCTCACTCCATGTTAAATGAGCAAAAGAAAAATAGAAACTACTTGGGATTATCATCCTGACATGTAGAGAAAATACCCTGATAGAGGTAAAGATTATCTAAATAATATACAAGGATGTAAACAAAGTTCAACTTTTGTTTTAGTATCTATGGCAGAACTAGATATAGTAAGATAACCCTATGAATAGTTTTTCTAGATTATTTTTTAATATTTCTTCTTAGTGGATATTTCATTTTTATCGCTGCCATATTTGTTTAGCACAAATATAAATAAATTCATTTTTTTTTTTTTTAATCATTCATTGTTATCTCATATTAATGATGATGTATTTTTAATGAAGAGAAGTCCTTTGAAAAATTTATCTAGTTTTATTTGTGACAATAATAAAATTTCAGTCAATTCTAGACATATTTATGTTTAATGTTATTGCAGGTTAGCCATCACCCTCCTGTCAGTGTTTGCCATGCCATTTCAAAAAATTTCACTTTTCATGAGAATGCTCGGATAAAGACAAAATTTTGGGGAAGAAGTATGGAATTCCAACCTATTGGCAAGTGAACTTTTACTTATTTACTTATGAAATAGAATACACTTGAAGTGAAATTAAAAAAATGTTAAATTGCTTAACAAATATCATAATATCTCTAATACATGCCATAGTTAAATAGAAACATTTATTTTAAATACATGATACGTAATATTAGTTTTTTATTTTTAAATAAATTTCTGGCAATGAAACTTTGTTCACCTGTTAGGGTGTTTACCTAATTTATACCTTAGTATAAACCACGAGTCGCTAAAGATTTTGGTCCAGTGGGCCATGCTTGTGATGAAAAAAAGCCTTGTTCTATAAATGACATTTCAGTTGTTGAATAACTTTCTATGAGAAACAAATCATGAAATAAATGTAATAACCTTGTGTTTGAGTGATTTACTAAATTTCATATTGTTTAAATTTTACCATATAATCAAAGAAACTTTCGCCACTCATAATTTGGGGACCTCTGGCATAAACAATTGAACCTTTTAAAAATTTACAATTTCTATATAAGAAACTCTTAAGTACTATAATTTATACGTAATCAACACAAAATAATAATTATACTTTGAATAAAAATTCTTTCTTAATATATTTGTTCATACGCTCTCTCATAAAGCATATTTATAAGTAAATATAAATTTCAAAACTTATATAAAAAATATTCATACACAGTCGCTGCAAAACTTGAGCATATTAAAATCCTTAGCTGGAGTATTCTGGTTCTCACCCACAAAACATGCTCACTCTCTACAAAACAATAGTTAGATCTAATTTTGATTATTGCTGTGTCATATACAATCAAACTAAATCCCCCCTCATTATTAAGTTGAATACAACACAAAAATGTTCCATAAGATTATGTTTGGGTGCTTTTAAAACTTCTCCAGTAAACGCGTTTCAGGCCTTAGCCCTCCAACTGATGCCATTCAATCAACTTCTGTAATCCTTTCAACTCGTCCTTTCCATCTAACACTTTCAGTTGTATACTGTCCTCCTGGTAATTCCCTCTCTTATAGCCTACTTGAATCCTTATTTCAATCCCTCGGAGCGCGCTTTATTGCTGGAGGAGACTACAATGCTAAACACCAACGATGGGGTTGTCGAACATCCAACTCCCGCGGTAGCATCCTATCACGTGTCTCTTCTTCCAACAGTTATTCAATCCTCTCGCCCATGAATCCTCCATATTGGTCTACATCTCTGAAAAAACGTCCCAATATCATGGATATATTTATCACCTCCCAGATTTTCTCCTCCCAATTAATTATCAAATCCCTGGATGAACTTTCGTCAGATCATAGTCCAGTTTTGCTTTTACTACATCCAAACTTTGCTCCTAAACCTTCACCTCCTAAACTGATTACAGGACGAGTAGACTGGGACAAATTTCGTGATGATCTGGAAGATAAACTGGACTTAAAAATTCCCCTTAAGACAAAACAAGATATTGATAAAGCCATAGAAAACCTTACTACAACTATAACAATGAGTATAAATAATAACACATTTGTTAATAATAAAAACAATAATTCAAGACATATTAACTTGCCACAGCATATTCGCATCTTATTAAGGGATAAACGCAGAGCAAGATCGAAGTGGCACAGGACTAGATATCCTTCAGACAAAACGTACTATACCAAATTGACTAATAAACTAAAATCAGAAATCAGAAAATATAAAAGATATAAAATATAAGTATACCCTGGAGCTGTCGTAACAGATTTAACACTCTGACTCCTTAATATAATGAAGACCATAATGATCATGAGGTCCAAGAAAGAAGAAAAGAAGTCATCGAAAAGAGGTGGAACGATGTGACACCGCAAAGGAAGTTCTTGGTGTGAAAGAGGGAAAAAAGCCTGATTGGATCTCAAGAAAAATCTGAGATGCTATTTTGGATCAGAGGTGGAAAAAAGAAGCCTTAAACAAAAGCAGAACCTGACACCAAAAAAAAGATTTATATTTATAAATCATAATGACCAATTTATTTATTAACAGGAAATTATGTAAACTAATACAAATATAAAAGGAAATATGATGGGCGATAACCGAAAGGCAAAATGGTTCCTGGAAGCACAACCAGAGGAAAGGCGACCTAGAGTTAGGCCCAGGCTGTTGTATTGTGACTACATAGAGACTCAGGCGAGCCAGAGGCAGTACTATGGTGGATATCAGAAGGAGAATCAGTGACAGGAATCAGTGGACGAGATGGACCGAGGCTGTTCCTCCATGCTGATGGCACTAAGGATGTGGCAAAAGTAGAAGAAGAAAATGTTTAAATCAATCTCATCTACATTTACTTCAATTATCTAAAGTAATTATTATGCTAGAATTCTGGGAAGAATTAATGAAAAATTTAATTAGTAATTATAATAGGGATTTATCTCACAATCACAGATTTTGATTTAGGTCTAACTGCACTTAATCCAAATATAGTTAATGACCTAGCAATGAAAGAGAATAGCTGTCTATATAATATCAAGAACTGAAGAGAAAGAAATAACTAATATAAATACACCAAATAACATACTGTACCTGTTAGCTTTTTAACTTTGAATTTAAGAATAATGACAGAGATATAGCAAAAATCGTATAAGAATTAGCAAATATATTACATAATAGGAATAGGAAATATATTTAAAACTGTTAGGAAGAGAAGTGAAGAGAAAAACACGATTGCTTGCAGCTTCTTATTTAATCCTTTTAATTGGAGCCGCTCAACACTACTTTTATTTGTTAATTCGATGGAGAATATATATTTTTCATGTTGATAATTTTGTAATACCTAATGTAAGAAGAAAAACACATATAAAATTAAACTATGTACATAAACTCTATTGAGAAAAATGTGTAAAAAGTTACATAAATTAAATAGTTATTTTAAAGTTTGTAGAATTGAGATTTTATGTGAGGAAAAGCATGTATGCATAGTTCTAGGATATGCAAACAGCTTTTTTTAATATTTGCTGCATTATTATTTTGCAATAATACACAAAAAATAATGTTATAAATAATAACTCATTAATTGCAGTTTAGTTTAAACTCATTGTAAACAGTTACAGTTATAAATAATGGACACTTAGTTGCAGTTATTAACTATCTGCTGTATAGTATATGTCAAAAGATGAGTCTCTGCACCTCATAGCTCTTTTCTTATAAACTATAAATTATAGGAACAAAATAAATATTCTTCTTTCTTAAAACTAATATGTTACTCTCTTTCATATTACAACTCTTTAAATTCTCGACACTGATAAAACAAAACATTTGGCAATTATATATTTACTAGATTACAAAGTTAAAATGAAAGAAATATTGAATGACAATGGAAGATACTGAAAACCAATTAAAGAATAGGACAAATTAACACTTATGTTACAAAATTATACAGAAAAGGATATATTGTTAGATATAGTCCTTTGTAATGGAATTGTAATGTACATGATCAATATCTCCATGCAGTCCATACAGATATAGATATAAAGCTTTGTTGAGGGGAGATGGCTGAGCCCCTACCGCGGCAGCATTGGAAGACTCAAGCTCCATGAGCCCCTAGTAGTCAGTGGATGGTGGTGGTAGTATTCCTTGCCTACTTGTGCCAGATTTGGCAGGTGAAGCCTTATTAATCTACAGATCTATCATATTTAGCTGAGCCAAATCAGTCAATTTTCTTTTCCTGACAAATCTCCAAATCACAATGTAAGACCAGAGGAATCACCAGACCACAGAGAAAGTAGAGGGGATTGAGAGGTGAGGGATGGTGAGGTGGGGATGCAGAAAAAACATCTGTCATCAATATAGCCTATCATAGATCATCAGCTAAAATTTGACAGGTACCAGATTTTTTTTCATCTCCGCATGAGAAAATAAAGAATTGGATGATATTGAAACCTTAAGAAATACAAAAGGATGTTGAAAATCCTACAAAATGATAAATAGTATCCAAAAGCCATTTAAGCCTTGACTGTTCTTAGTAGATATGTCAATGAATCATTAATTAGGGGCAAGAACCAAGTACTAAAAAGATAGAGCAGTGACTTTGACTACATACTCAATGAAAGCTACCCATAGGAGGATCAGCTAGAAGTAAAAAATTTAACTTGAACACCTGAGTAAAAAAAAAAAAACGATATTTCCGCTGAAATAATAGAAATGATTATTATTTCTCTGTTAATAGATGCTATTTTGGAATTTCTCCGCAGTTAGCGAACAGTTTACTTTCAAGAGCTACAAAAATAAGAATATATAAAACATTAATCAGTTCAATACTTAGATATGGATCTGAAACTTGAGCTTTTTATAAAAGTCATGAGTGACGTATTTATGGTACTCTTTATTAAAGGAACAAACATTAAATGATAGAGCTTGAGAGTCTTCAATGGGAGAACCATGTGTCACAGATGGATGTCCATTATTTTCCAAGGAAAATCCCCCATGAAGAACTGTATGGAACAAGACTTAGAGATTGCTTCAAATTGCATTGGACTGATGGTTCAAAAGAAAATTCAAGAAACTTGCTTGGTGTTTGAAGCTGGATGCCAACTGCACTTAACTGAATGGTTTAGGGAAAAGTATTTGTGAAGGCCAGGAGCTAGCGATGGGCCCTAGTGCTGATTTATAATGATAAGGATGATGATTCATGCATATATCACTTCCATAATATTTCTTATGAATAAATCAGAATGATGTTTTCATTATTAAAGTTGCTATCAAAATATTGCTTTTATTAATAAACACCCATACAGATCAAATATATTTAAATAGGTATGTTAGTAGGTAAACTTAACTTCTCATTATAATTAAGGTCAAACTATTTTATAATTTGTTATATTTCAGGTATAATTACTGTTTGCCTTGAAAGACCAAATGGCTCTGGCCAAGATGTTTATAAATGGAACAAAGTTACAACTTGTGTTCACAACCTCTTTGGTGGTCAACGATGGGTTGATCAATATGGTGAGTTGGTCATCACTACTCCTGGTATAACATGCAAGTTAACCTTTGTCAAGGTAATTGATATTTATTATATATAAAGTTATCTCTAGTGAATTTAAATCCTAATAATCAAGTAAAGAATTGTTACAAATTACTTTTTTATTATGAAATTATTAGACTTATAAACTTATCATTTATTTATTTTTAATCAAAATAGCTCTTCCTATTGACTAAAGGTCATTTAATAAAAAGTAAGATAAGTTGACAGAAGATATAAATGATATCGTAGGGACAGTAAATGTAAATCATATTAAACTAACAAAAACTATAATAATGATGTAGAGATGGTTGACCGTTGATATAATATGAGAAGGAGTTAATCGGGGGGTGTGGTCAATTAAATACTAAATTAAAATATAGTAATAATTTTAATTTTTGCCGACGTTTTGACCCACTTTGCAGGTCATCAGGGCGCAGGATGTGTTTCACGCACACACAGTATTTCAACTGCCTCCCGCAGTGGTACATCCTACGCCCTGAAGACGACCTGCAAAGTGGGTCGAAACATCGGCAAAAATTAAAATTATTACTATATTTTAATTTAGTATTTAATTGACCGCACCCCCCCCCCCCCCCCCCCGATTAACTCCTTCTCAAAAACTATAATAAAGAAAAATCAGACCAAAAGAAAATATAACTACGTGTTGAGCGACTGGGAAATGCAGATTTTTTTTTTACAAATTTGTTTCTTGATGTCTTTAACGTAATAGGCTAATAAAAATTTACATATGAGCCCATAATATTTTTTAATCTTTTTGAACGTTTTATTATTTGTTTCTGAATTTGATTTATCAAAATTTCGATGAATAGAAGAAAAAGTTGACAGCTTAGAAGGAACTTTTTTCTCACCAACTTAATTTACTAATCTTTAACTCTATAAATTAATTTGGTGGGTCCATAAAGGTGCGCAAAGCCACAAAACCCGTTAAAAAGTGCAAAAATGGTTAGTGCCAAGTGATTAGTGGTACTTCTCTAACTCCAACTCAATTTAAATACAAAGCCCTTTTGATACAAAGGGAATATCTTTGTCTAGGGATTCTAAAAATGATTTAAAATGCTCCCTCTTCCTCCCCAATGACCCTCAATAAAGTTCTATTCTAAGATAAAATTTTATTTGCTCAGTTGTAAAAGTAATTAGCATTATGATCTACAGATTTTTCTGATGTTTTTTTTTTCTTTGTGCTATATAGGCATCATATTGGTCAACTAAAAAACATGAAGTCCTTGGAACTGTCGTGGATGAAAAAGAAAATAGAGTCGTTCACAGGCTTTTTGGGAAATGGAGTGAAGCGTTGTATTGCGGTGTTGCCCCTTCTGCTAAATGCATTTGGAGGCAAGGTAAGCCTATTAGCTTGGAATAGTTTGTTGACTATATGAATTTTCTGTAACTATATTTTTAAGAAATTCAGGACTTGTCAATCAAACTAAATAACTGCATTTTGAAAAAGTATATCATGTTCATTAAAACAATAAGTTTTAAAAATTCAGAAAATTTAGTAAGAAGAAAATGGACTGTGTATCTCAAGTTTTTCAATATCATATAATTTCAATATTATATCTCTTGAATTTTCTTTTACTATATGAAAGTACAAGATTCAATAAGCAGAGCTCAATCGCATCGGTCGTAATTTGCCTATTTTTTTACTTTCACTTACCTATATATGAAATATATAGTAAGGGAAAGTGTTGCGATCGTGAAAATTTTTGAATCTGAGCTTTAAACGGAAATATATGTTTTGAGGTGTCTTGAGTCCAAATATCACAGTCCCGAAAAATGGTCTGTGTGTGTATGTGAGCAGTCTACCTCAAAAACGAAAAGTTGTATGAAAGTGAAATTGCATATACCTGTAAGATTTGTATATACCTGGGATGTTACAGCAACTTTTTCGTCAAAATCGGCTAATCGTAAGTGGTACTTTATATGTTTAAGGAAGTTAGGAGACTGTTCTACATATCATGGGTGATAAATATTCAGGACACAGTCATTATAAATTTTTTTTAGTGCCAATGTTTCAAACCAAACATGTGGGTCACCATCAGGGCGTAGTTCGAGCACTGAGCGTATTCAAGTTCTCTGAAGGTATTCAATATACTGAAAGTATTCAGTACTTATTACACATTTTTAATATTTTCTCAATAATGGTTTTAACAGTTTTGATTAAATTCAGTTTATCAGTGTAAAACTAAGCAGTTTTTAATATCATGTAGGTTTCATTCTCATTGTTCTCTAACAGAGCTTAAATGGCTAATTTTCATTATTTCTTCCTCTAAAGTACCTTTAATTTTTTTTTTATTTGAAGTAATTATCCATCTCACAATTAACTCAGATATTAAAAATAGTTAAATATAAAATATGAAAGAATTAGATAATTAAGTAAAGGAGAAATAAGAGATTGTAACGAAGAATAGTTGTAATAGAGGGACCTGAGGAATACGAGGACGCTAGAGCTTATCTGAGCTCATTCAAAGGATTAGAGCATGTTTCCATACGTAACTTGATCTTAATATAATACGGACTCAGACAATATTGTACAAATAAACGTTTACGGTTTTCATAAATGCTATCGATTGAATTATTTAATATCTAATTGTATAGATTACAAAGAAATAAAAATAAAAGTTTATTTATAAACCGTTACTTAAACAAATAAAAATACCCATATTGAAATATAAATAAATATATAATGGCATCCTTTATCAGTGACACTCCTGTAGGACTAAAAAGAATTTGTGACACTTAATTATTTATTATAATAGGGTGGTAACTGAAAGTTGTGTGATGCAGTTGTGTTACCGCACCAGATTTCTTTTTATTGCAAAACATAAAAGTTTGTTTCATTAATTCTTACATAAGAAAATTAAATCGGATTTGGAAATAAATTGATCTCCTGAATTTCTTTCTTTTTTTTTTTTTTTTTTTTTTTTTTTTTTTTTTTTTTTTTATCATCTTATAATTTGTTTCCAAATTAATTTACCAAAATTAAAAGTAGTAGAAAAATAGTTGAAACCCTAGAATGAAATTTTTTTAATATCGACTTAGTTCACATACTAATTTTCATCCCTCTATATTTATTTAGAGAGGTTATAGAAGTGGCAAAGCCTTGAAAATCAGGAAAAAACTGGTGAAAAATAATGAAGGTAGGAAGAAAAAGTTAAAACTCCCAAAAGGCATTTCTCTGACATTAACTTCTGGCTTAGATTAAGTTCTGGCTTAGATGGATACATGGGTTTCTACCATATTTGGAATAAATAAAAGTTTGAAATGTAAATATCCATTTGGCAAGCTTTTGACTCTCATCTCGGCTGGCCATCAATAGTCGATATTATCGAAATATCGTTATTTTCCTTCCAATATTCAATATTTTGCCATCCATAGTTTTTATTATCGACTATCTATATTGTCCCTTTGATATTTTAATTTAAAAATTAAAATGAAAACTATTTTTTTTATAAAGCAGTCTCTCAGTCCCTTTTTTTTTAGGATTAGTAGTCCCTTTTTTTTTAGGATTAGTTCACTTATGTGAATTGCTACTACTTTGTGTATATATATATATATATATATATATATATATATATATATATATATATATATTATTTTATATATTTTATAAATTCTCTCTCTAGGTTTGCATTTTTTGCACCTCATCCTCTTCCATCCTTTCAAATGATTTCCCATGTCCTTAATGGGTCAGAGATTTGGATCTTCCATTTTTCCATTACAACAATATTACTATCAAGCTTAAAAGTTGTTCATAGCTGTGCAAAAAATAAATTTTTTTTTCTTAGTTGGCTCTTTTTTATATATGTTTTTTATTACTGAGAATTTTAGCTCTTTATATCTATGAATCTCTGTGTAATTTTAGGCACAATGCCGCCAGATTATGAGTTGTATTATGGCTTCACCAGGTTTGCTATGGAACTTAATGAGCTGCAGCCAGATACGGTCAACTATCTTCCCATTAGTGATACAAGGTTCAGACCTGATCAAAGGTATGCAATTTTTTTTTTTAAACATTGATTTAAAATATTTTATTCATTGATTTAAAATATTTTATTCAATAGGATTAGTTAAATAGGCTAAAACACTTGATATAGTATATTGTAATGTATAGAGATGTTTTAACTCAAATATGAAATAATGATAAAAAAGAAGTGCATTTTCTAAGGAATAATGAGCACCTTGAGGTACTTTGGTCACTACATCATAGGTTTGATTCCTACATGTGAATGGCCACTTATCCCTATGAGACACAGAATTGAGATGAACAAATATGTTCCTAGTTATATAATATAGCTTGCCCAAAGTTCTTAGCTCTATAATACAGCTCTTTCAAAATTCCCAGCTCTATCCAGTTCTATAATATATCTCTAAATTTAAAGTTGTCCTAATGTTAACCCATTGATTGGGGTAAAATCGAAAAGTGCAGTATCTCCATTAGAAATGTCAGGAAACATGACTTTGTACCAATGTTACCCCACAATATTGTATAGGCTCATTATTCACATAAGAAACAACAAGGAAAATGAGTGTGTACCAATTTTACCCTACAATACTATATTTAACAGAACATAAGAACAATAAATTCGTATTAATGGAACAAAAGCTTTGTTTTGTTTCATAAACCAATCTACCCAATCATTTCCCGGTAAGTTGTTTTTGAAGCGAGTTTCTTTTCTTCCAATGGTATCCAGACTCGATTTTACAATACAACGTAAATCAAGGGATTGACTGGAAATCCGTAGTTTGACACAGCAACAACATGCGCTACCATCTGTTCCTCTTTTTCCGTTGAAAACACTGTAGTCCGACCTACAAAGTTTTCCTAATGCTGATTTCAAATGCAGTTTATTTTTCAGTATTCCGTACTTGGAGGCGGCTTTTCGGATCGACAGTGTCTTATTTCTTATTGTTAATAAAGTTTCCTGTAAATTTTCTTCATTGTAATTTTTGTATGGCCTTGTGCTAAGAGCTCTTTTCTTGGGTTCTTGAAGTGCAAGCAAAAGTTTTGAGAAAACAAGAATTATGAAAATACAATGGAAAGAAATAAAACCTAGCTGCATGAGTGTAGTGAACTAGGGTTCTCAAACTGCCCCAAGATAACAGGCACAGTACATGTCTACACATACATGTTTTTGCAGACTGAACTAACACAGTGTATCCACCACGGAATCACCACAAACTAAATTTTACCCGCTCTCCCAAAGTTACCCCATCTTACGGTACATTTTTTCTTCTCGAAGTGTGAGATATTTCTCACAAATATGTGAACTATTTCCTATTTCTTGGAAAACCCATGCAGTAAACTTACAAAGCATTTTTATTGGGAACCAATAACTTGTAAAAAGAGAATATATATTTTTTTTCTGTTGGCATTACCTTATACATCTTTTGCTGCCTTAACCAGCCTTTAGCTATTTCTTTCCAGTTATCTGCATGCAGCTCTTTTGCATCTGAAAGTCAAGGAAAGGAAAGGGAATAGATTTTGATGAAATAGATTATTAAGTAGCATTAATAAAATTTATAATATTGTTATATAAATAAGTATTATTGTTGAATTTCAAAAGGCTGATATGATTCAGGTACTTGAAATGCCAGAGCTGCTTGTTTAAACCATTTTTTTTTGGAAGGTTATCAGACAGCACAGTTTATACCTTTACCCAAGTATTAGGAGAGATTTTATCATTGACATGATTGTTAATATTAACATATTAATTGGACTTACTGACATACTAATGTGGATGTAAATATTTTTTTAGGGAGAAAAATTTACTAGGCCTGCTTTACTGCAATCTTCTTTTGATTTTATAATTAATTGATGATACATTATAACTCATTAAATATGATCACCAATATTTTTTCTTATTCTGAAAAAAAAAATCCAATAATAAGTTGATTGTTATATAATAACCTAGAAATCTAGACAAACTGAAGACAAAACAATTATATAATGTTTCTTAAATTATTAAACATTTTTTTTCTTAGCTCCAATTGAAAATAACTCCCTGGGACATATGTCCAATATTTTTTATGTAGAATCTTGAAAAAAAAAAGTTCAAATCAGTGACCCACTGACCTCCCCTTGTCAATATTCATGCGATGACCACTTGTAGCAGGCTTAATAAGCGTGTAACTTCAAGGAATTAATGGCAGTCCACAAATTGATATTGGGCCTGCTGATCTGTTTTTTTGTTTGTTTTGTTTTTTGTCTGAGTCTGTGAATTAAGTTGGAGTTAGCAAAGTGCCTTTTGAAGGTCTCGTTTCTTTTTTTTTTTCATCCCCCACCATTTTTCGTTGTTGTGATTTTTATGTTTTTAAAAGGTTTTCACTCCTATACCTCCTATATCTCCTAATTGAGCTAGTGGATCGGAATTGTTTATATGTGTTTAATCTCCTTCAAATCATCATAATTTTGTTTCTTCATTGTTTATTAGCTGAAGATCTGCTTGAAGGATACAAATGTTAAAATATGTTTAGAGATATTTCTTCCTTAACTGTCAAATATATGAGTATTAAAAAAAAAATTATGATAAGCATTATATTTACATATTGTTTTGATTGAAACAATTTATAAAAATAAGTTAGTGACACACTCATATATGTGCTGGTATCAATTTAAACAAACTGGAACTTTAACTTTAATTTTAATTTATACGGTATGAATGTACTCTCTGAACTCTATTATAAGTGTCCTTAACTGTGAAAAATTGTAATATTTCTCAATAAAATGTTTAATATAATCTTAATTTAATATGGTGTTTAATGATTAACTTGCTGTTAGTGTATCATTATGCAGTAATGTTTGATCTCTCTTAGGTTGCTTGAGGAAGGTAAGATAGAGGAAGCAGAAAAAGTGAAGTTGCAGTTGGAACAATCTCAACGGGAGAGAAGGAAGAGAAATGAAGCAGAAGGAAAGGCTCATATTCCAAGGTGGTTCAGGTAACTACTCATTTATCATTAGTGATTTTACTTTTAAAGGTTTGTTATTTCAATATAATTTTATCAAATTTTTTCCTGTAAATTATTAATTTAAAAAATAATATTGACAAGCTCAACTTGTTCTACTTTTGAGGCAAAATCTCTGAATTAATATTGGAATATTTGGCTGCTTCCATAGTACAAAGGATGCAGGAAGGTGAGGATTTGCTGATAACATGGTTTTGCTTGATTACAGAATTATAATTGAAGATATTGTGTTGGCAAATAAGTCCTTTCAGTTTTCAGAGTGAAATAAAACTCAATTGTTGGTATGCATAGTCGTCCCTTATTCCCTACTATTCCCTTATCGTCCCTAAAAGGCTGGTGGTCAGAGTCCACTCCTTCAACTTCTCTTCTACTATAGGGGACATTTAGGGGAGATAGAGGGCCCTTCATCATTCCCAAAATTCCCCTGTACTCACTACAACTTATATTCAACTGATAGAAAATGTAATTATCGTGTTATTATTATTATTATTACTATTATTGTACTTCTAACATTATTATTTTTGTTATTATTATATTTCTACCTGAATAAAATCTAGTGAAATTAAACTTCTTTGTTCAAACTATTTTCTGAGTATTTAAGAGGTAGTTTTTTTTTTGTTTTTTTTTATTATTTTGTGTGATCATCTGCCGATAAGATCTATTCTTAATAGTAGTGATCCTCTGACACTTCTCATAGTACCATCCTGCTTTCCGTGTAACTTCTTGACATCCAATTGTTTCATTTGCGACTTCCACTATTGCCTCCTTGCTACTACTCCATTGTTGGTTTAAGGCTCCGGATTCATTGTGGTTTCTTATCTTATGATTCATATGCCTAGAGAAGCTTTCTCTCTTCTCATAGTCTTTGAACACCTCAACGTTAAACCTGGCTTGTTGCATTCTTTGCTGGACTCGCACCATTGAAATTCGCGCTCTGATCCGGGCAATTGTGAGGTAGTGATCAGAGTTGATGTTTGCCCCTCTGTAAACTCTGATCTCCTGTAGACTTGAAATGTGTCTAGAGGACATTAATAAATGGTCTATTTGGTTGCAAGTGACACCGTCGTTAGACCGCCAAGTTGCCAGATGAATCCTTTTATAATGAAACCTCGTGCTTCCCACCACCAAATCTTTTGAGGCTGCAAAGTTTATGGTTCTCTGACCATTTTCATTTGTGACATTGTGAATGTCGTGTAGACCTATTGTGGGTCTGTATTAAGGTTCTTTTCCTATTTGGGCATTGAAGTCCCCGGTCACAATTTTGACATCAGCTTTCAGACAACTATCAATGCTTCTTTCAAGATCTTGGTAAAAATGATCCTTTTCATCTTCCTCTGTTGGCTCTGTTGGTGCATGGATGCTCATAATGCTGAAATTATAGAATTTATCTCTCATTCTGAGGTAGCATATTTGGGGAGAAATAGCATTAAATCCAACAACGAGCTGAGCCAGCTTCTTATTGATGATGAACCCAGATCTATAGGTATGCAGATGATCATGATAGCTGTAATAGATAGTATGATTTTTCTTGTTAAATATTCCCTGGCCTGTCCACCTTATTTCTTGGATCACAGCTATGTCTATTTTATATCGGTCCAATTGTGTTAGGAGCTGATCTAGAGCTCCCGATCGGTATAGTGATAGAGTGTTCCATGTTCCAAGTTTAAAATCCATTAGACGGGTGGGATGAAATTCTTGCTGAATTCAATGCTAAAGGAGAACACTGCTACGTATGTAATTATATTGTTAAGTATGTATGTATTTTCACTTAAAAGTATTTAAAACACAATTGATACGTTTACTTTGATAGAGAGTAAAAGTGCCATATATTAAAAAAAAATTTAAAGCATAACTAATGAACTTTGTAATTCTATAAAACATTAATTTCTTACTGCGGATGCTCAAGTTGTATAGGTATGGTTAATGATAGGTATTATTCCCCAGAATTAAAAACGAACATGAAAGAGGCTTAAAAATAAATATTATAATTTTAGAAGGCGGGAAATTCTGTCCCCCCAGGGGTCCTTGTCCCAAAAATACATTAACACAATTAAACTCAGCCATTGGAGTAAGTTGATGAAATTGTCTATTTTATGGTTAACAGGATTGTTTTTTTTTCCTGGTAGATAAATTTATTCTAGTGGATAAATTTAAAAACGAAGTATATGTCTATTGCTTCACAAAATTCAAGAAATCCCATAACCTTGTGGTGGAAGGACACTTTTTTAAAAAATCAATACCTTTACCTATCTAGGGGCAGAAATAAATAATGAAAACAGAATTATGACTAAGGTGCTCAGAAGAATAATGGCTTCTAACCGTGCGTATTTCGGGAATTTACAGCTTTTAAAATCATCCTTGATATTAAGGAAAACGAAAATGAGGCTATACACCACCTTAATAAGACCCATACTTACTTAACGCGACTGAAACATAAACGATTACTGCCACCATTTCAAATTCATTAAGGGTCTTCGAAGAAGATCCTGAGAAAAATATTTGGCCCCTTGTACGATGAAACAACTCGCATGGAGGATTAAAACCAATAAGGAGCTATATGATTTATTCAATCATAGTGAAATTGTAAGCTTTGTAAAATCATGGCGGATCGAATGGCTGGGCCACATTCTTAGAATGCCATGATGAGAGAATCCCAAAAAAGATGCTCCAAGGAAGAATTTATGGTGTCAGAGGAAGGGGAAGGTCGAGAAGCATGGTTGGAGAATGTGGAGGACGACCTCAGATGGTTAATAGTTACAAACTAAAGGAAGAAGGCAAAGGACAGGGACATCTGGAGAGCTGTTGTTCAGAAAACCAAGGCCCACCCCAGGCTGTAGAGCTATCAAAGAAGATGAAGGATAAATTTATATTGGATAAATATCAATTTGGTGAAGAGGCATTTTTTATGATTAATAACAGTACCAAGGATGGGTTGTTTATCAAAATCAAAGGAGTGGTCAAGGGATATGGCATGGTCAGATAATTTTGATGCAAATGGGTTCCAGATTGAAATATGATATTTGTGTTGGGTTATATGTTTTTAAAGAAAATTTTTGGTCTTGCCAATATGACGCATTGGCCCTTGTTCCACTCTTAATTGTAATTCCTGTCATATTGGTGTTATTTATCTACCTAGAAAAAACAACCCTGTTTACCATAAAGCAAACAAAGAGACAATTTCATCAATTTACTTCCGCCTTCTAAAATTATAATATTTAGTTTTAAGACTCTTAAATGTTCGTTTTTAATTCTATAGACCAATACATATCATCAATAATTATATATATCGGGTAGAGAAAAAGTAATTTTGTTTTTATTTTTTCAAAGCGAATTTATTTATATAAATTTCGAACATTAACCAATGATATATGTGCTGCTTTGATCGAATGAACTTTTGTCCCTTTTCTGGTAAAACTATAAGTCTGTCAGTGTAGACATTCTCAGATTTTTGGGCAAAAACCAAGTAATTTTCGCAATCCTCTTTTGATGCCAGCTTTATGCCATTAAGAGTTCTGCAGAGACCGAAACAAATTGTAGTCAGATGGTGCAAGACCTAGGCTATATGGTGGATACATTATAACTACCCAGCCAAGGTCTCTCAATCTTGGCCAGGTCATTAAATGTGTGTGTGGTCTAGCATTGCCGTGATAGAAGACAATTCCTTAACTATTGATCTATTCTGGCTGTTTTTCTTTAATTGCCTATTTCACAGTAGAGAGTTAAATTAATGGTTTGGTCACATTTGAGCAGCTCATGATAAACAATTCCTTTCTAATCCCACCAAAAACTCAGCATCACCTTCCTTTGCGTCAACTCGGGATTTGCCATTGTTTGTGAAGCTTCTCTGGGCATTGACTAGAATATTTTTCACGTATTATTGTCGCACGTGATTCGCTTTTTATCATACGTAATCATTTGTTTCAAAAATGGAACAATTTTGTTTCGTTTCAGCAATGATTCACAAATGAAAACTTGGTTAATTAAATTTTTCACTGTTAATTCATGCGGAACCCAAGTATCGAGCTTCTTTTAGTATCCAGCCTTATGTAAATTGTTAAAACTATTTTCTGATTGATTTTTAGTTCGGTAGCAATATCGTGAGATGACATATGTCAATCCATCTAGATTTTTTGAAGAAATTTATCGACTTTTTCAGCTACAATTATGTACATTTCACTTTTTTTTTCTCTTATACTTTTACATTTATCAGTTTTCTGATTTTATTCTTTACTGTTATTACCATTATCTTGTTACTGTTATTCTTCAATCTTATTACTCTTACACTTTTATATTTAGCATTTTTCTGTTATATTTTTTAATTGTTAGCCCTGATGACCCATATGGTTGGGTCAAAATTGTGGCTAACTCATTAAAGATATTTTAGTGTAAGATTTATTTAAAACGGAAGGAGATGGTCCAGGGTGGCGGTGATAAATAGGCTAAATGGTGGTAAAACTATTTTTATTTAAAGCCAACGTTTCGACCCGACTTTGCAGGTCATCTTTAGGGAGGTGTGTTTAGCTAGGAGTTTCATTTTAGTTCTAAATGAAACTCCTAGCTGAAACGTTGGCTTTTAATAAAAATAGTTTTACCACTATTTAGCCTATTTATCACCGCCACCCTGGACCATCTCCTTCCTTTATAATGCAACGGTCAACTATTAAATATTCAATTTTAAATTCAATATTTATAACCTAAATTGTAGGTTTTCATCAGGGCAAAAATGATAAAGATACATAAGATTACTATTAATTGGTACAAGACATCTGATGCAAGTTTGCAGATCTATTTTTTGGACCATAAAATTCCTCTGATATTTAATTCTTACTATCCAAAATCCTCAATACTCCCTATTTTGTCACAAATAAAATATCCATAATGACCTTAATGTACCATATGTTACTGACATAGCCCAATCCAGATACCTATCCTTCCATAATAATCTTCAGCCTCCATCCAAACCCACTTGTTTCTAAACTTGCATTCTCTATGATTCCTGACAATCCTAGACTTATGAAAAGAGGATGTCCTCAGGACCTTCTAGTATAGAAGTATTATTGTAGTGCTACCAAAGGGTGGTTTTCTCTTCAAATTGTTCTTGTTTATAAATGTTACACCAAAATAGTGTTTGTTTGTTGACCCCACCACTGAATCCACTATTCATTAAAATAGAACTACTGTCAATTATTGCCATACCATTATAAATTAAAATCAATGATTATTAGAATAAAAAAGTAATTGAGAAAACAAAATCTTAACACCGAGTAATGTTTTGTATTAATTTATTAATAATTATGCCCATTTTAAAAATTTTGTATATTTTTGTTTACTTTCTTGGGCTATTGCAGAACTTCTATTGTAGCATTGGTTGTATATACTAAATTATGTTATTCTGGAAGAGCAAAGCTTTAAATTTTGAATTTGGCTTTTTATGTTTTCTTTATGAATAAATTTTTCAAGCTGTTTCCACTTTATTATTACAGGTATGTTTAATTTATTAGTTAATTGTTTTAGGCGAATTGGTGCTGCTGATGATGAATGGATATTCACTGATGAATATTGGAATGCTCGAAAAGTTCCTGGCTTTGTCAATCTTCAAATTGAACCTCTATGGTGAATTTCATCTTGGAATATGTCTTCACCTTGTATTTAATAAGCTTTTCCAAAAATTTGTTTTTTCTTTGCATTTGTTAAAAATTAAACTAGTTATTATTTTATAAAATTTGAATATATATATATATACACACATATATACATACACACTCAAGTATATTTACACTTATTGTTTGTTTACTGATGTGTATTGATATGTCCCTGTATATTTTTAACCAGATCATTAATGTGGCCGTATCTTTTGATTTCTTTCTTCAGAAAATGCACTAAATACCATTGATTGGTAATTCATTAAATTTTATTATGAAATTATATTTATATTAATCAAATTTACCATATTTGCATTTACTTTCTGGCAAATTATTAGAAATTTATTGTAAGTTATAAAAAAATTAGTTTTATTGAACAAGATAAGATATGTTTGTTAATTATTTTACATATTAGAAAAAATAGATCTACACAAGGGATGCCAAATTGATTTTCAATTTTTTTTTTTATCTACATTATAACCTGTTAATTGTAGTTAAAGTTGTTTGAGAGGGGAGATGTGCGGTCATAGGTTAAATAACATACAAATAAGAATTCTTATTTTACTTTGAGGCAATGTTTTAGGCCTTCATGAGAACTACATGCATCAGAATCCTGACACTCACTCTGACGAAAGTCTAAAACGTAGGCCAAAACATCGGCACAAAATAAAATAAGGTTTCCTATTTGTGGATTATTTCATCAATGACTGCATCCTTTAAGCAACTTCTACAATTCATTATACAATCAACAATATCTCCATAATTTTAAACTGTTTAGTATTAGGAGCAGCTTATAGTTGCAGCATATTTTTAAGCTATTATTATTGACAAGTTAACTGTCGACCTATGAGTTAACTGCTAGTTAGAATTCTTGCCTAGTGTGGCACCTATGAGTTATGTTGCTGTTTGTTTAGGTGCCATTTTTTGCCTTCTAAAATTAAATTTGCTGCTCAAATTAAATACATAGAGATTTTTTATGATAATCTAGTATTAAAATTGGGTCGGATTTGATGGCCACAGAATGCTGAATTTTATGAACTGTATCTAGTAAATATAACTGGGGTCATGGCATTGTAGTTGGACTTAGTAGTTAACGAATCCCTAAAAGGATAAGTGCTGTGTCAGCTGATAAGTATCTGAGGGGTACACCAAAACAATGGTTTCAGGGTTGTGTTGAGGCTGATCTTGCAGAGTTAGAGTTAAATTATGATCGGTGGATGGATGCGAACAGTAGCTGGTGGTATTGGCATCAAACTTTTGGGTTCCCTAAGTCCTTTATCATTATGTTAGGTCGGAATCCTGAAAAGTATTGTGGTAGTCAATGTGTTCATAATTTTCATTTCAAGCCCATTCTTTAAAGGATAAGAACCCTCTTTTATTACTTTGAAAACTATTTATTGATCCACAGTGTGTATATATATATATATATATATATATATATATATATATGAGACTTTAGGGGAGGGGAAAAAGAGAGACCATTTAACCTATTTTTTTTTAATTAATGAACATTAAAAATGAATTTAAGCCATTAGGAGGAGTTCCTAAATGCCATTTAGTAATTACTAAATTGAGGTAATTTCTGGAGTTCAGTCAGTTGGTATGACAGTAATGGCATATCTTAATTTTTAAAAAACAGTTTTTCTTATTTTTGCCACTTCGACTATTTCCCTTTCCCTCCATGCAATATATATATATAAACACATATACATATTATATATTAGTGTATAATTGGAAGAATTTAAAGAAAAAGCTGTGAGTTTGTAAAATACCTGAAAGCTACTACCCTAACCAGTTCATATTTTACAATTTAGGCATCATCATAACAGAAAAAACAAGATTACATATATGCGTGTATCCTACATTCTTGAATATGTGTTTCTTGGTCTTGGAGCATTCATGTGAGATGAACCTTATTTGATATTACATATATGTGATCATGTTTTTTCTTTCCTGATGATGCTCGAATTGTCAAAATGTGGATTGGCTAGCTGTTTCTCTGTCTATTACAGGTTCAAGGCTTTTTGTATGAATTATAATTTTATCTATAGTACACATTATATATTCACAAGTATTTTTATTAAGAAATGAATAATTTGTCTCAATTCATTAACTTAATCTCTTATGTTATTTGTAGTTAAAAAGCATTGATTCGTTATTACAATGTTATTTGGCATCCTATGTGTAGAAAATGGCAATGATAAATATTTTATTTTTGTATGTTTATTACTATTAATTGAAAAATTAACTTAGGGATTCAATGGTGTTTGCTGTGATTGGTGGCAGGTATTTTGTTTTCTTTAACTTTTTAAGCTCATGTCTTATAAAGTTTTTTTGGTTTTAAAGTATTAATATGTATTATATTAGCTAGGTTTGTAGTTGTCTGTGATAATTGTAACTGATAATTCAAATTTATTAGCCAAAATAACCAGTCATATAATCGAGCCTAATCCTCTTTTTTAAACAATTCTAATCCATGACAATTTTTTATAAGACTAACATAGTTTTTATTAATAGCAATAAAATAATTTATTTCTCTTCTTTTCTATATTTTGTTTAAGATCAAAATTTAGACATATTTGAGGTAATATATAGTTGGTTATTATGACAATATTTTAATAATATGGGTAAGCTGTATGTTTAATTGAGGTCAATTATGACTCATGTGCCTATATATTTAAAATTAGTTTTCGTAATGTTTTCGCTCATAGAACAATTATACATTAATTCTCTTTAAGATGTATGGAACTATTGAGAAAGAAAAACAAACACCAATTATGAATGTTTTTCAGACTTTAAAGAATAATAAGGATTCTTGTTAGGATATGCTTCTTTTTTTTTTTTTTTAATATATTATTTATCTCAAATTTATTATTGTGTTTAGGAATCAAAATAATATCAAAATTGTTTGTAAACAAGATGATTTTGATAAAAAATCAAAATGTACAGCATATATTAAGTCCTTTTTTTATTTTTAACAGAATTTACTAATTCACTAAAAGTTTTAATATATTCATTAAGTTATTCTATTTAAACCACAGTTTCATAATTATCATATATTCTTCATTGCTTACAAACAAGATATTTGTATCTTTGCAACCAACAAATATTAAAGGAAACCTAACTGTAGATTCAACTTAATTAGTTGAAATTTATATTCATTTAACAATTTCAAGAGTTTTTTTGTTTTGTTTTTTACAGTAATACATACAGCAAGTAAAACATTTCCAGTTTGTCTAATGGAGGTGGATTCTACTTACAATTCTTATTAAGAAATTTCAATTGTTATTTTGAGAAAGCATTGTGTTAATTTCTATTTGCACTTCAGTCTCATGCCTCCTTAAGATGTCCTTATAAAGAATATATAACAAATTATAATTCAAATGGAAATTTATAATGATTTGAAGAATTTTGATTAGACCCATTTATTTTTTCTTTAGGAAAATTTATTTTTCATACAAGTGCCTGAAGATTTTTGAAATCTTACAGATTTTGTGGTTCAAACATATATCCATCATCATATATATATATATATATATATATATATATATATATATACGTAAAGATGTCAAAGCATATGTGGACTGCTGAATAAACTATTATTCTACATTATGTGATTTGATAATCCATTACCTGGTATTTCATTATGCTTGGAAAAGAATCTTTTGTTTTAAGAAAAACATTTTTTTTTCTTGTATCAAATTCTCATAAATTAATTGTATATGATTGGCTTTCTTTGTCAGGAAAATAAAATATTCGATTGTTTATTATTTACTCTGTGATGAATTTTTATAGGAAATGAAGTAATACATCTAGTATTTTTATTAATATTGTAAAACTTAGTATTTTCATATAAATAGCAACTGTTGCTAGTCAATGCAAACAGTATTTGACTTGTATATTATTATATGGCATTTTATTGCTGTAAACCTTCTCATAAAACCTATCAAAAGACTAAGTATTAGAAATTAAAAGAAAAATATATAATAAAAGTGATAATGAATACTCTTGTTATGACTCAGTTTGTATTTTTCCAGAAATAATTGGGTATTTTACCAAAAAACCAGGAGATACTTAAATTCCCCATTAACTTTGTTTTAGTCAACTTAACCTTTAGTTCATTTTCTGTTGTTAATAATTGTATATTATTATCATTAAGAATAATATTGTACAAAGCAATGTCTGAGATGTTTTAAATGTATTAAAAGGTTCCAATGTAAAAAATACAAAATTTTTTTTTAATAATGTATGTAGAAATTGTATAAACATTGTTGATCATATTTTTGTTTGATATTTTATTAATACATCACCTTTTAATGTAAATATTAATAGTTAAAATATTAAAAATACTTTAAAAAATATACTTTATTGATTCATAATTTTATCCATAGCGGGAGAGAACAGATGAATAGTTGATATTTAAAAAAATTAAATAAAAAATTTCTCCTCCACTATAACTCATAAAGGTAATATGGTCAACTTCCATACTTACCAACAGAATTTTCTTCCTTCCATTGAAGGGTTGGGGTACCCATTTTATGAGGAAAATGGGAGCAACAAACTTAGTGAATATGGATCTAAGAAGTCATTTCCCAGATGACTTTAGTAATGATTGAGTGTCAGTTTGACTATCTCTTAAAAGCGCATTAGAAATGGTTCGAAATATGAAACAGGTATGAGTCAAGTAATTGCAATAAAATTTATACAATTTAAAATTATTAGCAAAAACAAAAAATAGAATTTATGTGATATTGCTTTACGATGTATCACCTATTGAACTTAAAATAATAATAAAGAAACTGAAGAACCATGCTATGTTCTACTTTATCTACTAAAAATCCTGGATGTCATTGATTTTAATTAGATTTAAAGTTAGGTACTGTACCCTACAGATTTAATGGGCTTTAGTTTGATATTGAACACGAAAACTTAGCAAAAAGAAATATGTTTTGAAAGACTCAAAAAATAATTTTTT